ACCAGCCACCGTCAAGACCAGATGCTGCACCAGCCACCGTCAAGACCAGATGCTGCACCAGCCACCGTCAAGACCAGATGCTGCACCAGCCACCGTCAAGACCAGATGCTGCACCAGCCACCGTCAAGGCGAGATGCTGCACCAGCCACCGTCAAGACCAGATGCTGCACCAGCCACCGTCAAGACCAGATGCTGCACCAGCCACCGTCAAGGCGAGATGCTGCACCAGCCACCGTCAAGACCAGATGCTGCACCAGCCACCGTCAAGACCAGATGCTGCACCAGCCACCGTCAAGACCAGATGCTGCACCAGCCACCGTCAAGACCAGATGCTGCACCAGCCACCGTCAAGACCAGATGCTGCACCAGCCACCGTCAAGACCAGATGCTGCACCAGCCACCGTCAAGACCAGATGCTGCACCAGCCACCGTCAAGACCAGATGCTGCACCAGCCACCGTCAAGACCAGATGCTGCACCAGCCACCGTCAAGGCGAGATGCTGCACCAGCCACCGTCAAGACCAGATGCTGCACCAGCCACCGTCAAGACCAGATGCTGCACCAGCCACCGTCAAGACCAGATGCTGCACCAGCCACCGTCAAGGCGAGATGCTGCACCAGCCACCGTCAAGGCGAAGCGCAGATGAGGATGGTGCGGACTCTGTTACTCCACCAGAAGAAAGTTGTCAAGATCTTCAGTGGTGGAGAGGCCACCTTGAGGAAAAGAACACGCCGAATGCACCAAGGAAGTCCTGTGACCACAGCTGCTGGCACTCCCCCGGCCTCCATAACTGTAAGGAGGAGATTACGGCCGTTGTCTGCCGTTTAAAGGCGCTGTTAATTACACGGTTTCTGGGTTATGTGGCCCCGCCAGGTGGCGGTAAGAGCAGGACTGATGTCAACAGTTACTGCTACACAAGACCAGCCGGCGGACTCGGGTACCCAGGAACTGGTGACAGGATACGTCTTGCATGTGGAGGAGAAAGCAAAGCATGAGAGAGAGAGAGAGAGAGAGAGAGAGAGTAAAGTATATAAAATATATTTTATATAAATGAGTTATTATTATTATTATTATTATTATTAGGGCAGAGAACGATACACAGTAGTTAAGCTGGAAAACCTCTATATTACGTTTTATTTAATGTGTCAAGCTATGTTTCCAAACCATTATTCTCCTGTTTTTAACTGTTTACTCCAAAGTTAGTCTTACGCCAAAACTCTGTTGGGTTTTAAAATACAACTGGAAAAGATCATCAGGGTAAATGGGGGGAATCTTTGACATGTCGCCGGCTTCCTGTCCTTGTCGAGGCCACTAGAGTTAGTGGTTCTCAGGTAAATTCAGGGAAAATATTATACAAGGAACGAAGCTTCCCATGAATCGATTGCACATTTAAAAGAAAACGTATTTGTAATTTCATTACAGAAAACTACATTGAATTATGGTACTCTTAGGTATACTTTCAAGTTGATTGACTTTTCGCAGATCGTACAGAAAATTTTGCTGTTATTCTGAAAAGGAATAATTCCACTTTATATGTTTTATGTAATAACATAATCAAATACATGAACACGTTAAGTGCAACTTAATGTAACAAAACATATGTTTATCTCAAAAAATTTTATTTTACGAAGCAATTGGCATCAGATTCATCTAAAATTATATGGAAAACAAACCCCCAATTTCAGAGTCCATTAAAATTACAGGGGGATCGCTATAGCTGACGATATTTCTTAAAAAGTGGCACTGGGGCCCAACCCTGGCTGACCTATGATACTCACAGGTATGATCTTGGAAAGTTGGGTGAGACTAGCCCCAAGCATCTGGCCTCCCACTATGGCCAGAGACTAACAGACAAACATTCTATTTTATAGATACAGATGACATTTAGCTCTAGTCCTGACTTATGTTCCAGACTAAAGTATGCATATTAGTTGGTCAGTGGCTGAAAGCTTAAGGCGTAAGTTGTATGCGTTAAAAAAGCAAGTTACTAAATTAATAACTTCGAGGACATAGTCTCACATTGATTAGGTTAAATTCTAGAAGCCTCGGACTTCCTGCGTATCCTGGCCGGGGAGGATTGACTGGGCGCCAATCCTTAACTGTAGCCCCTGTTCACCCAGCAGTGAATGGGTACCTGGTTGTTTAACGATTTGGCGGGTCGCATTTCGGGGAAAATTAGGATTAAAAACTTGCCCGAAACGCTATGCGTGTTAGTGGCTGTACAAGAATGTCAGAAACTCTTGTATATATAAATAGAATTAAAAAATTTAGTTGCAATACGTGTGTAGTGAGTTTTCTTGATTTTAATGCATAAGACGAGCGGAGTCACATGTCCGCCTCCTTAGCTCAGTGGTAGAGCACTGGTCTCGTAAACCAGGGGTCGTGAGTTCAAACCTCACAGGGGGCAGAGTAAGGACCTCGTGTGTATACTTTTGTGAGACTGTGTCTTCTGGTGTATTAGTATACACTACAATACTGTATTACGCCGTACGTCGAGTACTTAGAACAGTTGACTTGTCCTAGACTTACTTTATCTGTAATGCTGCTCCACCAATGAACTGATAACGTGTACGTTATCTCTTCAGAAACAGATTTGACTGTTTATAATGACTTAGAATTATAGTGATGTTGCATGCGTCTACCGGAAGTGAAAATATCAACGTTAATTAGCTTTGGTATTTAGAACTATGCTCTAAACGCTTATACCTCGCTAGTGTCTGCTAGAATAATTCCCGTTGTTTGACAGGATGATTATTAAACCCAATTTCCTCCTCCCCCCCAACCACCACTAAACCAGCTACTGACCTCTGGATGCAACCCACAACAGTTGTCTAACTCCCGGGTGCTTATTTTATTGCTAAGTGAACAGAAGTCTCAGTTGAATGGAAACACGCCCCCAGCTGTTTCCGTCCCGTCCTGGGATTGAACCCGGGCCCATGACGCTCGGCCAGGCCTCAACCCCAGTACAACTGAGTTTTATTATGCTGCGACGCACAGGTAGATTAGATACACAGTTTTTAGTGAGTTTCATATTTATTTAGTAGTCCGGGATACAGCAGTGTCGTAGACGTTGAGACGGAGCTTGGAGCAGAGCAGAGAGCTGAGTGAGGCCGGAGTCGCGGAGCTCTATGTGGGAGAGCGTTGTAGCTCGATGTGTCTGCTGTCTGCTGTCTGTTCTGTGTCGAAGCTGTAGCGTCTTGGAGACCATTAGAACTGCCTACGCCGAGTGCTACATTCTTGACTGGAAATTGTACTGTCCGCTATTGCTTGTTGTTGTTGTTATAGATTAAGCTACTCGGATCAAGTTCCAAGTAGCACGGGCTATGGTGAGCCCGTAACTTACCTGGCACAGGAGCGGGGCAAGAAGAACGGGCTATGGTGAGCCCGTAACTTACCTGGCACAGGAGCGGGGCAAGAAGCACGGGCTATGGTGAGCCTCGTGGACGGGAGATGTCTCATGCGCCGCTATTGCTCATATCTCTTGCTTATATGGTGATTACACCTCAGCTCCCTCCAACATGATGAGAAGAGTATTACCTGTAATTGGGGAAAGGATTGTAGCTTCTGTAATTAGTACTAATTAGTTATGCTATTATGATAATGAGATAATGGAGCGAGTATAAGATTTACTCGCTACAATGCACTTACAATGTTATCCTGCGTAGTGAGCACAGGACTGACACGGTACACATAAAACACTTCAAAGCGTTGTATGACAAAGAGTGCTAGGAAGACGGGACATCACGAGTTACTCGTCGTGTAACTACACTTAGGTGATTACACTACTCCAGGGGCCCACGTTTCAGAGTCCATACAGCTTCACATAGCATTGCACTTGCTCAGAATTCATAACCAGCCCGTCCTCCAAATAAAGACCCCAAAGTGATTCCATGCACCCGCCAAACCCCCCTGTTTACGAATGAAAAACGATTTACACACGACTCACAACTGCTGACGTTAGAACAGTTCCGGGACAAGTGTTTCACTGACGAATTTTGTTCAAACTACAACGCTATAAATGCTTCACCCACGTACAAGAAATCCAAATAATTGTCAACAGAATGTAAACACGTCGTCGTCGTCGTCGACTTGTGGTGCATAACACCAGCGTCGGCGCCTTGCTGGGCGCGGTTGCAAGTGGAAGTGCTTACTTGCCCAAATTTTCTGCATTGTTGTTGGGGACGATTCTCGCTTCAGCTGGCGCCCTTTCCTCTTTTGTTTGTTGAGTTGTGGGCTCTGTCTCGGCGGGTCATTGTGGGCTCTGTCTCGGCGGGTCATTGCGGGTCATTAACACTTGTCTGACTCATCAATCACTTCGAACACAAAACTGTCATTCAATATGCTGCCCTAAATTTACCTGAGGGCCACCGTTTCTAGTGACCTCGACGGGGACAGGAAGCCGGAGGCTTGTCTAAGGTCCCCCCCATTATTCCTGAGGAGTTGATCCAACTGAACTTTAAATTGCAGTAATGCTTTGGCATGTCTGGTTTTGGCGGGTAGGCGGTTCCGTGGGTTTATAACCTAATGGGTGAAAAGCATTTCCTGTTTTCTGTCCTGCATTGTGGCTTGTTGGGCTTGAAGTTGCTGTCTTTTGTTTGTGTTACATTTGACCTTTAATAGAAGTCGTCTGGATTAATATATTACAGTCTCTTCAGTATCTTAAAGATGTCTATATCAGCTCAGTCATGTCTGGTTTACAATGTTAATCCTGTGGTTCCTCAACCTTTCTTGGTATGAGGGTTGACTTAGTTCTGGGATCATTTTTATCAATGGTGTTGAACTGTCTTCAGAGCAGATGTAGCCCCCTTTAAAGGTGAGGTCCCCATGCTTAGACGCCGCGGTCCAAGTGGGGACGCACCATAGAGACTTGTACAGTTGAATATGACACAACGGGAGCATGTAGGAGGTCAGATGTGGTGTGGACCTTGTCGCCTCCCGTACGACTCCGTCCTCCCACACTATACCCATCCCACCTCTTGGCTGTGTGCGCTATTTTCACCTTGAAGATCATTATCACAGCTCTTATCTGGGGGCCCCTCTCTCTCTCTCTCTCTCTCTCTCTCTCTCTCTCTCTCTCTCTCTCTCTCTCTCTCTCTCTCTCTCTCTCTCTCTCTCTCTCTCTCTCTCTCTCTCTCTCTCTCTCTCTCTCTCTCTCTCTCTCTCTCTCTCTCTCTCTCTCTCTCTCTCTCTCTCTCTCTCTCTCTACTTTGGTGTAAGGTGATAATTGTTAGTTTACACTTTGGTGTAAGGTGATAATTGTTAGTTTACACTTTGGTGTAAGGTAATAATAATTACTACTAATTATTTACTCAGATTTATAAACATAACACAACTGGCCAGACGTTCTTGATTACTGCAGATAATAATATTGTAACCTAATTTGTTTTATATGTATTTATTTATTTATATACAAGAAGGTACATTGGGTTTACGAGAGTACATAACATTGAGGTTTTTACATTCTTGTAAAGTCACTAGCACACATAACGTTTCGGGCAGATGAATAAACACATACATATGCATATATTATTATTATTATTATTATTATTATTATTATTATTATTATTATTATAGTTAATTTACCCTATTTATTGTTCACCCCATACCCATCATGTGGGCGGTAGTGGAAAGGGTTACAGAGGAACATAATGGGCTCAGGGACTGAACCCTAAAGTTCATTTAACTAAGAAAGTTGCAGTTTTGATGAGCTAGTCACAGAATTTAATGTACAGTACAGTACAGTATGTTGTTACATCAACAGTGGGCGCGAGACCGACCACAAGAACAGTCTTTAAATTAAGCAACTTACGTATATGGAGAGGTAGTGTCATAATTGATGTTTAAGCTGCACACACACACACACACACACACACACACACACACACACACACACACACACACACACACACACACACACACACACACACACACACACATACACAACCAGTGGTCAGTGGTTCAATGGTTACAATCACACACACATTTACTACCTACAGTTAACAAACTGGGGATAACAAAAAAATAATAATATATACTCATGCAATTGCAAACATATATGGTAGCTATATTTTAAATGTATATATTAAATTAATATTCCAACATAAGTTGTTTCACTCCTATTTTTCAATTAACAGCAATGTGCTGCTACCCTATTCTATATAAAAGATTATACAGTGTAGACCAAAAACCAACTATAAGTTCATCTAATATTCCCATCTCACAAGATAGTCATACATGGAATCAGGGAAGAAAATACCTGCCTCAATACAAAAAAAAAATCAACTCTGAACAATAACTTTACGAGTTTCACAAGAGCTATAAGCACTCAATCATGGAAACATTATTTACTGATGGACTGTTAAGAGCTGTCAGTAATTAAGCGAAGGGAATGGAGAGATGGAATTCCTGAGATAAGTAAAATGGGTGCGATTGGGCTTAGTTTCGGAATGCAGCCTCCTGTGATCTTGGGTTGTTGAGAGGGGGGGGTGGGATGGTCCTAGTTGGGTGGGTATCCCCCTTTTTTATTAAGTAAAGAGGAAGGAGAGACATAGGTGAAGGGAAGTATAGAAGTGGGAAATACAGTGAGAGGTATGAAAGCAGGCGGGCTGTCCGACTTGCTGACACGATGTGTGGGTGTTGGCAGCTAATCTAAGCTGGCTCCCTCTTGTCAGGGAGTATCCCAGACAAGAGTATCCCTGTGTGGGGTGCCCCGGGAGGAGGGGAGGTGGGTATCTGTGAACGTGCCCCGGTTTGGTTGTTGAGGGAGGAGGAGGAGGGGGGGATGATGTGGTATGGGTCGAGGTCCACGCCAGCTGATAGACCACAACAAGCACCCACGGCCAGCACCCTAACAGCTGGACCTGGCGCGCTCCAGCCCCCCACACTAACAACACTCGCTGGATGGCCCAGGCTCTCCTTAACACCTTCAGGATGGCACCTAGGAGGGTCTTCGTGATCGGGGTGGGCATGACGAAGGTGAGAAGTCTGTTCGATTCAGTATTATAATAAGACTTGAACATTTAATAATGCTGGTCATGGTGATAGTCCTCGCCGGGTGGAGGACTTATCGTAGCGCATTATTGCGTCTTATTTTATTATATGACAAGGTTTATATAATATATTTACTGTACATACTGTACATAGGCCTGTGCATATCTGTTATGGTTTAAGTCATTGAGGCTGAATTAACGGGGTGAGAATAGCTTGAGCTACCTCATCCCTTTGTGTGTATTTTACCTCAATAAACTTATTTCAATTTGAGGCTGAATTCCCATATATCTGGCTTTGGTGAAAATCAGTGCCCAGTTTCAGAAAATATGTCTTCCAGCTGAAAATATCTTTTGTTATAATTCTGTGTTTTATGGCTGATAATCTATGCCATTGCAGCAAACATGCGTTGACAATTTTACAAGTACTGTGCAAAGGGCTGCACCAATTTTACAAGTACTGTACTGTACTGTCCAAAAGGCTGCACCAATTTTACAAGTACTGTACTGTCCAAAGGAATGCCCCAATTTTACAAGTACTGTACTGTCCAAAGGAATGCCCCAATTTTACAAGTACTGTACTGTCCAAAGGAATGCACCAATTCGTAAATCTTGAGCATTTCATTACAAAAATTCTAAATCGGAAAGTTTAGTTAAATAAAATTATGGTAGACATAAATTTGTTAATTTCTACCCTTGCTTAAACTACATCATAAATTGCAAATATCTGAGTACAGTATATTTTTGTACTGGAATACTGTATACTGTAGTCTACCTAGCCTTAATGATATATTCATGGAATTGATGCTTTCTTTAAAATAATATATAAATATGTTTTAATTACAAAAAAATGTTGCTTTAAAGCAAATTTATATTTTTTTTTTTTTTTTTTTTTTTTTTTTTTTTTTTTTTTTTTTTTTTTTTTTGAAGATATATACAAGAGTTGTTACATTCTTGTACAGCCACTAGTACGCGTAGCGTTTCGGGCAAGTCCTTAATCCTATGGTCCCTGGAATACGATCCCCTGCCGCGAAGAATCGTTTTTTCATCCAAGTACACATTTTACTGTTGCGTTAAACAGAGGCTACAGTTAAGGAATTGCGCCCAGTAAATCCTCCCCGGCCAGGATACGAACCCATGACATAGCGCTCGCGGAACGCCAGGCGAGTGTCTTACCACTACACCACGGAGACTGCTATATGAAACAGTATACATGTTCTTTGATGAAAAAAATACTTAGGCACTTTTGTTGACTAGTAAATGGGGGGGGGGATCCTTGGCAAGCTGCTGGCTTCCTGTCTTCTTTGAGGCCACTAAAGAGTTAGTGGCCCTCAGGTAAATCTTTTTCCTTTATCAGTATATCATTGTTCTCACTTATCCTTGCTTCCTTTTAATATATTGATTACACTTTTCTCATCTCATGCTATATGTACTTTGTGTTTTGTTATATTATTTTCCTCGTGGTTTGATAAATGTTAGTTAGCACTTGCATCGAAATCTTATTTTCCTCAGTTGGGTTGTAAATTACAGTACAGTATCTTCAATATTTTCCATTATCATATTTTTCTATATTTTGTCTGAAAATGCTTGCTTCCATTGTGCAATTTCTAAAGTTAGATTACATATTATTTACCCACTTTTAGAGATATTTATCTACATATTTTGTGTATATTGTTGTATATTATCAAGATATCTATCTTAATTTTATGTTTTTTGAATTTCTAAATGCATAGTTTGAGAAGCCTGGTCGGAGGGATGACTTTGGCTATCCAGTCATGGCTAAAGAAGCTATCGAAAAGGCCCTTCAAGATTCTAAGATTACATATGACAAGATTGAACATGCATGTGTTGGATATGTCTACGGTAAGGACCATTACCAAGCACATTATCATTTTTATTTGTGTGTACAGTATTCAAATACAGTAATTAGCATTGCATGGTACTGTATATCCATTTATTCACTTTTAAAGAATAGAATTCTAAGCAGCTACTGTATTTGCAGTTGTTCTACTACATGGCTCACTATGCAAAGAATGTACACCAAACTAACACTAGCCTGCCATATCTATAACCAAAATGTTAACCAATTTATTATATTCAATAATATTAAATCAATACATTAATAAAAATATACTATAATATCTAATATTAGGACAATTAATAATTGTTAAAAACTGTATGTACAGGCTGTACAGTGTATTTCCCCTGCTAAAATAGGGGATAGTATCCATATGGCGACCTACCTAATGTGCCCCAAGCAGACCTGTCCAGGCCTGGTCAACCTGCTCACACGTGTTCCCTCCCCCCCTTCCCCTTCGTGTGATTCCATAGTGCTGCTTAGTTACTGAAAGATTTTCTTTCATAATTTTTTTGTTTTAACAGTAACTTGATAATTTTTACTAAAACCACGTCTGATAGAAGCAGTAGTTGATGTGGAGGTGTTAAGAGGAAGCAAGTTATGATCTTTATTAAGAGAGTTGAACTTTGAATTTTGGAAATGAGTGAAGCACTTTGATAAATGTATGAATGTAATTAGCCAAGTCATGTGTAATGTGTTTTTCACTCGTATATTGGTGGGACACACACTAAATTGAAGAACTTTTGACTCTTTGTTCTGATGCTGAATCTTACATTGCATTGGTTACTACTTTCTGCAATTAAGTAAGTCTCTGGATATTCCAGTTAATTCTTTTGTATCACATACTGGAGTTTGATTTGATTCTCACTGTAAGCACATGTAATAGGGTCAAAATAAATCATAAGTATATAGTACAGTATAAAGCTAGGTGAATTTTTTTTTAATTTATTTATCATTAATACATCAGAGGATTTCTCTTTAAAAGTATTTTATCTCTTTTTTTTTTCATTAATATTATTTAGCATATGATAAAATTCTATAGATATAATGGACTTGCTCACTGTTCTCTCTCTCCCTCTGTTAATTTTTATGTCTGCCGATTGCAATTGCTCTTTATATTGCCAGGGGACTCCACCTGTGGTCAGCGTGCCTTGTATGAAGTAGGCATGACAGGTATACCAGTGTACAATGTCAACAACAACTGTTCGACAGGCTCAACAGCTCTTTTCATGGCTCGCAATCTTGTCTTGGGAGGGCAGGCGGAATGTGTGCTTGCTCTTGGTTTTGAGAAAATGGAACGTGGCTCTCTCAGTAATAAGGTTGGTAATGATACATTTTTGTTATATATTATAAGAAATGGAAATGTTATTCAGAATTTTTAATTTACTCTACTGTACCTGATTTTACAAGATTGCAATTTTATTACAATGGTGTTGTTTACATTCATATATCATGAAGGTAACTGTCATGTATAAGAATAAAGGAAAGTGTAGAAAGGCTATTGGCCCATGTAAGGCATTTACAATTTATATTCAACCAAACAAATTTTTATACTGTGTTGGATAAGAATTCTTATACCATCTAACCTTCCATTAAAGCAATTCAGCAAAACCATATCTATAATTTTGCCCAGTAATTTGTTGCATAAATCACTAACCCTATTTCAAGACCAGTATTTACCCAGGTCTTCTCTGAATCTAAATTTAATTTGTATCTCTTCTTTCGTATTCTATTTTGTGTTAATGTATTGAACATCTTATAAAATCCCCTTTGTTATACCCATTCATCCATTTGTATACTTCAATTATGTCACCCCTTACTTTTCACCTGTCCAGAAAATGTAAAGCTTTCTTAATCTCTCTTCATAAGTGAGTTTTCAGTCACAGCCCCGCTCCTGTGCCTGGTAAGTCCACTACGGGCTCACCATAGCCTGTGCTACTTTGAGCGTTTTGTTCCGAGTAGAGTCTTCTCGTGTTCATTCTGCCCATTAAATTGCTGTAAAATGTTTTTCAAGAAGTAATTTTTTTCCACAGTATACTGATCGGGAGAACCCAATAGAGAAGCATGTAATATGCTTGGCAAATATGGCTGATATAGAGAAGGCTCCCATTGCTGCACAGTTTTTTGGAAATGCTGGTCTAGAACACATGAAAAAATATGGAACTACTCCAGTTCACTTGGCCAAGATAGCTTACAAGAATCACCTACATTCCACTAATAATCCGTAAGAGTATTTCAACCTATCTCTTTGCATTTTTGACACTGTTCTTCTCTTGTGTGGTAGTTGATGTGATAAAAAAACTCTAAGCAGCCCTGTTTAACCATGGTCTGGCATTTTTCTACCTCTTATACAAAGTTACTTATTCCCTTGCCATAACCTTCCATCATTTTTAGCTTGCCATCATTATCCTCTGATGTATAGATCCTTCTCTACCACTCTTCATGGCAAAAAAAAAAAAATTGATAGAAAAATCCATAGGGTTAATGGGAGGGGTGAAACCTTTTGACAAACCACGTGCTTTCAAGCCCCTTTGAGGCCTCTTAAAAAATGGTGGTTCTTGGGTAAATTTTGGTAAATATTACACTGCCATCCCTCGTATTCAAAGCACATTTCTGTTACTTATTTCTTCCTACTTACATACTGAATGTCATATGATATTCTTAGTTAATTTCAACTGCCTTAATTTTAGACTTATATGTCTCCTTGTATATCTTTCTCATCATTGGATATCAAGATGTACAGTATACTGTTATCGAGTTATTTCTTCATGTTGTAGTACCATTTGTACTGTCCCTAACTCTAAATATGTATCAAATTCTTCCTTCTGTGCTTCCTATTTGTCTTCATTATTTATTATATCTCCCTTCTCACCTCCATTCAATATTTTTATTTTTCTTGCCTTTTCTAATAATTCACTGCCCATGAAAGCCTTATATACCGTCGAAGTTTGTATCTTACTTTAGACAAATTGAAGCAAAATCTACCATTTCACTCTTACCTTTTTCAGAACACATTAATGTTCTTACCAGCCTTTTACCATTACTAAACTTTAGTCACAAACCACAAATAAATCTTCACTTTCTGTCACAGTTTCTAATGCTGCCATAAATACCAATCCATCAGTATGAAAATCTAACTTTGAACATAATAAAATGCTTCTTTCTGGTGGGCTCCCTGGAGCCACAGGAAGCCACCAAGAAGTTACCTAGGGATCCCTCTCAGAAAAGCAAGCCAACTGTAAGTAAGTACTCCCTTTACAAATATATAGTGATACTACTACTATAGTAGTAGTGATAATGTGTTGTCTCTTATCAGATACTCCCAGTTCCAAGACAAATACTCTCTGGAGGAGATAATGAATTCCCCAAAAGTGACAGGCCCTCTGACCAAGCTTCAGTGTTGTCCGACATCTGATGGTTCAGGAGCAGCAATATTGGCCTCCGAAGATTTTGTAATTGCTCATAACCTGCAAAATCAAGCTGTAGAAATTCTTGCAATGGAAATGATGACAGACCTGCCTTCCACTTTTGAAGATGAGAGTGCCATGAAGCTTGTGAGTACTGTATTACACTGTATTATTATGTCTTTGAATATTTGTTTTTTCTCCTGTTACAAATATATTGGAATTATGTGCTCTAACTACCTGAAAGTGGTTCAAACCAAGGCCTGGTCCTCCAATAGAATAACGTTAGTTTAGGATAATGTGTGACTAGTTAACCCCTTTGTGGGAAAAATGATGCTACCAAAGTAATACTTATAAACCACTTAATTTGCGTTATTCACTTGGAATAAGAAAAATTTAGGAATTCATTTTCCTTTGAGTCCTAGGTACATGACAGACAGTTACACTAAGAAAAAACAACATAGTGGAAATAAATACTTTATAGCAAAGTAATATACAAGGCCCCTGGTCTTTACATATCACTTAAGGCTTAGTAACATAGATATAAAATTTCCACACTAATAATACTAATGCTATGGTCTATGGCTATGGGTGGGCTATGGGTAGACCAAGAGAACTTAGCCATTTTACAGTCCCTAACCAATAATCAGGATGTCCCATCGAATTCGCCATCCACACACAACTGTCCACATGCAGCCAGCTTGCTGTCACTTGCTACTAGCACAGAAGTCATGCTGAATACATCATCATTATCTCTTAAGAACAGCCAAAACATCACCATACACTCACTGCCAGTTATTCTTTCTGGCCAACTTTTCAATCTACCAGTAATATATATTGGTATCAACACAAAATAGAACACAGAACAATGGGTATAAATTGGATGTTTAGATTTAGAAAAGACCTGGGTAAATATTGGTTTGGTAATAGGGTTGTAGATTTGTGGAATCAATTACAGCATAACATAATAAAAATAGGATCCCTTGATTGTTTCAAGCATAGGTTAGACAAGCATAGGTTATATATATATATATATATAATATAAAATATGAATGAGATTGGGTGGATGTAAATAGGAGCTGCCTTGTATGAGCCAATAGGCCTTTCTGCAGTTACCTTGATTCTTTATATTCTTATATTACAATATACTGTATATATTCCTACTGGCTAAAAACCTCACCCTATAGTCATAGCTGGCAGCGTGCTTCATTCTGTCTATTTATGGTCCACCAGAATAGACAGTATAGGCATATGTATGTGCTTACCCACTATCCACATGGTAAGCACATGTATGTGCTTTGCTTACCATGTAGGCCTACATAGGCATTAATATACTACCCCTAGAAATTTATTTTTAATTAAATTACTTTACAAATACTTCAGCTTATCTAAATTTATATGCTACTTTACTCACACATTAATTAGTTTAAAATGTTCCAAGACCCATAATATTTCCAATGTCTTATAGAAAATATAGGAAGATACGTTTCATGATGTATCTTATACAGCGAGAAATATCTTGTATATTATCTTATATAGTATCTTATATACAGTATTTTCATCTGATATTGGTAAAATAAAGCTTTGGCAGATACATAAAGATATTTAATGCCGTACTTTAATTTAGAATGCTTTATCGTCTTTCATTACTTTTCTATCATTGCCTTAATTGTTTTGGTGTTCTCTGGGCCCCTAGTCCAGAACATCCACTTTCAATGTTTTGAAATATACGTTAGTTACCTCGTGTATGTGTCTGTTCTCTGTCTCTACATCTGTCTGACTGTTTAAGCATCTCTGTGCAAAATGCTGAATATTGCTAGAAAGCTGGAGACATCTTAGATTCTGCAGGTCATGAATCAAAACTAAGGTCAGTTACTGGAGGCATTACATGTTACGTTCTTTCTCTTTAGGTGGGTTATGACATGACAAAGAATGCAGCTCAAAAGGTGTATGCAAAGGCTGGCTGTTCAGCCTCAGATGTGGATGTGATTGAGCTTCATGACTGCTTTTCTGCCAATGAACTAATTACTTATGAAGCCCTTGGTAAGTTTGATTGTTGTGTGTTGAAGAAACCCTCCTGATATTACTGTAAAGCTTAGACCAGTGGAATCCCGTGGAAGATTTTGTAAACCACACTGTATGTTTTTAAGGAATCTCTGTTTACTATTTATGAATTTTGAAAGGTAACAAGACTTTAATTGCCTAGTACAAGGAAGGAGCTTTAAATTTTATCATTCTCCCATTTCCTCTTTTTCATGGGTTGGGTCAGCCCAAAGAAATAGGAGAACTGTGCAGGGGAATAAGAACTAGAAATGTTCTCCAAAGGCACCCACTCTTTCATACTTCATACATAGTATCATGTAACCTTGACACCATCACATTCTGGTAAATTGTCCACTGTAGTCCCACAGCTTCCTTTGATCTAATGTTACTGTAACTATGAGTTGTCATTTAAATTATGTTAAACATTGACTCCCTCTTGACACAGTGGCTATAGATAACCCACTGTCTGAGTACTATATTTAAGCAAAGTGGTTTCATTTACAGTAACTTTATTTGCTACCACTTTGTGCACTTTTAACTCTGACTCTGCACTTCCTCACACTCATTCACTTAAAATGATTATACATCTTTGTCTTGGCCTTCCTCCAACCCTCATACTCACTCAAACACACTCTTTACCGCTCTATTGTCATCTGTTCATTGAATACACTTAAACCATCTCGATACAATTTAACTCTTCAATTAAGGTGTATCGAGACTGTATTAACAGTCTCTTTTAGCACTTTCCGATCCATTTCCTAAATAGCCTTCCTGTTTTCTGAAAATTGTTTATTCATTTTTCTTTCAAGTTTTCAAGTTCTTTCAAGAAAAGAGGATCTCTCTTTGTTTTAATTTAAATATTTACTGTTTTTGAAGAAATGAACATTCATTGCTATATTATTATTTCATAGGTCTGTGCGGAGAGGGCGAAGCTGGTAAATTCATTGATTCTGGAAATAATACCTATGGTGGAAAGTATGTTGTGAACCCCTCTGGTGGACTCATCTCGAAGGGTCATCCTCTAGGGGCCACTGGTGAGTAACCCAACTTTCTAAGTTTGCAGTTTTTATAATGTGCTTATATAGGGCAGAACATTCACCTTTGCCTTAAGCTCACTTCCTGACCAAGGTGTTTCTGTGTCCACTATTTGACTAGTGTAAGGTTTAAAAAGTAACATTTAGTAACTAACAAAAGTTTCATGTCATCTTTCTGAGCTCGAGCTCCTCGGGTACTTCCTGAACCCATGTTGTTATGATCCATCGTGAACTCGTGTTCCTCGCTAGGCTTACACTGACCTTGTCCCCCACTGCATGACAAGTACCTTTGCATATGGTCTTGTCAAGGAAATTGAGGGAATGAAGATTGTTCTAAGTCTCTAAATCAAGTTACTACAGAAGGACCAGCTCGCTATTATACAGACTAGAGATCAGTACCCTAAACAAGTTCGATAAGCGATAATTTGTAACAAAAAGAATGCCACTTGTCACTTTTCAAGCTGCTGTACTTGTTAAGGACCTAGGCTACCTCTGTCACTACTCGGTGGGTTACGTATTTGTGATTATATAGGCATGAGATTTAGATATTTATGTCCCACCTCTTCGCTTTTTATACCTTGCACACAAATTACAGCTCTCAACATTATAGTACTTTTTTGTATATACCTGTATTCTTAAAGTTCTGAATGAAAGTGGCTTCAACAACTTCTTTCACTGCTTCCACTTGTTGACCACATGTACAGGTACAAGAATTTTCTTATATCTCTATGATTTGATTACACAATTAAGCTTCCATTAGTGTCCCCTTGTCATACTTTTACGTTAAACAAGTGGACCTTGGCCACCTTGTCTATTCCCATGAGTCTCTAGTATGTAGTGATGATTTTTTTCTTATCTCATCTAAAGGTTTTGAAATTGAGCTCCCTTAACATGTCCTCATAGCTGAGCACTTAATTATGATCCTAGTACTACTTGTAAAGTCTCCATCTTATGCATTAGTCATTCGAGGAACTGTATTATATGCTTTCTGGCAGTTTAGGAAAAGGCAGTCTACCCATTCTTTATTCTCTTACCCTAATTTAATGATCCTGTTATAAAATTCAGTCAAATTTGTCTATCCCTCTCTTAATGATTCTAACATAACCCATAAAAACTGGAAAATGTAATCAGGAAAAGAATTTTAGAACGCTCGAATTCTGTTTGCTACATGGGTTTTGAGCCTGTCTTGGGTTTTATTTTTTTTCTAATCCTCTAAAGTTCAGGGAATGGCTGAGGTTTTGGGTTGAGCATACCTACCACTTGCTGTATTTTAAACCCAAACATTGAATGCTGAAAGTATAAGCTCTGTAACCTTAGAGAATAAACAACAACCCATCTACAGTATTACCTTGCAATATTCAACATTAAAAACTAAGTATTACCAAAAGGACTTTCCTCCTATGTATAATATAATGTAGAACTGTCATACACAGTTCTGTATATATGACAGTTGTAGTGCAAGCAGTGTTCTATTACTAGCTATCATTATACAGGTAATACAATATAAGATGTGTGTGCACCATTCAGTAGGGTCTGATTATGACTTTTTGTGCCCTCTGTTATCCTTTTTACACCACTGCTCGCAGGACGAGAACGGGGTGCACAATACACTACTGCTTGCAGGACGAGAACGGGGTGCACAATACACTACTGCTCGCAGGACGAGAACGGGGTGCACAATACACTACTGCTCGCAGGATGAGTAAGGGGTACACAATACACTACTGCTCGCAGGATGAGTACGGGGTGCACAATACACTACTGCTCACAGGATGAGTATGGGGTGCACAATACACTACAAATTGCAGGACGAGTATGGGGTGCACAATACACTACTGTTTGCGGGATGAGCATGGGGTACACAATACATTACTGCTCGCAGGACAAGTATGGAGTGCACAATACACTACTGCTTGCAGGACGAGTATGGGGTGCACAATACACTACTGCTCACAGGACGAGTGCGGGGTGCACAATACACTTACTGCTCACGGGACAAGTTTGGTCTGCCCAATAAACTAGCCACTGCTTGTGGCAACAATAATAAAATCATGTATTATTATTGTTTCAGTTGTTTTATTATTGGTTATAAATCCAGGTTGGTGAGTTCCTCTCCAACCTGGATTTGATTAACCTTGCTCTATCCTATTGTTAACACAAGATCTAGAGTGCCATTACCTCAGGTGGGAAGTGTCACATACTATTGCATACAAGGTTCTGAATGACTCCTTATTAAGGTTTCTTAAAACCATGTTCTTATGTTTGCCAACTTTGCATATGCAACAAATAATATCTGTTTGATGTGGGGCTCAGGAGACAGGTCTGGTGCCATATCAACCCATAGGATTTTATATTTTGTCTAATTTTTAGCATGGTTTCCTCTACTATTTGGTATCTTGTGGAAGGTGCTACATAGTCTTCTCAGATTGATGCCTTTCTTTAATAATTACTTATGTGATACCTTGTGTTCGAGCCTCTGTTCCCAGCACCCAGGTTTGTTACGTTGCATGAATTTAACTCGAGTACAGTAGCCACTTGTTGTATCCCTTTTAGATTTGTCTAGGTCATCCTGGAGTCTCTTATAGCCTTTTGCTGTATATTATCCACCTAATATTTTTTGCATCATTGGTAAACATTTAGACTTGAGAGGTATATAATGGTATGTGATGCTCATAGTGGTACTTTTTCTTGTTTTATGAGAGTAGTGATGGTGTTGGTGATTCCAAAGGTGGAGGATCATGGTGATTGTAGCGAATGATGATAATAATTGTATGGATGCTGGTGGTGGTTTGTAATGATAGGTGGTGAAAATGTTGGCTAGTTGTGGTGAAAGAGTTGGTAGTGGTGTGGGGATGTACATGGTAAAGGTGGTGATGTCTTGGTGGAAGTGTTGATAGTCATGGTTGTATTGGTGCTAGTCATGATGTTGCTAGTCATGATGGTGCTAGCCATGGTGGAGGTAGTGATAGTCATTGTTGATGGTGGTGGTGAAAGTCATGGTGGAGATGATTGTAATGGTAGAAAAGGTTCATAATGGTAGTCAGTTGATAGTAATAATGGAGGTGGGAGGTAAGGAGGCTTGAAAGAAGGTAGGAGGCAAAGAATGTAAGCTGGCAGTCAAATGAAGTCGTCTACATTTGAATGTAGTAGACTTGTTCAAATAAATAATTCTAACTAGTCCATCAGTGCTGTAACTTAGTGGAGTGACTATTGGGGTTTTGTTTGATCCCATTATGTGCCACAAACAGATGGCTGGAACAAGTTAGACAAGGTGGTGGGTGAAAACCAAAACTGTCTTTAGTTTCAAAGCATCATATGTCAAAGAGTACTGGGAAGATGGGACACCACAAGTATAGCTCTCGTCCTGTAACTACACTTCGGTTGACCTGTGACAACTGGTACAACTCTATACTCGCCTTATTCTGCATGTGGGAGTTGAACTTCATCTCTCTGGTCTAGCTCTTCAAGCAGCGTTGTGAATGCTTGGAAAATTCACACATACAATATGTGAACCAATGAACATGATGCTGTCCTATGTAGTGTTAAAGACATATCAAATGGTTGGATTGTCTTTTTCCTTCATTTTCTGTTTGCTCTTCTAATTCTTCCATGAGATGATGCTTCAATCTGCACGTCATGAAAGTGGGAAATACAGTAGTGACGAAGACAATGTATAATTTATGCGCAAGGTAACCAGCACATTCCTCAGAAATAGATTAAATTTTTAAAAATAATTGTTAAAATGCCAGAACAATAGTGATACAAAATTGTATAATAAATTTATTATAAATATTTTGCCAACATTTCCTAAACAGTTGTATTAATTGTAACATTTTGCCAATTTTTGTTGAAATTTTTGCATTAAAATGTATGCTATTGCAGCCTTGATGACAGTGTTGAGAACATGCATAGTGGGAGCTGGTAAGTATATAGGTGGGATGGATGGCAACTGTTGCTATGCTGAAGGTTGAGCCACAACCACAGATGATAAGCTTGGTGATACAGACCCCACAGATTAAGCCAACCCATCCTCACACTTCATGCATCTCAGTTTGGACATTATCAACACCAGCATCCAAATTCAAGTGCTTCAATATGTCATCAGAAATGTGGGTTCAGCAAAAGAAAATTATGCCTGCCAAATGTAATAGACTACTATATAGGTGGGTGCAGGAGATGATGGCTTCTGATGCTTGTCAGAGCTCTCCCTCCAATTGCTCATATTAAGCCTTACCCAATTAGTTTTCCATGGAACATAACTTGCCAATCAATATTACAGCCAGTATCATTAACAAGCAGGAAAGAGAAGGGGCATCCTTCACAAACTACTGAAATGGTTCAAAAGAACGCTGGTAAACTTCAGCCCAGGTAATGAGAGTACGGGAGGGAGTAACGAGACTGAATAGACAATACACAATGGGGTAAAGGCAGTTCCAAAAATTGGAAAAGGGACAGGATTTATGATTAGACATAATGTACCAAATCTGTCTCCAGAAGCACATCAACAGAATCACATTAGCATATAAAAAGCTGGCAATCATTCAGGTAGCTTTCAGAAATCTGGATAGGGAGGTACTTTAGAGCACTGTACAATACCTACAAGGAAAAGTTTAGAGATATGTCACGAGACTGCTCCCAAAATCGAGACAATTGATAAGGTAGATAACAAATTATTTAACAGGAGCAACAGCAGATTGAGAGATAAATATGAGCCATTGGGATGTAGGGAAACTTTTCTTTAGTGTAAGAGTACTGAGTAAATGTAATGAGAAAGAAGAGGATCCAGTAAAAGCAAATGTTGTACAAAAGTTTAAATGTTGAATTCATAGACATCTAGTGGGTTGGGTACCTTTGAATTCAACAACTCATGGGTGAGTAGACTGAGGCCCAATAGCAAGTGGTCAATCCTTTACCAAGCACAAGTAGGTGAGTAGAATTACAAATATTGTAAGGTATTTGACATTAGTAATAAAAATGACATCAGTAATTAAAGTATGCCTGAAATTAGTGTTGTTAAGTTTGTTCAGATATGGTCAAAGGAGGAGGCAGATGTCTTGAGTAATTCAGGATGAATGTTGTATGCAATTATAGGTGCTCTATTAGGATGCATGAAGATAGTTGAAGAAGCGATAGTAACAGAGGGTTATCTTGAGGATATCTTGAGATGATATCAGGGTTTAGTGTCCCCGTGGCCCGGTCCTCAACCAGGAGGCACCTTTTTGTTACACATTCCCAGGAAGCAGCCTGTAGCAGCTGTCTAACTCCCAGGTACCTATTTACTGCTAAGTGAACATGACATCAGGGTGAAAGAAACTCTGCCCATTTGTTTCCGCCTCCACTGGGGATCAAACCCAGAACCTCGGGACTATGAATCCAAAGTGCTGTCCACTCAGCTATCAGGCCCTGTCAGGGTTATTTGGTTCATATACTGAAATTAACATTCCAATCTCCAGCACAGCATTAAGTGAATAGCATTTTTTGTTGTTAGGTTTTCTGAGGTTTGTGTATTCTCCATAGGTTTCTCTAGCTGGTACTAATAACATTTGTGCATTTAAATTCTACTGCATAATAAATTGCTATACCTCCAGTACAATTCTGATTTGGGCTACGCTCGGTTTTGGATAGCTGTGTATAGACTGCAGTTAGGACAATGCCTGGGACATGAAACCTGTCCTTAGGCATATCGAGGCCATCGCCTCTAGGCCATCTACTGACCTTTCCCTGGATGCAACCCACAACAATTGCCTAACTCCCGGGTAGCCATTAGGTGAAAAGAAACATGCCCAATGAGATTTATTTTTTTCTCGGGAATTGAATCCAGGTCCCTCAATTGTCAGCCAAAGACATAGATTACTGTACCACCGAATCTTAATTAAGCAGTTTGGTATTGAAATCTTTTTTTAGTTAGGATGTTATGATTATGTTAGGATTATGTTAATTATGTTAATAAGAAGGCGGTAGTGTTAGGATTTTTTTTTTTTTTTTTTTTTTTTTTTGATATATACGTACAAGAGTTGTTACATTCTTGTACAGCCACTAGTACGCGTAGCGTTTCGGGCAGTTACCTTAAAGACGATCTTAAAGACGACAGACTGTCAAAGGCATGGGAGGGGGGGGGATCATAGTGCTATATTCAATATTTTAACGGCATAAGCAATTAGAATATAACATACTACCCAAAGACAAAAAAAAATGATTTTTTTTTAGTGTTGTCAAGGTTTTACACGTACCATTGAAACAGCAAAGCATCATTAATCAACTTTTGGCATAATTATTTACAAAAGGTAACGTAATTATCAGGAGAAAGCACTATACCATTACTATATAGCACTTGGAAGGGATATGAGGATAAGGATTCCGGTTGGGATGGCGGGAAGGAATGGTGCCCAACCACTTCGGTGGTCGGGGGTTGAACTCGGACGTGCAAAAAAACGACACCGTCGTTCATACACAAATTAGAACCACATATAGAGAAAAATCACGTTTGTTCATATGAATAATCAGAAGTACCCTTTTAAGCGTACTTTACTAATCATAAAAAATATGCATAAATATATGCCCTAAACGTTACGTATATAACGTTTAAAGCTTAATGAGCTAAATATGTACTTCTACAACCCGTGTACCTTCTTGTGTATATAATACAATTATTTACTTATATATATAACATATAAATATATATATATATATATTTTATTTTATATGTAAATATATATGTGAAGGAAGACGTGGAGAGACAAGTGACAGTCGGGAGTGTTTATCTCTGAGGCCTCAGCTGGTCGAGCCGAGGCTGGCTGCTTGGAGGCGTGTCCCCGCTGTCTTGAGTTGAACAGATAGGAGCTGGTAGTCTTACGTGCCGCGTTAAGAAGTTTCGTAAGAGGGTGAAGGGTAAGATCATGATGATAACTCCACGGAGCCGGTGGGAGGGTGTGTGTTATCTGGCCCAGGGGGCGCCAGGTCCGTCCGGCCAGCCAGTCTCTCGTGACTTGTAATATAACACCTGCTTGTATTATAGTGTATACTCGCGTGATATACCAGCGTGTATTATAATGTATACTCGTGAAACATCAGCGTGTATTATCGTGTAAACTCGTGACTCATAAAACACCAGCTTGTATTATGTATACTCCGGTGACTTGAAATACACTAGCTTGTATTACAGTATCATGTATACTCCGGTGACTTGAAATACACTAGCTTGTATTATCATGTATACTCCGGTGACTTGAAATACACTAGCTTGTATTATCATGTATATTCCCGAGACTTGACTGTATACCTGTAGGGAGGAATAGGGTCATTCCTCCATTCATTTTCATTCCTTCAGCCGGAATGAAACGATTTGATATGCCGGCAATTAATCTTGCATGGGGAAATTGGCATTGATGTTAGTTTTTGATTTAGTGTTGGTCTGATGGTGGTTAATTTTGATGGGGACAGGCAGCCTGTGTATATAAACATGTTAGGCTTGTATAGAGGTAACTCCCCCCCCCCCTACTCCTCTTTCCCCCCTGTGTTAAACAATTGACCCTCCCCAGGAAGCAATCCCACAACAGTTGACTAACTCTCGGATACCTATTTTTAAGGCCTATCATCCACTGGAGGTTTATTATGGCTGTGACACTTGCTGTCTGACCCACCAGCAAGTATAATTTAGCCCAGAACATAGCTCAGGATTAATGTTAACTCATTTATACTTGAGAAACCAAAATACACTGTTTTGGTGTAAAAATTTGCCTTGGCTAACCTATCATTACCAGTTATCTAACCTATCATTCCAACCCATCCTCTCAAATGCAACTAACTATGGAAAGTAACAGTTTAAAACTGTCATGTACATTTTTAATGCCTTGGATATCTAAGGTTAGGCAAAGTTTTTGGGTCGTTTAGTACTGGTTAAATTAGAAGTTTTTTTTTTTATTAATATTATTACTACAGAGTGGCAAATATAGGAAATGGGCTAATCATTCAGTCATGAGGAGTTGAGCAGTAATATGTTGAGTTTCATTTAGTGTGTGAAATATTTGTTGATGTACTTACAGTATAGCCACTGTGGCTTAATTAATAGTTAAGATAATTTATAGATTAAAGTACTATGTACTAATGAGCACACTGTACTACTTTGGATCTTTTTATGACTTGCAAGTGAAGTCATATTTAATTTTCAAATGTTGTATTGATGAGCTTAGCTATGGATTCTTAATTGGGAGAGGGGGGGGGAACCAGTAAATTGCATGTCCACTGTATATTATGGATACTTTGTGCAGCTATTCCTGGCACTGTCACTGACTTGCTGGCTCGGATCCTCTAGCTTTATCTATTGCTGATAAGGTCTCATCACCTTGGTGTATAGGGTGACCAGCTTGCTGCTGCTGCTCCCTCTTTTGTACGAGCATCCATCAGGGTAGGTTGTGTTGTGCTCTGCTCTGTTTTCTTTCACTTCAATTATTCCATAACATTTTGCAAAGTATTATTATTTTAAGTAAATCATAGTTACACTATGAGCTGTCATTTCAATATGCTTAGATGGACCAAACAATGGCAGTGCTGTGGCTACCTGCCTTGTGCTGTGAACACGGTAAACGGCATTGTGTTCACTGATATCTGAACTTTGTACATAGTCTTTATCACAGTCGGGCTCTTCTGAGATACTATCGTCACAAAATGATACCAGTTACGTATAGTATATTTTGTCATTTTTAATCAACAATGTGGTCATAGCTCGTGACACATAGCTGTGTGTGCTGCTATGTGCAGCACACATAGTTCGTGCTGCATGTACCAGCCATGGTTGCTCACTTTGTACTGAGGCCTTCACACAGGAATGGTGCCCATGATATTTTTTCTTTTTTCTCCAAAATGGTCTTTCCTAATGGAGGCCTGAGAAGGCTGATGTGAACCCTGTGTACCCACGGTATTTTTAAATCCTACACAATACTCTAAAGCATATATATATGATTTGTACAGTCCAGTCAGTTAAGCCAAAATCATATACTGTATATATGTTTTGCACAGTGAAGGGATTAAGCAAAAATGTAAACATTTATGTGTTAATTCAATTAACTGGACAATATTTTCTTGTCATTTTTAATAATAAATTATAATTTTTGTTTTTTCTCAGGCCTTGCACAGTGCTCCGAGCTGTGTTGGCAGCTGCGAGGTGAGGCAGGGAAACGTCAGGTCCCAGGGGCAAAATTAGCTCTCCAGCACAATCTTGGACTAGGGGGTGCCGTCGTTGTAACTTTATACAAGATGGGCTTCAGAGGAAATGACCGGGGGTCAGTAATGTGTTTTTTGTAACCTCGTATAAAATTGGTGATATGTAATCATACAATTACATACATACCAGCAGTTTACTAAATGGAAAATTACTTGTAGGTCTCTCTTCTTGAAAGTTTAAATTCAAGTTCTTGTACTCTTTAAATTGTATAAATAGCATTGAAGTTTTATGCAACTATCCATTATACAGTGCTGGTACAGTATTTATTGTATTTGCTTTAATTTGTTCTTACTGGACTAATGCTACCAGTAGTGGTCATATTATTAATTGATAATAGTGTTTGATATTAAAGGAATTTGTTTAACTATAAGCCTAATTGATGATAATAGTTTTAATAATATGCACTTCAACAGAATTGTAGCAGCTGCTACAAAAGCTGCTGAAGGCTTTCAGAGTGCTGCCATTTTTAATGCTATTCAAGAGGCATTGAAGGCTGATGGCCCTACACTAGTAAACAAGGTAGGCCAAGTCAATATGTATTTCTTTTATTTGTGGGAAAGATAGCAAGGGGCATTTACACAACATTTATACTACCTCATTTTGCTTCTTCCTTTGACCAGTCTTACTAAATTTAAGTGATGTATAGGCTTACCGGTTTAGCACCTTCTCTATATTTACACTTATTCTCATTGACACTTTTCCATAGCATTCTTTTTCTTCCTCGCATCCCTATTCATACTATCCTTCATGCTATCTATATTAAAATTTTATTTAATTTTAAATAATAACACTTGCTGTGGCACCTTAGAGTTCAGCCCCATTCCCATCTACTGTAGTTCAAACTGAGACTTAAAAATATTATTTTTGTTTAGTATTACATCATTTTATTTTGTCTGTATATGACAATCTACAAGAAGCAATGTACACCTAGCCGTAGGGAGCAGTGGGAGTGGCCAAGAGTGATCTACTTGTGTGGTAGTGCTATATACAGTAGTGTGGATGGGTGTGTTTTTTTTTATATATACATATATATGTAACTTTTCTTTTGTATTGCTCTCTTCTGGGTTGATGCCACCCTACTCATGAAATTGAGAAATGGAGTAATGTTGATGCTGATAGATACATTCCTGAAAAAAATATAAGATAGAATAAGAAATTAGGCTAGTGGTGGGTTATAGTACAATACTGTATTGTACAGATAATTATTTGATGGTCTATCCATGTGGAAGTAGGAAGATTGGAAGTCGGCTCCAAATGATGTATGTTATGCGAGTGGTGGTAGACAAGTGGTATAGTATAGATAAGATTGAGATAAGTTGAATTACAATGTGTTGTCGTTGATTGAGGTGAGGGGCAACGACGTTCGAGGGATCGGATGCACCCAACTGTGTGTGCCTGTACTCGATTAGGAAAAAGGAGATCATAATTTGTGTGACAGTTTTAGTATAATATTTTATTATACAGTATTCCTAAATAGTCTCCCTAATGTATTAGAATATGTACTGTGTATTAAATTCTCCATCAGGAGTGAATTTCTGAGCAATTGGATAGAATTAAACTGGACATACTGCAGTTTAGTCATAATTTTTTCTAATATTCCATAACTTTTATATAGAATCGTTTTTATTTAACTTGATAAAAGTTACCAGGTCAAAATAACTTGAGCTCTTGGAAAATGTAGTGTGAGAGTACATAATCTGTTCAATCTCTGTGGAATTGTAATTATAGCACTTGCAAGGCAATCCAGTGATCAGAGGTTCACATGATATTTAGAGATAACATGAGGGTAGTACTGTACAATATACGGCCTGGGCTGATACAAGTGGTATAAACTTATACATACTATTAATCCTCATCAATGGGTTTAGATATCCATTGCCCAAAAAAGTTGGGCAACAAAACACAACCCTTATCACAAAACATTGATAATGGTGCCATGCCCACATAACGGGTAAATATTCCTGCAAGTGGGATTTCATCTCGACATTCTTGTAGTAATTAGGGTAAATTGCCTCCTGTTCAGATATGCAAGAAGGAAAACTAATCCTGGTCTACCAGTTGTTACAAAATACCCAGTGCTGGTGTAAAAAAAATGCAATACTTTAAATGAAAGTTGTTTAAGTACTGTACTTGGAAAATGACATACTGTATCTGGCAAAATTATAATTTAAAAATATATTTTTAGGTGAAGGGTGTGTATTGCTTCGAAGTGAAGGGTGGTCCTGGTGGTAGTGAGGCCAAATGGATTGTTGATGCAAAGAATGGATCAGGATCTGTAACACTAAATGGTGCAGGTTAGTACTTTTTTGTTTGTAAACTGTAATGTAATACTGTGGATTCAATATTTCTCATTTGTTGCTTGTTAAAATAAATGATGTTGAAAATAGAGGAAAATAATTGTTTTAATTTCTACTTCTAACAGCTAAACCAGACGTAACGATTAGCATGGCTGATTCAGACCTTGTCGATTTGATGGAAGGGAAGTTAAACCCTCAGAAGGCCTTCTTCCAGGGCAAACTCAAAATCAAAGGCAATATGGGTCTGGCTATGAAACTGCAAGAATTCCAGAAGCAAGCACAGCAGCTGAAGGCTAAATTGTAGCTTCCCTATGAATATGATATTTTCCCAGTATTTCCATTCTTTATAAATGCAAAAATGACACACACTTCCTTCAACATAATTGTCAAACTTCAAACAACTATCCATCCAGTATGAATGACACCAGCTTCAAGTGTCAGACTTAAATTGAACAAGATTACTATGAGAAATAACCGGAAAGGTTCTGTATTTGTTTCCTGCAATTACTGCAGGTAAGGCAGATATAGAATCTCGCCTAGTAGTACTGTTGAATATAGACAGTTTCATGTGGTTATATATCTTGCACAACTGTATTGTCAAAAGCAAATTTCACACTCCAACCTTGGTGCTAATACATTCATATTTGTAAAAATTGAATCATACAGTTTTAAATGTGGCGGTGAGAAATAAATTGTGTGATATTTAGTGTCATTCATTCGGAAGTACTCAATTTTGTCCGCAAGTCCTGGACCTGGCTTCTCCTCGGGTAATTTTATAGTAAGCATTCACAACTGAAGCAGTGGCATTGAAGTGTTTCGGTCTTCAATTTGTTGCTAGACTAAAGTTTAAATTTAAAAGGATTTTTGTTTTTTGTAAGATTTTGCAGATATTGGTCACTTGTCACTCGCTATCCATTTCAAATGTGTAAAGTGTGTAATAAAGTCTGGGATGTTTCTAACACATGGTTGTATGTCTTATCCACAATTGGTAATATAGTCACTATATCTTGAACTATTGTTCTTTAATACTGTATATTCATTTGAGTATACAGTATATATATATATATATATATATATATATATGGGCGTATAATATGCATTACCTCTGGGTTCTTATATCCATGCAAAGGAATTTTTTGTGCATATTCTTACTAGTGTCAGGCAATGGATGTAATACATATTATCAATAATAGCCCATTCAGATGAATTTTTCTTGCTGTTGGCAAGCACATGTCTATGTACAAAGCTTTTTGTAACTACCCTTAGCCAAAACTTCATTGGTCTGAAGTTAATTGCAATGCCTTCAATGCAACGTTTTAAATTGTACAGAATAATTTGCTATTGCAAATTAGAGCAATGCCAACAATGCAATGAACATATAGATATTAACAAACTTTTCATGTCGAGTTCCATAGAAATGCAAGTGTAATGTTTTCCAGTTTTTATATAATGGCAATACAAAATTTTGTGAATATATTTAGACTAAGTTTAGTTTATAAGAATCTGCAGCTTTGACTATGAATATCAATATTTAGATATGTAAAGAAGCTTTATCATTAAAATAATGTATATATTTTTGGGCTTTTAACATTTCCTGAGTGTATTGAATATCTTAGTTCTCAAGCATATTGAAATTGAAGGAAGAAGTGGTGTCTTGAAAAGACTGAATGTTGAGAGTGGGGATAAAAAAAAGGGGGGAATTACCAGGGGAAAAGTGCCAAGCCATTTTGACTATATAGCACTTTGAAGGGGTCAGGATAAGGATTTGGGATGGGATGGGTAAAAGGAAATGGTGCCCAATCACTTTGATGGTCCGGGATTGAACGCATAAACGTGCATAAAGCGAGACCAGGCTATGAAGTGTTGTCAGTGGAGAAGGAATATATATATATATTGATTATATGAATTTTTTTATCTTAAGTTTTACATAAAATCAATTTGATACTATTGAAACCAAAGTCATTTATCATCAGACTTATTATACTTTATTCCATAAATCCTTTGGTTACTGAAAGACCAATATTGGTAGTATATAATTTTTAGCAGATACAAGTGGAGATTTGCTTGGTATCGATGTTGATAATGACTTCAGTTCACTGATAATGTATTATCTGCCAATTAGACATTCTTCATGCTTTTTAAACCTATTTCCTCTGGATTACTATCCAGAAGATACACTCGAGTCTCATTTACACGATGAAGAGAGGAGTGGGGCAACTTTATCCTATTATAAATAACACCTGTAATGCCTGACATTTTCCCCTTGCCCTTCATGTCATCCAAATTATAAATGGAAAAACTTCCTTGTCACGCTTTCATATCCATAAGAAGTTGACTCAAGCATATTTGACTGTCTCATGTCACAGTATTGCATCTTTTAGTTGAAAGCCTGAATTTTCAGGAAGATGGGAAATCATACAGTACTTCCAACCATTCCTTGACAGCTGTTACTAGACACTTCAATGAATCTAACTCTTATCACATGGATAACCTTATGTCCTGCTCTCATATCAAGTTTTAATGGTATTTACTGACCTTTGAGCTTTGCATCAATGTATAATATAGTTTTACTGGATTATCTCTTTGCCTTGATAATTTACAGTATTTAGTGAGTGCTGTAAACCTTTCAATGTTCCAATTACCAAAAGCTTTCAAGCATCTATCTTCTGGTAACTATAGATCCATCACTTTAACACAGCTGAATTTCTAGCTAATGAACTACAAACTTAAAATTTTTAATTAGTGCACAAAACTGGATACTTTTTTTATCTGCATATCTGGCAAATCTTTGGTTATGTTTATTAGTATCTACCAAAATGCTATGGAAAAATATATTGTTGTTATTTTGAACAGACACCACATAATTACAACTACTAGACATAGATTCTTCTGAGATTTTTGAAAAGGATCTAGGGCGTAATATACATGACAGCTTTTTAGATGTTATCGGTGATTTTAACCCTTAATCAACTCCTGTCATTCTCAAATGATAGATGCATGGCGCTTGTGTTACAAGTTATAGCCACGGTTTGCCAGTGCAGTGTTCGGGTCCAGCGCCTCAATAGTTAGCTAAACTGGAAGTATTTAATCAATTTCAGTCTGGCCTACAAGGAGACACAGGTAATTTCTGAATAGTTTTAATTATAATCTGGTGTAATTTTAGCACAGTAAAATGTAACTGGGTGTTAGAATAAAATATTAAGCATTCAAGGAGAATCTTCGAGGATATGCTTGAAAGCTTTTAAACGCCTCTCAGAGACTGGACCGTTGATAATTTAATTAGTGGTGGTGCTTCCATAGCAACTGAGTTACACCATTATGATGTACTAAAGTTGATGATCCTTGCCTGACCCACGAATAGAAAACGGGACGTCACGGATGATCAATTTTGCGAGCCGCAGTAGTTTTTAGTACATAAGTTTATGGCCTTATGGGATTTCTATGTCAAAATGTGATGTCCTATATGAAAGAACGGGTTGATAATAAATCACATTTTTACGTAAAAAAATCCCCAACGGCCAAAACATAACATACAGTACCATAAATCATACAGCAGCTCGCAAAGAAAGGTCACATTTTCTCTTATGAGTGAGTGGGTGGGTGGGATGGCGTGACCTGTGACAACCGTTGTATCAGGCCGTGGTGGCCGGTGGTGTGTTGTGTGCACAGTTCAAGGACCCTTCTGATACTCTCTCCACCCGTTATGGGGTCATTCCGGGTGGCGTGAGTTGCTGCCGCTCACTGCCTAATCTCAGCTACCGGGAAAAAAGTGCTTAATTGACATTAACTGTCGCTTATTGAGCAAGGATAATGGCCAGGAGGGTGAAGGAAAAATGGAACTTTTAACAAGTCAATGGCCGGCCGGCTATTTTGGTCCCGTCGAGGCCACAGGAGACGGCGCTCTTCTTCAGGAAAATTCAGGTAAATTTTGGAAGTAGTGCAAGTTGAATTTATTTAGTTATTTATATATACAAGAGTTCTTACATTCTTGTACAGCCACTAAACCTCAGGAACCTGTACACCTGTTGATTGACGGTTGAGAGGCGGGACCAAAGAGCCAGATCTCAACCCCCGCGAGCACAATTAAGTGAGAATTAGGTGAATACTAGCACGATAGCGTTGCGGGCAGGTCCTTAATCCTATGCCCCCCCCCCCGGAATACGACCCGCTAAATTGTTTAACAAACCCATTTTAATCTACGATTATTGTAACTGTTTCACGGCACTTAGCTCTTACGACCGCTTGAGGTCATTGAGTTTATACTCATCAGTCATTGAGAGCAAGATGATTGTATAATAAGTGTTGACTACGGTCGCGAGGTTATATAAGGCTGATAGCGCAGATTAGAGGCTTTTTGTTTCAAAATGAATAAAATCGGGTAATAGCCTAGCTTGTCCCAGCCGCATAAGATAAGATGTTTATTCAGGTAAAGGTACATACATTGAAAACTAGTTACTAACATAATGTTGGATTGTATGTTGTACTACTGTTGTAATGTTGTTGTTAATGTCGGCTGTTACTACTACAGTAATGTACTACTGTTGTAATGTTGAAATTGTATGTACTAACATAATAGTACATACAATTTCTGAAGCCACAAATACGAACTGTGTTTCGGGCATATGTCATCACGCCATCAGGGACGAAATTCTAATTATTTTTAGGACTTTATCGACCATACTGATATCAGGGTTCGTCCTTGAAGACCGCGGAGGTGTAATTTAGGTCATAAAGAACAGGAAATAAAATAATTTATTTGTCAGAACTCTCAAATCAAGGTAACTCTGCTATTTGTCTAAAATTATAGAGATCCCGATTTAATCTTATATTCTGTACAATATTTTAATGTTCTCTTTCTGAAATACTAATACTGTATGTATTTGGGATATAGTATATTTAATCACATAGTTAATTTAAAGACTACCGTAATTATAGTATGGCTTAACTCGAATTTCAAGTTTTTAATCTCGATCTTTTTATAAGTGCACGTGAGCCTTTGAATGATAAATAAAAACATTCAAATTCCAATATGTTTTTTATATAAACTAGGTCTGTGGTTTAATAAAATTTTGGTTTATCGCGATTCAGTAAATGATAAAAATTGACCGTGATTCAAAATTCTTCGTACTCATCCTGTGAGCGGTAGTTTATTATGCACCCCATACTCATCCTGTGAGTGGTATTATGCACCCCATACTCATACTGTGAGAAAGTAGTTTGTGATGCACCATATACTCATCCTATGAGTTGTATTAAGCATCCCATACTCATCCTGTGAACGGTAGTATATTATGCATCCCATACACTTTGCCAAATATCCCCAGTTTGCAAACTGTAGGTAGTAACTAAGTGACTGTAACCTATCTACCGCTGCCCACTGGATGGGGGGCGGTATGCACGATAAACATATCAATTGTGACATTAGCTCTCCACATTTGTCAGTTGCTTAATTTAAAAACTGTACTTGAGGTCGATCTCGAACCCATTTATGATGTGACGACTTGTACTGAATTTTGTAACTAGCTCATCAAGATTGTAACTTGCTTAGCTAAATGAATTGTGGGGTTCAGGCCCTGAGCCCATTATGTGCCTCTGTAACCCTTTCCACTACCGCTCACAAGATGGGTATGAGGGGCATAATAATTGAACTAAACTACTACCACACTCTTCCTGTGAGCGGTAGTTTGTGACTCGTATACTCATCCTGTGTACGGTAATTTATTATGTACCCAAAAGTAACTTCAAACTCTACTAGGATGCTACGCTAGCCCCAAAGCGTTTGGTTTCCAGCCTTTGACGGACATTAATAGTATAGATTTTGTATACTATATGAGCGAATATGTCCAACGTTGGAGGCTAGATACTTGAAACTAGCCTCGTCCAACTTTGCAGGGAAAATGGTCTGTGGTACGGGACGAATGTAGGCTAGTGTAGGTCGGCCTAAGTTAAATATTTTACGAAATATCTGCCTGTAATCTCTCTCCTTCACCCCCCCCCCCCCCATGCGATTTTATAAAGCCTGAAATTAAATATTGGATGTGTTTTCCGTAGATTTTTAAGTTTCGCTCGCTTTCATGAGTTAATAAAAACCTATGAACGGAATTCATTTTGGTTACACGTGAAGAAAGTGATGAGTGGTGTAGATGGGTTACAGTGATAAAGATGGTATATAGAGCGAGAGTAGTATGTAGTGAAGATGTAAGATAAGGAGAGAGGGAGATGGGGGGAGGGGAGGGTGCTGTAGGATGATGAGGGGAGAGCGGGAGAGGGGATGATGAGAAGAGAGGGGGGACAGGGGAATGGTGATGGGAGAAGGGACAAGGTGAAATGGGGGGGGAAGATGGAGGATGGGAGAGGGGAAGGGATAGATAGGTCGGTAGACTTATGGAACAGCCCCATGGAAAGCTTGAGTTACTCTTATATCGGATATAGTTTTCTGTAACATACAAAGCAAAGAATTATATCTCCAATGGTAGCATAATATTCATATTATTTTACTTGAGGACCATAAACACTAGTGGCCTCGACGAGGACATGAAGCCGATGGCTTGTTGAAGGTTCCCCCCCCCCCACCCCACCCTCATTTGCCCTGATAACATAATTCCTGTTGTTAGGTATAGGAAATGTGTTCAACCATTTCTGTCCCGCCCTCCATCCTAGCCCGTTGGCAGGGTTGTTGGTCCTCTGTAGATAGTAACAAGCTGCGTACTCTCAAACGTAGTGTGTCCCCGTGGCTTTCCTCCTACCACCGTAACATCCTTGTTGAATGTCCTGACCTCCAGGACGAGCGTGTGTCTTGCTTTCCGACCGTCCCTCGCGGTCACTTGTCCCTCGATAGAATTCTAGGAGAATCCGATACTTTTGATATCGTTCGCCTTATGCGTTTCTGTTCTCGTATTGGCATTCTTGGTGATATTTAGCGCCCTCTGATTATTTCGCACTTTGATGGTGCTACATAGCCTTCCCGGTTTGGTGCCTTCTTTTGATAATTACTTACTTACTTACTTACTTAGTTTTACTTAGTTTTAAGCTGTAGTCATTAATGTTTTTCCTGCCCGAAACGCTTTGCGTAATAGTGGCTTTAGGCATTGTATGTACTAGCTCTATCTATAAAGCCAACAAACTTTGTAAATCTCTTTATGTATGTACCTTACCTAAATAAAGATTATTATTATTATTATTATTATTATTATTATTATTACTTACGTGTACGACATTAGAGATGCTTTAGTCACCCATAAGGCAATGCAGGCGTGGCATTCATGACGAGTACTAGAGAAAACGGCAGAGAGGAGTAACTATGGTGTTCCTGACTTCGCGAGTTCTCCTTATTAAAACTTACTTATTTACTTCAAATTAAAATTCAGCTAGACGAGAAATTGAGAAATAATGAAGGGACCTTTGGCGAGGCACCGGTTCCCTGTCCCCATCGAGGTTACTAGAAATGATGGGACAGAAAGCCTGTCACCTTTGGAGTGTATCCAGGTTCCCCCCCAAGGTCGAACTACTGAAAAATGGCTAACCAGTTCCGCTCGGGAATCGAACTCTAGGATCTCCGATTGTGGTTCGAGAACGATTAAGATCACTATACTACGAGACAATTGTTGAAAAACTGGTTTTCAAGACGAAAGTTGTATTGTTGTTCCATGACTATCTAACCGATCTTAACAGAACGACACATTTTGACGTATATTCAACCTAATTCCAAAAATCGTCGCACTAGATTGCGACGAATTGCGTCTCGCAAAATTGGCATTGTCCCGTTTTCTGTTTGGAGTTCTCTGGCAGGTTAGGATAAGAGCATTTTAGTACGACAGTTTTTTCTTTGACGTTGGGAATCGTTAGGAGGGCGGGCTGGACTATCAGAATTTGTCTGAGTATCGAGCCAGCTGTTTCCTGGATACTCAGATCAAATCATTTCCGAACTCTGATATTCTAGGGAAAGTGAGCATCGCGTGACGATAGTGAGAGAAGATGCTCAAAACCAGTACCATGTTGGGAGTCTCAGCCGACACAACCACACCCTGTAACACAAGGTGTAGCGATCCCCACACAACCATCCGCAACAACACACAAGGTGTAGTGACCACCACACTACAATCACAGACTCTCCTGGTGGATAACTTCACCTGTCGCCAAGCTGCCGGGAGGGAAAATCACAGCTGGGGACATTTCCCCGAGCAAGCTGGCATCGTTCCCATGACCCCGTGATAAATAACCGAAGATGCCAAATAAACCCACAGTGCTAATTTACGACAATTATGCTTTTACAACTCGAGTAACTCGTTTGCTTCAGAAACAAATTAGGACCATGCTATAGAGATTCCGCAAGAGTCAAGAGGTATGTACAGATGATGCGTAGGAATGAGTGCTACGGAGTGTGTGTGAGGAGGAGCGCCCAGTCCTCCCTGGAGCCCCGGTCTGTATATGACTAGCAACAGCCGAGGTTCACTCTCAGTAACCCACACACGGTCGTCATGCACACACTTGCGTTCGTCCTCCAACTGGCGGCAGCAGCCCTGGGTGAGAGGCTGCACACGACGCCCGAAAATGGGTGCCTTGTTTGGCCAACATAATATATATATATTAGCGAGCTTAGGTACCGTGCTGTTACCCTAATCCATATGATGGGCTACAGAAGCTAGGCGGGATGGGTATATGGGGTTTATAAGTTAAATTGTTCATCTAATATCCCCAACTTACAGAATGGTTTGTCATGCATGGGAGACGAATAGTCTACCTGGCCTACACTAGTCTAATTCTGGTACTGTATCACACAGGCGAATGTGTTTTGCTGCCCGTACATGTGGTTCTCAGCTCCGAACGGACCAAACCTCAATATTACTGCTTTGCACCATGCCTCATTTCTTGATTTAAAGTATTTAATTTAATTTTATTTTTAATAATAGAAATAGATATAGTTCGGTTTTGTGTTTGTTGTATGAAGCTTAAGCTACCTCATCTATCATCTTGTATGGGAGATGGTGTGTATATCACTGTAAACTAGAGTACCGTGGAGCAATCCGGGTTTTGTTTACAACTGCTAAGAGTGTCGTGACGTAAAGCAAGAATCCAACACTCATGATTATAGGTAAACTGTGTTTTCAGCGGTTCCTTCAGTCCGCGTGCGGCCTCGCCTACCCGACCGGCTAGGGGTGGTAGGCGGGACGGACGCGACCCCCGGGGAGCTGCCGTACCAGATCAGCCTCCAGGACCTCTCCTACGGGTTCGCTTACCACTTCTGCGGCGCCTCCATCAAGTCTGAGCTGTGGCTGCTGACGGCGGCTCACTGCGTCGATGAGATCGACCTCGATGCTCCTGACTACATCCAGGTCAGCTCCTCTATTGTCCCCTTCCCACAGGTGTTATATATAATAATTCGTTTTCTCGGGGACAGGAAGCCTGCATATATATACTTTAAAAGGCTTGTATGGAGGTCCTTTCAATGTTGAACTAATGACCCTCCCCCAGAATGTAACCCCACAACAGTTGTTTAACTCCCGGGGTACCTGTTTACTGGTAGATGAACAGGTGTATTAGATGAAAAGAAGTGTGCCCAACCATTTTAGTCCCGGCCGGGAATCGAACCCAGCATCTTCTGATTCCGAGTCGAGATGGAAGTTTATATAGCGGTAGGAGGCTCATGCTTCGTGCAGCTGCGAATGCCTGTTTTATCTTATATTAATAGAAAAAGATTGAGAAGAGTAGAGGCTCTCAGACCTTTAGATCGACCATCTGACTGTGGGGTCAACCGTCAGGCCAAGAGGTCAACCGTCAAGTCAAAACTGTGTGGCCGTCCACGACAAGAGCACAAGCTAGCCAGGTCTGGGGCTGTGAGGACGTGTGGAGCACGCCACTGGGGTATGGCACCCTCAACCCTCTGTGTTTGATCACATCAACACATCCATACCGTGCTGCTGAGTGCCTTCAGTGCCACTGCACAAGTCACCGGCATAAAGAGGATACTTAATAGTGAACAAATGGCCTTTAAGTCAGGTCCGGGTGGCACCCTACTCACGGCCAGCCATCGCTAAGTGGACTTTCAGAGTTTGGTGTATCATTTGTGTTAATAACAGCTTTTTACCTCTGGTAATTTTAAGTGTAAACCTCTAAAAAGAAGAGATCCCTTGGTAAGGAATAACCAGCCTTAGGACATGAGAACACACTGACTGCTGTGCATAAGGTGGGCTCTCAGCCGCATCCCCCACCAGGACCTAACCTCCCCTTCTCCCCACCGGAGGGGGAAAATGCCCCCATCAACCACAGCAGAGTATGTTGGGGGGGAGGGGGGTTACCTTGCCAGCCTTGGACAAAATATGACCCAGTTCCCATCACGGTAGGCATCCAGTGTGTATATATTATATAATGCGTGGTGACCTCATGCCATCTCATACTGCCTTAGTTTTTTCTCGTAATTTATGTACTTATCCATATACTCATCCTTGTACTATATTCTTATCCATATCCTCATCCTTATCCTCATACATACATACGCCCCCTTCTTATCCTCACTAATACTACTAACACCACCGCCACACTGGGCACCAATGGAACACACCTCACCACCCGACAACACAACCAGTGCCGCAACTCATGGCAACAATCAGCGACTCATAAACCAGGACTGTTGCAGGCTGTTGCCGGAGACGTTAACCAGGTGATCAACGAGGGAACAGAACAAGAGATAGCCCTCGCTAAGATTATCATCCACGAGGACTACGACGGCTTCACCATCGTCAACGACATAGCCCTTCTGCAGCTCTCAAGTCCTCTTGAACTGACCTCGTATGTGAAGCCTATCGCCTTGCCTCCCGCCGAGCACACCTCCACAGGGATGTGCGTCGTGTCGGGCTTCGGCGCCACGACGGAAGGCGGAGATCCCTCTGACACCCTGCAGAAGGTCTCTCTTCCAGTGTGGTCCGACAGCGATTGCCAGTTTGCCTACGAAGGTGAGATCGAGGAGGGCATGTTCTGCGCCGGTCTGAAGGAAGGGGGCCACGACGCCTGTGGGGGTGACTCCGGCGGTCCCCTGGCGTGTGACGACCTGGATACGAGGTACCTGGCTGGTATCGTGTCCTGGGGGTTCGGGTGTGGGAGGCCAGACTTCCCAGGAGTGTACACTAAGGTCTCCCACTACATCGACTGGATCAACAGCATCTCTTCGTGAGAGGATCGCTACGACTATAGATCAACAGGTTAGGCTGTGCTTAATAATATACATTATGAATGACGTGTGTACATTTATTTTCAAAAATAAATCCTGATTCTGTCTATCGGAGTCTCACTGAACCAGCCTACCAGTGTACTGATCTGTATACTGGTAGTATTCTGTAGAGTATACTGATCCGCCACTAAACTGAAAAAAATGCCTTGACACCCCACTGAGGGACTGCTCTTGCCTCTTAAGAGGCTTGTAGCGCAGTAGTCTGTGCAGTCAGGTCACATCCGAAAGGTCCCGTATTCGATTCCTTTAGCAGGACAATGTTTCCTTTTACCTGATGTTCCCGTTCACCTATCAGTAAATAGGAACCTTGGAGCAAGCAACTATTGTTGGTTGCATCCTGGGGACGTCAGTAGTTGGCCTAATGGGAGAGAAGGATTTTGATAAACTTAAGAGGCATCCTGTCTCCGGACATGGAAAACAAATAATGAGGCAAGAGTTCTTTAAACTGCCTGAACTCTCGGGGATTACATCTTAAGGAATGATCCTTCTCAATCTGCCCATTGTGAGAAACTGTTTGTTCCTAGTAATGACAGGTGCCTCAGGTAAGGCGACATAAGGTTGTAAGTTGTTTGGCTAGTGTCTTCTGTGTGGTGAGAACAGCAACTGACACACAATTACCCAGTGATTATATTTATGAACCACACACAGCCATTTGGGTTTCGGGTTATTCATGCCCGTGCCACCTCTTGGGTGGCTTAATCTTCATTAATCAATCAATCAATCAACCATTTGGGCTCGTCGGTACAGCGATGGTCTCGCTTCTTGCAGGTCTGCGTTCTATCCCAGTTGGTCCAAGTGGTTGGGCACTGTTCTTTCACTCCGTCTTGCTTCGTAGCCTTTCCTGCTTGGTACCTTATTTTGATAATTACTTGCTTTACTGCTTTATTCCGTCCTTATGTCCCAGCTCCTCGTATCCCTTCCAGGTGCTATGCAGTTATACTGGTGCTCTGTTTAAGAGGTTTTGACGCAGAAAGATAGCTTGTTTCTGAGCACCCAGATACTGAAGTGTTCATTATGTTCACTGGTGTGTTACTGTAGTGTATGCTCTATTTACAATATATTTATTCCAGTTAATGTGGGCACATTGTAGGGTGCATTTTCACATGTAAAGTAGGTGCAGTAATTCATTGGAAAGTCAAGCTCAGTTACGCTACTATTCTCTCTATATATATTTGGCTGCTGTTGTGTACAGAACAGAACATTTCCTAATAGTAAGTGTTATAGTATATATAAATTGAAAACTACGTCTTGGCATCCCAATTTAAGACTATTCTTTGTTCATAATCACTGTCAAGTTAAGACAGTATTCTTATTCAAATGTATTGATACTTTTCATACAAAAAAGTTTGTTTACATTAGTGATTAGTTAGATAAACGAATTTAGATAATTTGAAGCTAATAGATGCGTTTGGGGAGAATTCCCTCATAAGCAATATATCCGTATTATTTACGGTCTGCGCAGCAACTAGAACCGTACATGACTAACGTGTTAACATGAGTGACGGACCGCTCGGTAAAAAGAATGGGAGTGGGGAAATACGCCATTTTCCCTGAGCGACCCTGGAAGATACGGTGTGGCAGCCTCGCTCTCGTTTCTCACGACTCGAGATAAAGGGGTTCCCAGCGCCAGGTACGTCTGAGCCCACCGACTCTTCCCTAACTCCACCTCTGAGCCCACAAACCCTTTTCTAACTCCTGAGCCCACAAACCCTTTTCTAACTCCTGAGCCCACAAACCCTTTTCTAACTCCTGAGCCCACAAACCCTTTCCGAAATGAGCCTCTGAACAACAGGTCTCTTCCCCCCCCCCTAACTCCAGCCCAATTTGCTCCGCGTTTCAAGCTGTTTTCGCTGTCTTGGTATAAGCAAGTCCCAGCTGTGTCTGGGTATAAGTGACAGGATGAACAACCCAGCGGGTTTTCTTCCTTTTGAGGAGTGTTGTACATGCTGCTATGGCGGTGTGTCCACTCACAAGATGAGTGGCGCTGCCCAATAAACTCGCCCCTCGGGGCAAAATTAACAAAATAAAATGGTATCGAATATTTAGTCAATGAAAACTGTGCATGAACAATGACGAGGCACTGGGCCTAAGTCTTGACGATGACGAGGCACTGGGCCTAAGTCTTGACGATGACGAGGCACTGGGCCTAAGTCTTGACGATGACGAGGCCTAGTCTGGATCATGACGAATCACTTGGGACCATGACTAAGCAAAGACAGAACGCGTAGGGCCACGGGTTGCAATTTAATTTGTTGCTAGACACTAAGGGCGCCATAACTAGACCCCAGAATTTGGGCCTCGGTGAAGGGGGTGGGAGTGAGTATATATTGATAAGGCTCTCACCTGCAGGGTCCCACACACCAGGAGAAAACTCGTGTTAACTGAGCACCAAGGTTAAGGTACTCTGGTAACTTTAACCAGGTTACATCGTCCAGTTATAATAGAGGGTTAACAAGGTTACAGTAGCAGGTGGATATGCCCGGCAACATGTTGGAAGACCATGTGCTGGTAGAGGGCACATAGTTTCTCATGAGGCTATACCCGAGTTAGTGTCATGAGGCTATACCCGAGTTAGCGTCATGAGGCTATACCCGAGTTAGCGTCATGAGGCTATACCCGAGTTAGCGTCATGAGGCTATACCCGAGTTAGCGTCATGAGGTTATACCCGAGTTAGCGTCATGAGGCTATACCCGAGTTGGCATCTGCAGCAGTGCTGTTGAGTTTGACGCTGCTGACGGAGGCAGATCTGACTCAGGAGGGCGGTAGTGGAAAGGGTTACAGAGGCACATAATGGGCTCAGGGACTGAACCCCACAATTTATTTAGCTAAGCAAGTTAGTCTTGATGAACTAATTACAACATTCAATGCACATCGTCAAATCAACAATGGGTTCGAGAACGACCACAAGTACAGTTTCTAAATTAAACAACTGACATATGTGGAGAGCTAGTGTCACAATTTGTTTATTCTACACACCGCTCCCCTCCCCCCCATCCAGTGGGCAATGGTGGATAGGTTACAATCACTTAGTTACTACCTATAGTTAGCAGAAGGAGCAATTAAGGATGATAAAGAGTCGCTTACAATTAATGAATCAAGTTTGGAGACTTGTATACGTTTCAGTGCAAGAAGCAAGACAAATAGTTCGGTAACATCACATTGCTCCAAATACATTAACTCTGACACACATGGAATATGAACACTGACAGGTGGACCCCGCTCCACAGTGCATATACACTGAGAGATTACTTTAGCCCTGGATTATGTTCAGGATTACAGTATACTGCTAGATACAGCCTTTAGACACTAAGTCCAACACCAAGCCAAAACTCAGGCACAGGAGTAAATACATTATATTTTTAGAATGACTAAAGTCAAGATATAAAAGTATTATAATTTTTACCACTGAATCTCTTCAGATACATGTAAATATATTAAAAAGTAAATTTGTTAGATATAAATTACTTCTACTGAATCTGTACTTATTATTTAAAAAAAATCAAGGTGGTAATAAATTATTTTATCAATGCTTCATATAATTCTTCCAACAATTGATGTTAAGCTAGTTGGATTGTAATTATAAACCAAGCAGAGATCTGTCATCAATTTTAAAAACTGACACTACATTAGCAACCCTCAATACTGCTGTTAATTTTTTTATTAAAATTGATTTCTTAATGGTCTGCCAAAATCTTCATCACATTATTTTGACAAATGATAAACAATAATTTACCTAGTCATCTGGAGTCATTAACATTTGATCCAAGATCCCTACATAAAATACACACATCGTGAGCTTCCTGTAGTGTGTTTATAAAGGCTTTGTTAGTACTGAAAGTTGCTCACCTACCAACCCTTACATCAGTATCATCGCTGTCTATTGCCCACCCTTGTTGGTTCACATAAAAATTTTTACAGTAGCAGGAGTGGACTCTTAAATACAAAAGGTTCCCGTAATATTAACCCAATATTTTCCTCCTCCTATCAGACGTCTTCTGACAGGCTGACAACCTTTAACTCTTCCAGTGCACGCTAATATTTCTATCATCCAACACACTAACCTCTAAGAAAGAATACCAACAGCTCTTAGTACTGAATCTGCTTGCAGATGCCAATACCAAGGCTCAGCTGTTCTGTCTCTTCTCACTAATTACTTGTTACTATCCTGAAATATATTTTTGGAATATGTACATTGTTGATAGTTACTGTGGGTATCACTGTCCATCTGCCTGGATGTTGTAAAGAGATTATTCGACTATCTGAGGTCACTCTGATCCCAACATTTTAAAGAGAGAGTAAAAAAGTCTTGTATACGAAGTGGAAGTATTAGAGCACGCTCCGTACACAGGTTAAACTATATGACAAAACCGTCGTGGGTTAACGAGTGATTGTACTGATCCTAGGGAGGTATCGAGTGATCACACAATCGATTACTAGTTACAGAGGCGCAATTCGGAATCAGATTACCATATAAAGAAATCCTCACACACAAGCAACGGCTGCAAAGGCCTCACCCCTGCTTTCGCAACATTATTGATCATCGTGTATTATGTTTCTAGGAGGTCTGGCTGAGATATGCGGCTGGGCCGGATGAGGTCTGGCTGAGAGATGTGGCTGGGTTTTGTGAGGTCTGGTTGAGAGGTCCAGTTAGGTCTTTTAAATTCCGTCTGAGATGTACTGGAGACGACACCAATCTGAAAAACGCATATTGCATATTTGTTAGTGCAAAAAGGTCTTCGCCAGGTAAATACTAAACAGCAATCTTTATCTCAAGCGGACCGGCCCGAGGCTTAGTCAATGCATAAATATAATGAAAAGAATCATCTTATTTAGATTTCAACGATAATTTTGCCCTTCGCCAGTCCGCAGACGAAAGCCTCTTCTGCTGTACAATACTTTTACAAGTGACATGTAAGTTGGATACAATGAATTACCTTAAGGTACTGGATTACGTTGATTACGGTGTCAAGGAATTTCAAGCAGACTTGGAAATCCCGTATGCAATTACGTAATATATGAATTGACATTATAATCAAGCATGACGTCGCGGACGGCTCTTGCACGCTGGTACGCTGCCAGTACGCGCAGCACTGGCAGCGTATCAGTATATGACTGGATACCATTAAACTGGATGCGTCTAATTGTTCTGATATGTGGTAAACAGACACGGGCACTGACCTGGCTCCGAGGGGCTCGCCTCAGAGTGGACCTGTCTTGCTCCTCCTCGCGACTTGTGATCGTCTGGATGATCTGATCTGGGGACAGCCCTCGCTGGCACAGGAGGTCAAACTGGTAGAAGCTCTTATACTGCATGATTTGTAAATATATACGTTTACCCTGAGAGAAATTGAAATAAGTTTATTTAGGTAAAATACACACAAAGGGATGAGGTAGCTCAAGCTATTCTCACCCCGTTCAGTACATCGTGTTAATACATGCATACATACCTGAGAGAGAAACACTCGTTACTGGCAATAATAATTCCTGTTGTAGGAAGCCTGTACTTAGGTCTAATCGACGTCTCCCTAGCCCCAGGATGCAACCCACAACAGGTGCCTAACTCCATGGTAATATTTACTGCTGGGTGAACAAAGGCATCGGGTGAAAGGAAACAAAACCTAACCATTTTTGTCCTACTCGGGGATTAAACCTAGTACCCTCGATTGAGAGTAGAATATGTAGACTACTGTCTTATAGGACCCCTGAAAGCCTTGATATCATACGAGTCGAATGCTGCAAGTTAAACATCTAAACCTCTCTCTCTTCCTGAGTTTAAAAAAGCAATTTGTATTTGACTTTCCCATTTGGAAAATAATAATAATGCCGTGACACTTGTTTACTGACTAGTAAAAATACTTTAGTTCTGAACATAGTGCAGGACTAAAGCTCTTAAGTGTACATACACCGAGAGCAGTATTTTACCTCTAATAAACTTATTTCAATTTCAATTTCAATTACACCGAGAAGCAGGGATACAACTCTCAAGTGTATATAGATCTCTTCACATTGAAGAATTGAGTCATATGGGTATATATAATGTCAGACGACAACGTGTACATCTTAACCCTTGGAGTGCGCAATTCTCTCAGCTCTGGTCCATCACTGTGTGCTTGAGGAGAAGGAACAAACTTGTAACTGGCAACAGATACAGTGGACACCTACGGGCTCACCATAGCCCGTGCTACTTGGAATATTTTGTTCCGAGTAGCTGAATCTAAAACAACAACAACAGTGGACGGCCCACCTCGCCTACCTTGTTAGTGAGAAAGGTAAACAGTCCCTCTCCTGTGGCTGCCCTGCGACCGGCCTCAAAATGGAAGTTGCTGGTGGAGTAGCCGAACCTCCTGATGCTTGATAAGCTCCACTCGCACAGCCTGTAGCCGTTGACGACCAGAGTGATGCTGCTGGGCTTGACCAGAAGGGTTCCCTCGCCTCTCAAGCCCAAGCGCTGCCGAGTCTCGGGGTTCAGAATCACAGGGAACTGCCACTCCTCTGCAATAGCAGAATAAAGGAAGATGGAGACCTAGACGACGTAGCTCCGATTTACATCCACCAAAACTCGCTCATATATAATATATATATAAATATAATTGTAAAACATAGTAAAGTAACTAAACTATCAATGAGAAAATCAGGAGCTGTGAGGAGGATTCGAACCTATGCTCTGGGTACTCTCAAGCACACGCCTTAGACCACTACCCCACGACAAGGTCAAAAGCAATGCAAACTGTGATTCAACTGAGTCCTCTAAGGGTCCTGGGGCTTCCACTAAAGCCTCAATTTTAGTGGTCTAAGGCGTGTGCTTGGGAGTACCCTGAGCATAGGTTCGAATCCTCCTCAGCTCCTGATTTTCTCACCCATACAAATATATATGGCTAATCTACACATAAAATAATACAAAAATCCCTAACAATTTTTTCCATAAATCTACATTATTGTTATATTCCTGAAACATAATGTTCAGTAATAGTTATAGATTGACGTTCATACTCGCTACGGTAGAATTTGAATGCAAGTTATTCAGGAATCCTACACACCCATTTCCGGCATCGGATATGGTATGAAGGAAGTTTGGATCCCTCTTCTGAACTGTGCTTTGGAAGCCATGTCACCAACACGTAATCCGTCTTCACTCCACGAGGTGTTCGTGTAGCCATACCGATGCATCTGCAAAGACAGTTCTTGTAGCTTTTGCTTATAAGCAGCTAGATGGGGTACCCAGCTTTTTCAAGGTCTCTCTCCCCCTCCCTTCTCTCTCCCATGCATATATATATATATGCATATATATATATATATATATATATATATATATATATATATATATATATATATATATATATATATATATATATATATATATATATATATATATATATATATATATATATATATATATATATATATATATATATATATATATATATATATATATATATATATATATATATATATATATATATATATATATATATATATATATATATATATATATATATATATATATATATATATATATATATATATATATATATATATATATATATATATATATATATATATATATATATATATATATATATATATATATATATATATATATATATATATATATATATATATATATATATATATATATATATATATATATATATATATATATATATATATATATATATATATATATATATATATATATATATATATATATATATATATATATATATATATATATATATATATATATATATATATATATATATATATATATATATATATATATATATATATATATATATATATATATATATATATATATATATATATATATATATATATATATATATATATATATATATATATATATATATATATATATATATATATATATATATATATATATATATATATATATATATATATATATATATATATATATATATATATATATATATATATATATATATATATATATATATATTTAAATTGCATTACATAAAATCAGTTACATAGTTACATACGAGGTATACAAAGTTATTTGTTAGAGGCTGACGAGTTCCTCCAGCTCCTTAGATGGTGAGCAGGAACCCTGAAAGCAACGCGCGTTTCCCCTTATCTAATGTCACGCTGAGGCGCTGTTACCCCAAGCGCCAAGTGTCTTGGAAGCAATGGGGACAAAATTGCAGTAATGAGCCAGTTCTCTGTACTTGCGAGACTTGTCTGATTCACTGTATGTGGAAGCATCCCCCGGATAGACATCTTCTGTATCATAAGAGAGAATGTCTTTGTCCGAAGTTATAGACCAGATGCTTAAGGCTAGCCTCACACAAATTTTCTGGGGAAAATAGTCTGGGGTATGGGACGGACATAGGCTGGTCAGGGTAGGCCCAAGTTAAATTAAGAAATATTAGTAATTACCCCTCAACCCCAAGCCATTTTCATGGAGTCAAATGTGAAATATGGCACGTGATTAACATGATCAAAAGGACAAAATTAAAAAGGAAGAGATTATGGTGAACAAATAAGTACAGTGAAGATAGTATGTGGTGAAGATGTAAGATTAGCAGGAAGAGAGGTACAAGGGGAAGATGAGGGAGGAAGACACATGTAGAGATATATGGAGAGGATGATGGATGGAGAGATAGACGGAAAGAGAGATGATATAGATAGATGTATAGACACGAACAGTCAGACGAGCAATGCCGGGTGCTTTTCATATATAATATATATGTCGTACCTAGTAGCCAGAACGCACTTCTCAGCCTACTATGTAAGGCCCGATTTGCTTAATAAGCCAAGTTTTCATGAATTAATGTTTTTTTCGACTACCTAACCTAACTTTTTCGGCTACCTAACCTAACCTATAAAGATAGGTTAGGTTAGGTAGGGTTGGTTAGGTTCGGTCATATATCTACGTTAATTTTAACTCCAATAAAAAAAATTGACCTCATACATAATGAAATGGGTAGCTTTATGATTTCATAAGAAAAAAATTAGAGAAAATATATTAATTCAGGAAAACTTGGCTTATTAGGCAAATCGGGCCTTGCATAGTAGGCTGAGAAGTGCGTTCTGGCTACTAGGTACGACATTATATATATATATATATATATATATATATATATAATATTACTTATTTTTAGTACTAATTTATAGCTGGCGGATTGAGTTTTAGCTGCTGGGCCCCGCCTTCGAAGTCGCCGGTACTCCTATACATAGACAGTCAATCAATGTCTTATCTAATTTTACAATTGTGAATGCGGTTCGCTTTTATAACCTGTATGTTGTGGGTGTGTTTACGTGGGTGCGCGCGTGTGTGTATATATTACACAAGAGGCCAGAGCACACCAGAACCAAACCCAACAAAACACATTACAAATCGCTGACTTTCCACGTATGAGCAACCATCGTGTGAGACATAGGAAATGAACTTGTGCAGACTAGCGCAGCAGCACACTGCATGCTGTGTATATCAAAGTTTGTTAATAATAATAGTAATAAAAGGTAGTAGTAGACTTACTAGTAAATAGCGTTGGCGCTAGGCGGGTGTATCAGTGTTCCAGAGGCGACACAGATCTCTAGCAGAGGCGACACAGGCTTAGCGGAGGCGCCACACAGCATGTGGGCTTAGTACCCTGACGCGTCTTGCTCACTGGCTACCGGAAGCCTCGCATCCACACCGATAATACTCATGAAAATAATCCTGGGGCTGACACCAGGAGCATTACACTTCCTCAGCGCTGAGTGTGTGTTGTTGATATACGAGGTCTGACTTGCAACTGTACAGGAAGTCTTCCCAGAAGTGCCCGAAACTCTATGCGTGCTAGTGGCTTTATAAGAATGTACGAATTCCTGTACATATAAATAAGTAAAAAAAGTGTGAATTTATCTCTTGTAATGTATATTTTTTCTTATTTGTCAGATATAGTGTAAAAAGAACAGTACATTAAATTTCTTGCCACCTGAAGTTGGTATCGTACTTGCTAGTTAAACTTTGATAAGATGATGTGTAAGCGTTCTTGGATAGCTCTAGATCTAGCTCAGGCGTCTGGCTCTTGCCGAAGCATTCTTGGACAATCCTAGCTCCTAGGCGTTTTTGTGTAACCCTAAATCTAGACGAGGGATTCTTGGACGGCCCTGGCATTTACAGTGGTTACACAAACCGAGCCTATTGCTCATCCAGTTCATTGGATTTATTATATATTTTCTACAATATCTTTCACTACAGTATTTTGTAAGTTCGTTGCGCAGGTTTGGGATTCTGACCTTCCAAAAGGATATCCTGGGGTTTCTCTTCCGTCTCCGTTCAGAAGGATACAATTTGAGTGCCTGATATGCTGTAAAGAATTATTAATTGTCAGAGGGTTATTAAAGCCACTACAAGAGCTTACTGATCAACCGTAAAGTTCACCGATTGAGTTGTGTGCTTTAGGTGATGCCCATATCACTAGTCCCATGCAAGTAGGAAAGTATCTCGATTTTCTAACCCTGCTGTCACGCCTGCACTGAAAGGGGATGTGAAGACCGAGCAATGTTTCGTCCGAGATAACGCCAGTGTCTTGAAGAGTATTACTATTGGTGTCCTTACCTGTTAGTGTCTGTGGGGGGGGGGATGAGCTCTAGCGCCTCATGCCCCCCTCTATAAGCGGGGGGTATTATTCCTTGGATGTTGCTGTGTTTACTTTGTTCTGTGTGTGTGTGTGTGTGTGTGTGTGTGTGTGTGTGTGTGTGTGTGTGTGTGTGCGCGCGCGCGTGTGTGTACTCACCTATTTGTGCTTGCGGGGGTTGAGCTTTGGGTCTTTGGTCCCGCCTCTCAACTGTCAATCAACTTGTGTCAACTCATCTGCTTAGTCATCTATAGTTGTACTTGTTGGAAGATGAGTTTTAGCTCTTGTGTTCCGGTTCTGCCATCAATCAACTGATGTACTGTGGTTCCTAGGCTTGTTTAGGCTCTGCCTTATCATCACTACACTACCACATCCAAACTCCATTAACACCTTTAAATATAATTAAGACAGAGCCCAAAAAGGCTCGGGACGCAAATAGATTGAAAAGTCTAGAGCCATGTCCCAAGAGCTAACGCTCAACTTTGGTAATCCCTACTTAGGTGTGGTGCAAAGACATGTTGACGAGAGTTATACAAGTGTCCAAAAGTTTCTCAGCGGAAATCCCAGTCATTTAGCCCTCTGCTGCTCTCCTTACAGCTGTGCCCTGGTGGACTGCCCTCCTGTGCTCTGTCCTAGTGGTCTGCCCTACTCTCATGGTAAGTTCTGCAGGTAAATCACTTCCAGGTGAAGGTTACTATAGATGAGAGATCAATATAGGTGAGGAACACTGTATGAGATCACTGTAGGTGGTGGGGTCACTGTAGGTGAGGGGGTCACTGTAGGTGGTGGGTCACTGTAGGTGAGGTATCACTGTAGGTGAGGGGTCACTGTAGATGGTGGGTCACTGTAGGTGAGGGGTCACTATAGGCAAGGGGGTCACTGTAGATGTACTTTGAGTCTGAAGGATGGGCCCCTCCCCCATCCTTTAAAGTACATCTACAATGACCCCTCACCTACAATGACCCTATAAGTGCATTTAACTGTCTTTAAGTAACTAATTTTTGCAGTTAACCTGCTGTAAGTGTCTAGAGATTAACTTGTTTTGAGTTATCAAAACACTTCCAAGTAACTGACATTTTGGAAGAACGTTTCACACAAAAGGATGAGAAGTTTGGTGGTGGGTTTTGGGTGGGTGGGGGGGGGGAGAGAGTTCTTGGTTGATGGGGGGTGAGATGGCGTAAGGAAACATCCGGTTGCCTCTTGAGGTCTCAGTTTAGCATTTTACATTAACGTGTTTGTAAGTCCCAGTAACAGCTTTTTATTTATATTCATGGTCTAGCAAAGTGAGCTTAGGGTTACTTTGAGGTGCTTCCGGGGCTTAGCGTCCCCGCGGCCCGGTCGTCGACCACGCCTCCAACCAGGGTGGTGGTTTCCACATTGCAGCGTATCTTCACCTAGTTGTATTCACCTAGTTGTGTTTGCGGGGGTTGAGCTTTGCTCTTTCGGCCCGCCTCTCAACTGTTAATCAACTGTTTACTAACTACTTGTGTGTCGGTGTATTTCTGTTTGTGCCTATGGGATCGACCTGTTAGCTCTCTTACCACACATTTCTAATCGTCTAGGTTGTCTAATGCACCGACTCCCGACCTATTTTCATCTATCTACTATTATTTCTCGTATACACACACACATGCATACACGCACGCACACACCTAGGATGTAGCCCCTAGCTGTCGCCTAACTCCTAGGTACCTATTAGTTGTTAGATGAACAGATGCATCAGGTGAAGGAAACCTCCCTCCCTACCTATCTATTTCCCTCGCTCTTTCAAATTCTTTAAGGCTTTTTGGCATAATTTGTAGGTTGTGTATGACCAATTATCTCCTTTGTCACATTCCATAACGTGACATTTATTCACATTAAATTCCATTTGCCAAGTGTTGCTCCACATACACTTATTTTGTCCAGGTCTTTTTGTAAAGCGTGAAAATTAACTCTTATATTTCCTAACCGCTTAACATACTCAGCGAACATGTTCATATAAGGCTGAATTCCTTCTTGTAGATAGTTACTTTGTCGATGAACATTTTAAATACTGGTGCTAGAACTGAAAACTGTGGTACTCCACTAGAAACATTTCTCCAGTCAGATCCATTGCCTCTGATTGCTGTCCTATTTTTTCTGTCAAAAATTTTCATGCTAGGCCTGGAGCCGAGAGCAGAGCTTGTGCTAGGCCTGGAGCCGAGAGCAGAGCTTGTGCTAGGCCTGGAGCCGAGAGCAGAGCTTGTGCTAGGCCTGGAGCCGAGAGCAGAGCTTGTGCTAGGCCTGGAGCCGAGAGCAGAGCTTGTGCTAGGCCTGGAGCCGAGAGCAGAGCTTGTGCTAGGCCTGGAGCCAAAAGTTTGAGCAAGGCCAGAGATGGACAGCTCGAAGGAGGGCAAGAGCAGAGAACTGGAATAAAGCCTGGATTGACTGTATGCTGTGTAACGAGGCTTGTAGCATCTGGTGTGAGTTGAACTAGACTGATTTCGCTGTTGTTGTTGTTTAAGATTCAGCTACTCGGAACAAAAAGTTCCAAGTAGCACAGGTTATGGTGAGCCAGTAGTGGACTTGTCTGACACAGGAGCGGGGCTTTAACTCTGCTGATTACGATTGATTGATTGATTGATGAAGATAAAGCCACCCAAAAGGTGGCACGGGCATGAATAGCCCGTAAGTGGTGGCCCTTTTGAGCCATTACCAGTATCAAGAGCTGATACTGGAGATCTGTGGCGGTGCGACTGCACCCTGCGTGACGGGAGATGTCTCCCGTGTACTGATTACGCTGTTGTTGTTTAAGATTCAGCTACTGGAAACAAAATGTTTCAAGCAGCACGGGCTATGGTGAGCCCGTAATGAACTTACCTGACACAGGAGCAGTGCTGTAACTTGTGCTGATTACGCTGTCTTCGACTGTGTTATACCTGCGTCCACCTGACCTTGCGTTAGACCCAATTTCCTTACTTATTTGGCGGTTTGTCATCATTTGGTCTGATGGGAAGCTCGCTGCTTACTTTTAGGTGTTCTGTAATCTTGTGATTTGTTGGAGGTCATTAACGGTTAGTGAATATGATTGCAGATGTCATTAGCCATTATTGGGATTACGTATTGGGAAAATTTAAATGCTTGGAATAGAATATCTTGGAATGTGGAATAACTAATTGCAGATAATTTAAGTAGCTGCTGCATTAGAAATAATGTAGCAGCTACACTGTATATGAAATAAGAGAGAGGGCATACACAAACCTCTGCATTAAAAAGTACTATAGATCAATCATCAATTCTGGCCAGAATTTATAACTAAATTTCTTTCTCCCTTTACCATGTGTTCTTCCTCCTTTCTCAAATAAAAATTCAAGTACATTTAAGAATTAATTGCATTTTTAACAAGCTATGTAAATATGTACAACAACAAATTACTTTTGTAATCAGTAATTTGGCTTAAAAATATTTAGAGAACAAAAATGTCAACAGATTTTCAACCATCTCAGCTGCCACGACCACTGGAATCACCTACTATAACAATCACCACTACCACCACTCTTGTTATTTACTACAACAACAACCGCTGTCCCTACTGACAGTACTTCTTGGATGTGAATTAGACACTAGAACTGGTAATAGAAATATTACAACAGTGTGTATGGCTAAGATATTCAAAACATGCTGCTCGATAAATCCAATGATGACTTGCTTAAGCCGTATAGACCTATATTGGCGCCTAGTCTGTTGGAAACAATAGACGAATGACCAAGTCCTATACTGTGCTGTGAAATTTAAATATGTCTTGAACCGAGTTAAATATTTTGTTACATACGAATGTGACTGTTGGCGATGCATCGACCCTTTGAACGTTCTTGAGCGATGCTGAGTTGTTGCCATCTTTGTTGCAACAATGTCGTGGAGCCGTTTACGGGGTGGGATTCAGGCTGAGGATCATAACATCTTCAGAGTATACAAAGCGCACGTGTGTGAGGCTCGTCTGGTCCTGTACAACATCCTCAGGTGGGGGTGCCGCAAGAGCCCAACTCAGTCCTTTGAAGAATACCTGATCCACGATGTGGGTCTTCTTCAGGGAGTATACAACAGAAAGTTTACAAAAACTCAAAAAGAAAAGATTCGCTCCAGTCCCACTGGTGATAAATTTGATATAACACTGCTTTTCAAGATGATACAAGTTGCGTGCCACTCTCTGGCTCCGGAGAATGACGACACGTGGCATATAAAAGACTTCACTCGACTCGAGTACTTGTTAACTTGTATCAAGAACTCTCGCAATGACCTGGCCCACAGTGAGAGTTTTACCAGCAAGTCGGAAATGGTACAAGGTATAGAAACATTACGAAACTTGTTGATAAAAACTATGAGAGTAGGAGCTTACCTTTACTGCGTTGATCTTGCTGAAGTTGGAAATCTCATCAGTGAAATGAACCGTAACCTTAACAATATAAGGGACCAATTTTTCACCCCAGAGGACATTAACCAGTACCGACACGCCTTGTTATTTGACAGCCTTAGAGATATTCTGTGTGTTGAGGGAGTCGAGGAGTTAAAGAAAATATATGGTAAAAAGGTTTTTGTCAACCCATTCTCACTGATAGATAACAGTGAGTGGCACCTCCAAGTGAACACAGTATTTGTCTGCCTTCATATTAAACATTCTAAAGCTAACAAAAAACACTCTCAAGTTAATTATGAAGACCTGTTAGAGTACAATAACTCACCTGAAGGTGAACAACCTGACAATGGAAGTGACAGAGTTATATCTGAAGGCAATGCGCAGCTGCCTTCTATGCTGCTTCTGGAGGGATGTGTGGGAAGTGGGAAAACCACTTTACTGAAGCTCGCCATATCTGAGTGGATAGCCGGCACAGGCTCTATCAAGGGCCTGTCAGAGTATGACCTCGTCTTGCACTTAGAGTGCCACGACTCCTACACAGACTCCCTCACTAAGCTGCTCTTGTCTGATATGCCCAAGACGGCCTCAAAAATTAGAAAAAATGACCTACTTCATATTTGCTTGAGCCTCAAAATTTTAGTCTTGATTGATGGATTAGATGAACTCAATCAGTCATCAGAGAAATTGTTTAGAGAAATCCTCCATGTAATGAATTCTGCAAATATAACTTTAATTTGTACAACGAGGCCAGAGAAGATCAAGGATATTCAAAAGATGGCTTCGCAGAATGTTAAAATTGTACACTGGATAATACAGGGTATTCCGTCTGAGAAGCGGCATGATTTTGTTGGGCTATACCACGAGGAGTTGAAGCAGAGAGGACTAAGTCACCAAGAGACAGACCATTTGATACAGTACGTACGCCAGGCACCGCCTCACTTGCATGATTTCTTCAGATATCCCCTAAATCTTGTGCTTCTGGCCGCCTTCTGGGCCAGAGCACATGAAAGGATTAGCCAGGTAACCTCCACCACATCACTGTATATCGAGACACACAATCTGTTGAAGGAAAAGCTATACGAGAGACTCAAGCACAGGCCCACGACACAACACTTGAACCTCACACAGATGCAAGACAAGTGTGAACAGTTCCTGAGTGTCATGTATCAAGAAGCATTAGTTTCCTTGGGAAGAGATGCAGTTCATCTGGATTCGAAGACTACACACAAGCTTAAAGACGTGTGTTCCAGATAGGTCTGCCTTCAGATGAGGTGTTTTCAGCTTTTTTTACGTTTATTTTAATCAAAACGTCTTCAGGGTACACGAGTGAACTAAGTTTCCAACACAAGGGGGTTCAAGATTTTTATGCAGCGAAATGTGTAACAGCATTAATCACAGATAAACCATTTCCTGAAGAAGGTTGTTTTCTGAATAAACTTAATGATTTTCTCCAGCGAATGAAAGTACCAGACTATTATGGTCAGCAGATCACCAAGTGCTCCACTGAACTTGACAAGAAACGCACCATCCGCAGCGTTCTTGAGGAACTTAACCGTGTAGATCATACGCCCTTGGACATCAGTAAATACCGAAATGTTCTCTATAATTTAGCTGGCCTTGTGAAGATACAAGGTCCTGATGCAATGGAGAGATATGCTCCGGAGATTGTCGAACTCTTGAAGGAGTCGGCAGACACGCCATTTGAATACCTGGTAGATATGCTGAAGGAGGCTGACCATGACATAAATCTGGCCAGAGAAATCTCAAAATATATTCCTAAGTTCTGTTGGACAGTGACAGATGGGCAAGTACAAGCAGCAGCACGTCTTCTACGTTACAACTGCCCCACTCGTCTGATCATTGATATTGTGGGTGACCCAAATCAGGTGGTACAGCTTGAGAGCCTACTGGAGGCTGTGTCTAGGTGCAATTGTTCAGTACAATTGTACCTGCACCATCACTGGCGCCACCCACAAGCCGGCCTCTCTGACTCCTTCATCCATGTCCTGGCAAATGGCAGACGGATGGCCATCACATCCACAAAATATAACCCTGCTGGATCACAAAATGACCTGGACACACACAGGTCACGTGATGACCTAAAACCTGCTGGCTCAGGTCATGGGTCACAGGATGAACTACGTACATCACCACCTCTTGGCTCAGGTCATTTGTTACATGAGTTACAGATGACCTGCACTCCCTAACCCCTGTTGGGTCAGGTCATGGGTCACAGGATGACCTGCACTGGCTAAACCCTGTTGGGTCAGGTCACAGTTCACAGGATGATCAACATGCACCAACTTCTGATGCATCAGGTCACGAATCACAGGATGATCAACTAGCAGCAACCTCTGCTGGCTCAGGTCATGGGTCACAGGATGATCAACATGCACCAACCTCTGCTGGCTCAGGTCATGGGTCAAATAATGATATTAATACATTATACCATGCTACTGCTTTAACTGCCTGGTCACAAGCTGATCTTCAAGCACTTCACACTTATTCCATGGATGACCTCGTCACGAGTCAAAACCCCATCCAGGGTCAACAACCTCTACAAATAAGGTTAGTTCATCTTGTTTTATAAGATAATGCTTCAATAGAACACATGCCAATACAAAGAAAAGGAATTAAGAATACATTAAAAAAAAAGACATGTATGGGAAGTGAAGTTGAGCTAGATACCTGTCATCCCAAAATGAAAGTACAGTACCTATTTTTACTATGGATTAAAGTACAAAATGTGGACTGCTGTACCCAAACAAAGACCATATTTTGTATTATTAATTTTGTTGAGGTCTCAAGAGAAGGCAAAAACAAACCCTAAAACAGTAGTACATTTGGCTCATTCCTAACTCTTTGAGAATGAGCCTCAAATTCATTCTGAATTTGAGTTTTGATTCAAGCAGGACAGAAATGGTAGGGCACATTTCCTTTTCCCCTAATGACTCTGTTCACTTTTGGGGGATGTGTTGAGATAATCATTTCTACAAAGCCCATATTTCACTGCAAATATTGCAAACAGATAGAGAGTAGGAACAAGTAAGAAAGTGGTGAAGGCCAAAACCATCCGAATTGAGGGAAGGACTAAACTAAATATACAAATTAAGAGATGCCTTACAGGAACTTATTCTTATTTGGTAATTACAAATAAATATTAAAACCATATTTAACTGCTATAACAGTGCATGAGTTTAGTAAAAGATTTGGGAGGATTTTACATAATAAACAACACTAATAATTAAAGTAGTAGCAGTAATAATTTATTATGCAGTCAATACTTGAATATATGGACAAGTCCACTACAGGCTCACCATAGCCTGTGCTACTTGGAACTTTGTTCCAAGTAGCTGAATCTATAACAATAATAATTGCATATATGGAACAAATCTACAGTTATGATTTATTTCTGTATGTGATTTGTATGGCTTTGCAACAATGAGATAGCTGAATATTGTGCTTGTAACACATCAGACATCTCCAAATAATATTTACAGTTTCGGTTTGACTTCCCAGTAGGAAGTTAAACTACTGGGGGACAGGTGTGTATAGCTCAACGGGATTACACAACTAATCCCCCAAAGGATGGAACACTTTTATTTTACAAATGACAAATGACTCCCCCAGGCCATGGGAAAACAGTTCCCCACTAGAGGTGATCTTGTCAATGGGGAGGGGGGGGGATGGGAATCGCATGCTTGTTATGATTTATTACCTATTGGATGTCACAATATTTGTTGTCTGTGCAAAGTGGCTGACATAGCATGAGAAGAGTTAAAGAGTATAACAGTGGAGTGCAAGTAAGTGTATGTTGTGGTGCAGGAGCCGCCTGACGGAGGTGATGGGCCACCTAGGGGTGCTGGCAGCAAAGAACCTCCCCAGCACTATAAGGGAGCTACATTTGTCTCTCGCTGATGACCACCAAGTCTCCTCCTGGAGCAAGATGATACCAACCCTCACCACCCGCTTTCCAGACCTCCGCCACATCTGTGAGTTGCCTGTCAGTCTTGAAATTTTTGAGTTATTTATTACAGATGTAATTCATCAGTTAAGTCCCTTTTTGCCAGTCCTGAACCCAAATTAAATATCATATCACTAATTAATATTTGTTAGTCCAATGATTACTGTACTTGCTATTTATGAGCGACTTGCATCTTATATCACTTTTTTTTTTGGCTGCAATCACCTATGACCAACCTAAATGTGTCATTTGCCCTGGCTTCAAGTTCTCTATCCTGAACCACCCAAACTATCCTCATTGGATCATTGATAGGCTGGCAGGCATTACCTTAACTTACCTGAAAGCCACCATCTCTAGTGTCCTCAACAGGTACAGAGGGCCAACACATTGCCATTCAACTGATGCCTCTCTTCACCTAGCAGTAAATAGATACTCAGGAGTTAAACTCAGTGTTTGTAGGTTGTATCCGGGCGACTTCAATAAGCTAGGCTTCTTGGCCCTGAAAATGGGAAACCAAACCAAAACATCTAACCTATCCTTGGCCTATCCTTACACTCAGGTATAATATACTTTATTATTAATATATTTTCAACAAAATAATTTTTGCTTACACAGGATGTTCAACCTTGATAATGTGTCTGAGGTAGGTCACAGCTTAATCATGCACAGCCTTAGAGGTCCCAATCAACTCATTCTAGCATAATCCCATATTGTCAGGGATTCACCTGGTGGTGGGGATCTCAACGAAATTGCTACCGAAACTACCACGTCTGCGATACCGCCCGCACCTCTACCTCTCGGGTGTGGGTGATGGAGACATTGAGTGGGCATGTAAATCTGCCCGAGCCCTCCTGCCTGCAGAGTCGTGAGTAAGAGTGAGGCATACAGGAATATATTGTTGCATTTTATTCACTGATGTGCATTTGTGTGCATGTGAAATATAGGCCTGGAGGTAGATAGATTATTGAGCATCATGTGTGAATGTAATTCCATTCTGTGTGTTACACAGGGATCCCAGTGAGGTAACAGAAGGAATTGCTGTCCCCGACTGATGATGCTTGAACTCCCATAGTTCTCCCAGAACTCCCAGAGTTCATAGCTTAGTTCCGTTATATTCCGTACCAATCTTGTAGAACAAATCTCCAGATTTTCTCAACTTCTTTTTTGTGCTTTACAAGGTTACTATTTACAATACTTTACTATTCAATGACTGTACTGGATACACTTGCACTGGCCTCACATTGGTTGCATTATGTAGTACTGTACATGTATTTTGAATGATTCCTTATATATAACTTCTTAAAAGCATTCTTATATTTACCAGATTTGGTTAATGCATGTGTGTGTAGATATTACTAATAAGACAACTCCATCTCCGTTACAAAGGAAGTTTGCAAGCATCTGTCTGGCAAGAAGTGAGATAACAGAGCATGGGATGGAGGAGCTGGTTCATGGCCTACAGCACCTGAAAGTTGGGGTGTACAAGGGAAAGGGCGGCGGCCTGCTGGTTGCATCCCCGGCATTGAATAGCGATACCCACATTCGGATCTCTAGCCTTGTCCTAAGCAAGCTCAACTGTCTTTTTTTTGAGTGAGTTTATGTACTTTTTGAAATTTTACATAGCCAGGTTAGAACCTACTTAAATTTATGATTCCTCACAGAAGACATAGACATGTAGAGTATAAAATTCTCTAAAATTTTATAAGAAAGCAGGCTATATATGTATTCCAAATAGGGACTGTACACATGATCTCACACACAGCACCTATATCCAGATATCAGGTATACAGTACGTGCATGGATATAAAATATTATATATAACATTTATTATAGTTTCGTTTTTTATGAAATCCTACAATATAATCATATTTTCTAAAGTAATTTTGTATTATCCTCCATTGTACCCAGATGGTATTTTTTCCTTGCAGGGTAGACAACGAAGAGATCTGGTATGATGAATCGGCCTATGAGCGGTGTTATGAATATGATAAACTAATGTTAAACAAACTGCTGGCCCCGTCTCAATTGTGTATCAATGATCCTACGCGTGCATCAGGTATACAGGACCACCAGTGTTCGGCAGAATATATATACGCACGTCAACTTAGACACACACACTCAGGCAAACAACGTATGACTTCCAAAATGGACTCGGTGTATGAGGTTATTGAAGAGCTTCCGTCATTATTTCCCAAGAAAGCTTCGTATTGTAATTATATTACAAAGGAACTGAATGGACAAGCACCAAGGCCACCAAAACCCTTGCCACGACCACCTAACACAACAGGAGCACAACATTACCAGTCTTACAATGCATGGAATGCCGGCAACCCACATCAAACATCAAGGCAGTCATTGAAGGAATGCAAGCATGAAAGAAATGAGTGTAGGAAGGACTTGGTTCATTCTCATGATAATGCATGCATTCCACATACATGTATTGGAAAAAAAAATTTGTGTTGTACCTCTGATATTCCACTCTCAATTAACATCTGCTTTGGCTCTTCTGCTGCTAGGAATTGTCGTCATTGTGTTGATCGTGACAAGTGTGGCTCTCGTGAAGACAGATGTGGTCACCACTGCCACTTCTCTAGGTGTCATGATCACCATTCTTCTAGAACTAACTGCAATGCTCCCAGATCTGATAATGCTCACATTACAGGTACTCCCAAACCAGAATATTATTTTCCCAGACCCAAACATCACATTCATAGAAAACGTTGTCCTAGTCCTACACACAACTCTCGTTCGTGTACTGTGCTATAATGTAGGGCATGAAGTACAGGACAGGAATACCCGTTTTCAGCACATTCTTCATCAATACTGTACGTGTGGGTAATGTTTAGAATCCAATGGTACGATATCCAGACAAATATATTACCTTTTCAGATACTTCCAGCAATATTCAACTAAAAATTACATATATACAGTACAGATATATACATGTGTATACACATTGGTGTACTTATATTGGCAATAGGTTTTCATTTAGACATGTTTCATAAACTATGACTGCATATTCCATTTTGAATTATATATACAAGAGTTGTTACATTCTTGTACAGCCACTAGTACGCGTAGCGTTTCGGGCAGGTCCCTGGAATACGATCCCCTGCCACGAAGAATCGTTTTTTCATCCAACTACACATTTTACTGTTGCGTTAAACAGAGGCTACAGTTAAGGAATTGCGCCCAGTAAATCCTCCCCGGCCAGGATATGAACCCATGACATAACGCTCGCGGAACGCCAGGCGAGTGTCTTACCACTACACCACGGAGACTGTAGAGACTGATTTCCTTTCTTAGGGCTTCTATCCCTCTGACTAAGTACTCTTGCATCTTGGTTTAATTCCTCCTAATATGACATGTGGAAACCTCTTCCAATTCAACCAAGATGCAAGAGAACTTATTAAGGGCTTCTATCCCTCTAAGACAATAGTCAAAACAGAATATGCAGCCATATTCTGTGAAACACAAACACACACACGTAAGTAAAGTAGTAAAGTGCCAAAAATATTTGTGTGGTGATAGGTGTGACTTTGAGAAACTTCTGCTGTGGAGTTCCCAGAGGGGTAAGGAGTCACGCGTTATATAGTAAATATGTACTGTACAGTATATCCAAATACACAAGAAAATTATATATTATATATATATAATTAGTTTATCATCACTTTGTATGTTGGCTATATGTATTCAAATCTTAATCTTCCAATCCACTGGTTTGTGCCTATTAGTCAAATACTGTAAACTACTGAATTAATTTAGTAATTTATCCTCTTATGTATCTCTCCAACTGTCAAATGTATTTTCTTCAGAGCAGAACTGATCTACAACAGAACTACTGTAGTTTAACTAAATCTGGAAATAAAATGTAAAGTATTGTGATGTTAAACTATATTCATTTAATTTTTTGTTATTAAAAAAGTTAATATGTAGAATTTTATATGAAGCAGATATTACTACTACAATCTATTTTTACCTTCAGATTAGATCTTCAGTTCAGTAGACATGGTACTACAAATGTGAGACAAACAATATGAAAATGTCTAAAACAGAAGGAAAAATTCTTCATGACTTGCATATGAACATTCTGCCTGTTAATAATTGACTTAAGAATGACCAATGTTCGTCTGATGACCTTTGTAATGTTTTCTCACTGTAAACTAACTTCACACACAAAGCATGTAGAAAGTATTTTCACCCCCACACTACAATATGCACCTATGGCATTACATATACCAAAAATACTCAACAATTACTTGCAATCACATAACTGAAAAGGGGCAAGATATTTAATAACCACTTTAATATGTGCAGTTTACCTGGATGGAAATGTAGAACTCCCTTTCACTATCTAGGATCATCCAGAAGCAAAACAAGAAGAAAATTATCTGCTCTTTACTGAATAATAAAAACATTTTTGTTTATAAACTACCTCCAAGAGGCAGTGCTTTCACATAATAGAGGAATAAGAAATATACATGCATTCTCCTTTGGTGTTTACATGACTACTCTTTCCCATTTGCAAAGATATACATTAATTTCCAGCAAAAATTAAGATTAGATATTTTGTATTTATGAAACAAATTAAGGTGGTATAGGAAGTATTATTACACACGTACACAAATATATACAATAGCTTCATGAACAATGTCGACTCCTATGAACAAGGATTTGTGCACCATGTACATATCGAGCAAGCCACCTTACTTACACCCATGAATAAGACAGAAAAATTGTATACCCTTGCAAATAATATTACACCAAACACTGTGCATATCTATCAATCATTCATTAAGACAATGAAGACTGAAATGCCTTGAATATCAGACATTTCTTAATCTGAAAATAGCAGTACATATTGTTTCAAGTTCCTGGACAGAACAATGCTACTTATTGCTACATGCTCTTCAACATAACAATCAAATCTATACAATAAAAGTATGAGAAAAATAATAAATATTCAATGTTAAACCTTATTTGCCACAAATGAAATACAAAAATAAGTGTTAAGAGTGAAATTGCACAATAATGCTTGCAAAAAATATATCACTAATAACAGAGAAATTTGTACACAGTCAAATTTTCTTAAGGGATTTCATAAACTGAAATTGGAGATCAGAAATGATTCTGGAACACACTTCAATGTCCCTTCCTGATCCCCAAGAAATACTTTATGTAATTTAACTACAAAACATACCATGCAACTCCTGGACACAGTCCCAAGTCATTTTCAGGAGCTCTTCCCAGTCTCAACCATTGCAGGAATCATTCCAAGAGACTATCAAATCATTCTCAGGCACCATCTCCAAGAAATACCCAGGTAAATGATTACCAAAGGGATTTTAAAATTGTCTTCAACTCAGCTCTTCTCTGACTGCACGATACCGTGTCATTTCGTTTGGAAACACATGAGACAGCTCGACCAATAACATTGCTTTGAATCGCTTATATGAATCAATCCTCCCATTAACCTGCAATGGAGATTAAACACATGGTAAGGACAAATTTTCATGCACCTGTATTTTTGGTCAAGTACAGTATAGTCAAATATAAGCTCATACAAAAAAAATTAACATCCTACCTCTAAAAAAGTATTTCAACATAATACTGTACTTCTAAAATATTATGCAATGTGTATATTAACCATTAATATAACTCCCATGGACAGTTCTTCACTTTGTCTATACACTATGCACCTGACACTTTTTGTTTAATGTAATGAACCTCATGAAAGGGAAAGCTGACCTGCCTGACTTTATGATTAACTTCCTCACTGACACTCCTGCACTGTAACATGGGTATGTTAAACAACTCTACCTGTTCATTCTTTGTAAGAGCCTTCTCCATACAATCTTTAGTGTATAACTGTGGGTTCCTTCCTCCATCTATGTACCTGGAGAAAGATGAAAAATAAGAAAAATTCACATACAAATGTACATTAAAGTTAACATACTGTATAATTGACTGCAGTGAACATGCAATGAGATAAATTTGAATATATTACTTCCAGAAATACACAAGATGAAACATACCCAAGTGATCAAACCTGTAATCACACCCAATGAAACTACTGTATGTCTATTGTTGATGCCTTGCTCCATTTTATCAAATGCCTTCCTGATAGTGTGACCTTATACCCAACTCTCTAGGTATTAATTTTCTTGGTAAAGAACTTAAACATTTCAAGGCATTCAAACTATTAGTGATGACGCAAGTGAACTTCCTATTGACAACAACAATTAATTTTGTTAGGCAGCCTGTATATACATGTACTGTAAACAAATCCACAAGGGCCATGACGAGGATTCGAACCTGCGTCCGGGAGCATCCCAGACACTCACTTAATCGATTGAGCTACGACAGGGTAAAAGGGTTGAAACTGAAGTTCTACTGAACTTACTGGATCCCGTAGCCTCTCTGAGACACAAACCAGGCTTTTACACAACCCCCCCCCTGCACCCGAGCTATGTCAACAGGCCGTTCTCCCTCTTCGCCCTTACATCATCACACTCAAGAGATCACAATAACGTGATTCATCAAATGAACAAATTTTGTTCATTTGATGCATCACATTATTGTGATCTCTGTGTGTACATATACTGTATACACTTTAGGCTTACATCAGGGGGGGCCTTCCCCCAAGGTTGAACTACTGCCCTTTTCCAGGATGCAACTCCACAACAACTGACTAACTCCTGGGTACCTATTTACTGCTACAGAGGCATTAGGCGAAAATAAAGATGCCCAACCATTTCTGTCCCACCTGGGATTCCCAAATGCAAGTTGAGAATGAACCCAACTGTACTACAATGTGGGTTACCTAATTAAGTACATTCAAATGAGAACACAAGAGGTAAGGGTAAAACTTTAACAAAGGAAAAAAAAAGTACTGATTGAAATGTAAATGTAGAAAATATTACGTTGATCACAAAGTGGCATTGCAGTGTGTAACATTCACTTACACAGGTGACCAAGACCAACTAGTCTATATATATAAAAAATCAACAGCCACACTAACAGTGGGAACCTGCAGGGCCATACAAGTCCTTGTGGTGCTAGTAAATTACTAGTAATTACTGTAAATCTTGCATTTATGTGATTAACAAATGTGAAAGTAATTCTGCAGTGCTGTATTGGTTTTGTTATTTAAGATATAATTATAAACATCATTATTACCATATATTTTACCATAAGCTTTGAAAGAAAGAAATCATTACAGTACTGGATATCTTGAAGATTGCACACCAAATAAAGTTGGTAGCAAAAATTTATATAAAAAATAACATTAAAACACAAAAAGCACATCTGAATGTCATCCATTTACTGTAGCTATTCCTAAGATATATAGTCTAGTGTAGCTATCAATATAATTAGATATATAGTAAAAGGTGGATAAGATCCAATTAAGCCAATCACCATTACTTACTCAAAAACTTCTAGAGGAACATGTACATCCTGGACAGCAGATCGTAATTTGTCAATATCTTGCATGTTTGTTATCATATTCTGCCTGAAAAGAAAGAATACAGGTAAATGAAATAGAGTACTGTACATCATAAGACAGTCAGTTACCTTATTCAGTTACAACTGTGTGTTTACAGTGATTTCGATCCACTTTTCGATCCAGTCCCTGAAGATGTTTATATGAAATTCAAAAGGCTATGCATATTTATAAAATTGCACTTTATATTCAGATTATGTTAGTTATCTTTCCAATTTTATGCATCATTCATTTTCCATTTTAATTTAAGATTTTTGTTTCTCCTTTTTATAATGCATCATATTGTCAACAAAATTAAAATACAAAATTGTTCAATTTATTCCACTTTGCATAATTCCAAACAAGACCTTGATGTTTGTTATTGTATACTAGTGTATGTCATTTTAAAATACAGTATAATTAATGATCAGTGCTACACTTTCAATACTGTACAGTATTACCCTTTTCTTGTGTAAATGACTAATGTTGAAATATTTGTAGTCAATTATAAATGCCCACCAATTTGATGAATTAAGTTTTTGAATTTGTATTAACACGCATGTACAGTACTGTACATTAATAATTAAAGTTGTTAAATTCACTATTCAAAGATCACCATTCACAAATATAAATAAGAGTAATTTTATGGAATGACCCGTGGTGTAGTTAACTCAACCAATTACAGTAAACCCATTTACTATTTTATGGAAAAGTGAGACATTTGGGCATGTTTTATGGTATCTGATACCCCTCTTACACCAAGCATTTTGTATTATTCACTTATTTTCTTCAATTTATCAAAGTGGTTTAATTATCCAGCCCAGCAGTACCCCTTTTGATCTGAATACTCAAGATGTATGGAGGCAAAAATCTTTCTGAATCATAAGGGATTCTGCCACACAGTACATATAACATGGTGAATGGCAGACTGATGAATTTCTGGGACTGAATACGAAAACCACTTTTCTGGAACATGTACAAATCAGTCGGTTATTTCCCAAGGTTGTGCCCCTAGTCACATGATCCATCTGCTCGCACACTGCTCTTACAAGCAAGCACACACCAAACACCCTGACTCCCCTGTCCAGTAAGCTGCCCATGTCAGCTGGTCACTCACACTTCTATCCTTCTGGCCCATTAATTATCTTAGCATCTTGATTTTACCTAGATGGGGGTTTTAGAAGTTCTACTCCCCAAGTCCAGCCCAGGACCAGGCATGACTTGTGAGAGCTTGGTCCAAAAGGCTGCTATTTAGCAGTCTCCGTGGTGTAGTGGCTAAGACACATGCCTGGCGTTTCACAAGCGCTGTCCTAGGTTCGTATCCTGGCCAGGGAGGATTTACTGGACGCCAATCCTTAACTGTAGCCTCTGTTTACCCAACAGTAAAATGGGTACCCGGTTGTTAAACAATTTGGCAGGGTCATATTCCAGAGAACATAGGATTAAGGACCTGCCCGAAATGCTATGAGTGCTAATGGCTGTATAAGAATGTAAGAACTCTTGTACTGTATATATAAATAAATAAAAATAAAATAAAAAAAATTTTGAGTGGGAGGCCTGGTCGACAACCGGGCCGCGGGGACGCTAAGCCCCGGAAGCACCTCAAGGCGGTCCGTCTAATTACCACAAGCTACCACAAACTACACAAACTTCAGAAAGCTTCCTGGCAATACGTTAGTAATGAATAAATATGATATGTTTACTCATTATAATGTTGGTGCTGAATGTACAACACGAAAAAACATAATTTTAATCTGAAAAAGTATCTTTTTATAAAGAAATTAGACGAAAATAAAAAGCTGGTGACGCCAAATCAAGTCGACGATCCAAGCTTCGGTTAGGTTAGGTTAGGTTTTTGGTTAAGTTAGGTTAGGTTAGGTTAGGTTAGGTCAGGTCCTAACTTAATATATCATATTTATTCATTACTAACGTATTGCCAGGAAGCTTTCTGAAGTTTGTGTAGTTTGTGGTAGCTTGTGGTAATTAGACGGACCCCCTCAAGGTAACCTGCAGGCCCCCATATCCATACAGCCCAGTTAGACCAGCACTTCATGTAGAAAACTATCAAAATTTTTCTTGAAGACTTCCAATTTTGTTTTGGTAATATTTCTTATTCTTACACTTGCTGGGAGGATATTGAGCAACCCCTCTGATGTTCAGTGTTCTCTGATTGTACCTATGGTACCTCTACTTATCACTGGGTCTATTCTGTATTTCCTTCCATATCATTCACTCCAGTAAGTTATTTTACTGTGCTAATTAGGGACCTGGCCCTCCAGTATTTTCCAAGTACAGTTATACATAATTTGGTATCTTTATCGTCTACTTTTTAAAGGGTACATTTTGAGAGCGTTGAAACTATCCCAATAACTGCTTTATCATGTCTATTTATGTCATATGTGTTCTCTGTACTCCCACTATTTCAGTAATCTCTCCTGCTCTGAAGGGGGAAGGAAGCAAGTAACGAGCAGTACTCAAGACGTGACAGCACAAGTGATTTAAATAGTACAGTACACTGTATAAGCACTGTGATGGGATCCCCGGCTTTGAAGGTTCTCGTAATCCATCCTATCATTTTCCTAGCTGACACTGTATTTGCTTTCGTTATTTTTTTATTTTATTTTTATATATATACTGTACTGTACAAGAGTTCTTACATTCTTGTAAAGCCACTAACATGCATAGCATTTCGGGCAGGTCCTTAATCCTAATTTTCCCTGGAATACGACCCGCAAAATCGTTCAACAACCAGGTACCCATTCACTGTTGAGTAAACATAGGCTACAGTTAAGAATTGACGCCCAGTCAATCCTCCCCGGCCAGGATATGAACCCAGACCAAAGCGCTTGCGAAACACCAGGCTAATCTTAACCACTACACCACAGGGACTGCTAATCCTTCGACTACTACAGGTATCCTTGGAATGATGAATGTATGAGTCATAGCCTGGTTGATCAATTATCCTTTGATACCTGGTCATATATTATAGTATTAGGTACAAAGTACGTCTGTACTAGCTACAAGGTACGTCTATATTAGGTACAAGGTACATGTGCACATATATACTAGTTCGGTCCTACCCTGCGGGATATTTTTAATTTCGGGAATCCTTATGACTAAGCTTTCCACCACTGCCCCCGCACAAATGGGTCATGGACATCCTAACATGCTCATTAAAACTTAGTATATATTTGATTTTATATCCATAAATGTAAATGTGTGCGCCTGTCCGTGTACTGACTACAGCATCACCGGACATACACACGTTACTTACAACTTCTGGTTGAGAACTTGTTGTCCCTGCGGCTGGAAATCGCTAACCAATATGCCAATCTGGCGCACATTCTCGATGAAGGTTTCCAGTTGGTTTTCCAGCTGTTCCAGAGACGACGACATGCTGGAGATGCTGCTGCTGCTGCGTCCGGCGGTGCTGCGTCTGGCGGTGCTGAGGGACTACTATTCCTCCCGACCGCCCCGACCCCAACCTTCCTATCTTAGTAATGGAGAGAAATGTGGCATATTTACCCACTATAATGTTGGTGCTGAATGTAGAACCTGAAAATACATCATTTTGACAAGGAAATACTCGTCGCTTTCTTTTTTGTATAAAGAAATTGAAATTAAATATATGGCAGATGAACCTATAGGGAAGTTGACGATCTAAGCGACAATGTTTTAGAGTGACTTGTCCCAGATATATTGTTAGCTGGAGAGTGTTTGCTGGCATGTCAAGCTTCTGTACAGTGATCAACCTGATTTTTTTTAAATATATGCAAGAGTTCTTACATTCTTGTAAAGCCACTAGCACGCATAACGTTTCGAGCAGGTCCTTAATCTTAATTTTCCCCCGGAATACGATCCGCCAAATTCTTTAACCCATTCACTGCTCCCGCCATTCTAGGTAGGACCAAAGCTCAACCCCCAGCAAGCACAACTAGGTGAGTATTGCTGGATGAACAGAGGCTATAGATAGGTTTTGACGCCCAGTTAATCCTCCCAGGCCAGTATAGGAACCCAAGCCAAAGCGCTCACGAAGCGCTGGGCGAGTGTCTTACCACTGCGCCACGGGGACTGCTCAAATTGTCGCAAATTTAATGTGTGATAATGAATAGTAGAATATAAGTCAATAACATTATGTAGCATAAATAAATACCAAACATTTGAAGTGTTAATAAACAAAATCGGAAAGTTAAATAAACTCGTTTAACTGATTTTGTTATATAGATGCTGATCGTTGTTCGTTGGTATACGTTCGCTGCTTCACAGGTTACGCTCGGATCGGTTAGGCATGGTCAGTTAGGAAATGTATATGTTTATCTCTCAGAATGTTTGGTAATATATTTATTGTTTGTGATGTGTGTCTATCTATGTATTCACACGATGTACTGAACGGGGTGAGAATAGCTTGAGCTACATTATCCCTTTGTGTGTATTTTACCTCAATAAACTTATTTCAATTTCAATTTCAATTTCAATGGTCAGTTAAGAGTCGGTTGGTAGGTTAGTGTGGTTAGTTAAGGTTAGGTACGGTTAGTTCAAGGTTTAGGTGTGGTTAGTTAAGGTTAGATACGGTTAGTTAAGGTTTAGGTGTGGTTAGTTAAAGGTGTAGATGTTGTTAGTTAAGGTTAGGTACGGTTAGTTAAAGGTTTAAATGTTGTTAGTTAAGGTTAGGTGCGGTTAGTTAAAGGTTTAGATGTTGTTAGTTAAGTTTAGGTACGGTTAGTTAAAGGTTTAGGTGTGGTTAAGGTTAGGTTGGTTTTAAACCCCCAAGTGCGACCCGTCGCGGGTACAAAGCGACGTGTCAAACTCAAATGTAAACAGCTTGACTGGGCGTCCCGAGCCTGCGAGGGTCGGCGGCCACTCAGGCCACACTTGCAGCAACTTGTAGCACATATGGAGGAGGAGCAGGTGCTGAGCTGGCTGTATGAATACGGCATTAAACGAGGCTACACTGGCCTCTGCTCAAGTAAGGTGACTGGATAGGTCGTCAGGGAGGGAAACTTGAGCATCCCGAAGCTGTCAGGGAGAGTACCTTGGCATCCTGAAGCTGTCAGGGAGGGAAAACTTGAGCATCCCGAAGCTGTCAGGGAGAGTACCTTGGCATCCCGAAGCTGTCAGGGAGGGTACCTAGGCATCCTGAAGCTGTCAGGGAGAGTACCTTGGCATCCTGAAGCTGTCAGGGAGGGATGCTGAGCAACCTGAAGCCTTTAAAAGAAAGTAGTTGATTATGTTGAATCTGTCAAGGAGGGTAGGTGAGCATCGGGGGGTCAGTTGTCCCCCAGTTGTCCGTTGTCAGGGGGGAGCCTGACAGCCGAGTGAACAGCGCTTGATTCGTAGTCCCGAGGTTCTGGGTTCGATCCCCGGTGGAGGCGGAAACAAATGGGCAGAGTTTCTTTCACCCTGATGCCCCTGTTACCTAGCAGTAAATAGGTACTTTGGGAGTTAGACAGCTGCTATGGGCTGCATCCTACAGGGCGTGTAACAGAAAGGAGGCCCTGGTTGAGGACCTGGCCCCTGGGACGCTAAGCCACGAAATCATCTCAAGATAACCTTAAGATCCCGAATGTTTCAGCCACAAGGAGGAATGTTGAACATCCTGGAGATGGGTTCAGTTCAGGGCAAGGCAGGACAAATCATTGGGTGCATTTATTTTCACCTAATGTCTCGGTTCACCTAGAGGTAAATTGCTACCCGGGAGTTAGGGAACTGTTGTGGGGTTGCATCCTGGGGAAGGTCAGTAGTCAACCTTAGTGGAACCTTCATACAAGCTGAAAATATATATACAGGTACACTGTATATTTTCTTTATATGTTCCTTCCTGTTTTTCTAACTTTTTCTCATTTATACCGTTGCATCTTCCTTTTTCCCTTCCTTCCTACCTTTCCTTTACTTTAACTGATTTTTTTATTCTTACCTTCATCTAACTCTTACCCTTCAAAATCTTATTCGTACCTTCTTCCTCATACATGCTTCTCACCTTGCATCTCACTTTCTTCAGGTTATCTTCACTACTGAAGACTAACTTTACTACTGTATATTTATTTGTCTCTTCCACTCTCTCTCATTACATGACTTAATAATGTAAAGCAATTGATGGACTGAAACATTGTGTTTCTTCAAACCACATATTTTCTGATGTGTGGTTTGATCATCCTACTCAGGCTTCTTGTCACCAACAAAATTATTATTATTATTATTATTATTATTATTATTATTATTTGTTATTATTATAAAATAAAAATAATTTCTTCCCCAGAAATGTATAAAAAGAGTGTTTTGCAGGTACAACAGATCTGTTTTGAGTTGTTTTGGTTCTCTGAGGTTGGGAACAGCCTATCACATTTACTAAGGTTTCCCTTGTCAACAACTGGCCATTTCTCAAGATGCAACCTACAACATTCACCTAACAGAACAAAGGCATTGGGTGCATGTTAACTTGACCAAACATCTCTCCCTGCCCAGGAAGTGAACCCAGGACCAATTGCTTGTGAGCTGACTGTGCTTATCAATGCACTACAGGTCATGTTTGTGCTCTGCTGAGGTGTAGCATATATATTATCAACACAGTTGGATTATATCTGATGGAAAAATCATCTGATAAAATGTTTTAGTTAGGTACAGTACAGGGTTTTACCTTAATTTGCCTGAGAGCCACTATCTCCTTAGTGGCCTTGATGAGGACAGGCAAATCCTCAATGAGAATTTTATGGAAATCATAAAAGTTTTAAAGTACAGTACTGTACAATACATTACTGCAGTAAACTATCTCCAGAAACATTGAAATATACATGAAAACTAACTTTGATGAAGAGTCGGGTGTCCACAGGTGGCAATATTTTGAATCGGGATGCTTAGTAAGTTGTTACTGTATATAACACCTACAACCTCGGTAATTTCAACTCTTGCATTGATCTTTTTAAAATAGACTAAATACAGTAGACTGTACTTTAGACTCACACAGCATCTATTTGGGGAATTCAACAATAAATGATTATTTATATTTTCAATAAATTTAAAATACTATCCAGCATTATAATATAATTTGTCTTGATCCAAGAGGTGCTGTAATGCTATATAATTTGTAATGCAGTTGTAGATTTATTCTACTGGGCTTATGCACTGTAAGCAATTAACATCCTGTTACAATTTAGTGGCATTAAGGTCACTCGGTTTATAGAGAAGGCATTTACAGTAGGTAGATAGGTAGGCATGATCACAGTTTTGGTTCCAAAGCCAAGCACTGGGACTTTCACATCATTCAAGCTTTAAGGAATGTAAATTCTGTATAATACTTGAAATTGGTTTTACTTCATAAATACTGTGCAGTGAATAATGTCCGAATATTTATTTTCAGAGATTGAGATAGAATTTAAGAGGAAGGAAAGAGAACCTGACATTCCAGCATTGGGATATATGTTGTGCATCAGACGTCTTCAAATACTTCTAAGGAATAATAACGTTATTGATAAAAACAATCTTCACACATTAGGAAAACTGTTGGGCGATATTCTGCAGTATAAGCCATTCCACCTCTGCCGAGAATTTCATAGAGCAGTGATAAAACTGTATATAGTAACCAAGTTACTGGTAAGTTGTACAATAATTTTGTATTTTTTTTTTTTTTGCTACAGTATGTAGACAAATGACAAAGTACAATTACAGCGCTTCCTGATAGGACTGTGTAAGTTATTTTTTGCCCTTTAGTAGTGTGTGCTTTGATTGGACCTAAGCAATGAATAATGATGAATGCCTTGGATGATGCAACTATTCACTCTTTCTTTGGCCAAATCAATTATATTTCAGAAGATATACAAATGACTTGCTTCCCTCCCTGCAGAATCTCAGTTCTGTAGTTGGATTAAACTATGAATTGCAACCACTTCATAAATTTATCTCCAATAATAAAGTATGCGTAACACCCACCCAGGAGAGATCCATATTATCATAGCAGATCATTTTGACATGAACAGACTTGGAATGCCAGAGGAAGATTTACTAAGAAATATTTGTGTGAAAGTATGTACTGTACATGTTTAATGCAAAATATTTTGTTTGCTTAAATTCCTTACATAGTAACTTGACTATTTTTCTCAGTATGTGGATTGTGAAGAGCTTCAACATGATACTGTGCTGGATAATCTGCCATATTTTAATTGGAGTGAAATCAAACAACAATTTAATTACCAGGTAATGAGATTATGTTTGTGTGTTTTATGTGGTTATTCATGTCAAGGAAAAACACTTTTTATAAAAAATACTGTACAGTACTGTAATTTCATAAACATAAACAGTACAAGAATGATGAATTACGAAGCTGGTCTTTGAAATGTGAAAGAACATTAAATACACATTGAGACTTACCTTAGCTCAGGACTGTTTTGGTGTATAAAGCCACTGTACCCAGTATGCTATTCAGTCCTAAGGCTCAAAAGTTATATCTCTAAATAGCAATGTTTGTAATTTATTCATGTCAATTTAACTACTTTCTTGTATTTAGTGTAGCAAGATCAGATTTTAATGTCTCCCTTATTTCACTCTTTCTGGAGAGCTCCTATCGGTGGCTCCTTGGTGCTTATGTTAAGCCAATAACACCAGTAAATTTATGTATTTCCTAATATTTTAGAACTAAGGGCAAATTTTTAGAAGCTCAGTTTAAATTAGAGTAAATTTGAAGTACAGTACTCTTCTTCAGGATGAATACTTCAGTGATTTTCACTCCAAACTGATCAAAGCTGCTCATGAAAGTATAGAAGCAAGTGTGAGTATACAGGCAAGTAGCCCCATGCACCTTGCAAAAGAATTGCGTCTTGAGGCAGAAAAGTGCCTACGAGTTGAACTCCCTAAACTTCAAAATCTCTTGATGGATCTTATACCGACTACCTCATTAGAAAGGGTGAGAGTGCTGATTTACTCTTTAAATCTTGCTATTGCAATCATAACAAATTCAAGGTCTTTCACTGATATTCTCTCATTTGAACTAAATTCATTTAATTTTTGGTTTTGGTTTTATACAGTAACTTATGATCAGACATGGTACAAGTGTCAACATGTATGTATGTTTATAATGACATTTCTGAGCATTTGTGCTTAGTTGGTCCATAAGTTCTAGTACTGCTGAGTCAAGACCAGGATCTGCCTCTGAGAGAGGCAAGGGAAGCTTGGGGATCAAAGATTGGTCCAGAACTTAGGAAAACCAAGTCAGAATTTAAGACAAAACAAAACAAACCACTGCTTAAAAGAAAGAAATTATAAAGGAAAAAAAGGTAAATGATAGTTTGCCACGAGTGAATACTTTTCACCCAAATTTGCCTGGCAGCTACCAGATGGCAGCCTAGACCACCCAGAGATACTAGCCCATAACCTACCTTGCTTTCTTGAGACTGTGAGGGTCAGCTCATCATTGTTGAGACATTTACATTTCCTGGGACATTAAAGTGGAGTTTAAAGTGCCTCTACCAAAAAATGTCCATCTTGTACGTGTCACACTTTCTCCATTTATCAACTGGTTTAGGGAACCCATTTAGTTTACCTAGGTTTTCTCTAGTTTTTAGATTCTGTAATTCTGCCTGTTATCTTGAGGTTATCTTGAGATGATTTCGGGGCTTTTTAGTGTCCCCGCGGCCCGGTCCTCGACCAGGCCTCCACCCCCAGGAAGCAGCCCGTGACAGCTGACTAACACCCAGGTACCTATTTTACTGCTAGGTAACAGGGGCATAGGGTGAAAGAAACTCTGCCCAATTGTTTCTCGCCGGCGCCTGGGATCGAACCCAGGACCACAGGATCACAAGTCCAGCGTGCTGTCCGCTCGGCTGCTAGGTTGGGTACAAGAGTTTTATAACCCTGAAGTGTGAAGTGTGTTATTGCCAGATTTTTTCCAACAGACCCACCCTCTTGAGCAGCATCTATTAGCTGTGGCCACCTTGCAATGCAGATTATTGAAGCTTTCACTTCCACCTCCACTAAATTCAAATTTGCCTCCTCTGATACACGTTGTTAAGCCATTGGTTGGCTTTCTCATCCTGCTTCTGTTCATTCAGCCTAGCAGCCTCTCTTTTATTGTAACTCCAAAACAGCCTTAGCTCATGGATCTGCAGTTGCTGACGACAAGTGTACTGGCAGTGTTAGCCTCTGTTTCCTTCTGGGTTTTGATAGTGGCCTGGGAACCAACTTATCATAATGCAATCCTCTTGTTTTATTTTATGTTTCAACTGACTCTTTGAGGGATTTTGGATGCCTCAGTTCCTTGTGCTCCTTCCCTTACTCTCTCCTGATTGTTGAGCCCTAGTGGGGATATAGACTCTGACCCATACCTTCCACTCTTCTGTGATAGGGAGTCCAGGGGTTTCGGGGTTGCCTGGGGGACGGGTCCATGGTTGCCCTTTGACCCTCTTTATAGTTGTGTTCCTAGGCCTGAGGGTTTATTCCTGCTTTGGGGGATTTTCTCATCCTTCCTACAATATGTTGGTTTACTCCTCCACTTACCTTCCATTTCTGTTACATCCTAAGAGTTGATTCTTGGCTTTGGTACATGCCTCTCCTCCCTCTCTTCAGCAGCAGCTTTCTGTGCTCACGATGCACTCCGAGAGGCTTGCCTTCAGTCCTTGCTCTGGAATCGTAACTGCGTGTCTGACCTGGATGGATTCAAAGGTCATTCAAATTTTTTTAAGCTCTCATCCTGAAGGAAGTGATGCTATTACCTGACAGGAATGATAGGCTTCTTCAGTTTTCAGTGGCTATTGTTTGACATTGCTGGTTCCAAATTTGTCTATACATGTTACGAATGTTTTTCCCTGTCGAGTTTGGATTATCTCCCATTTTCTGGTTTCCATATGTTGGCCTTGTTTCTCCTTGCTGGAAAGTCAATTCTTCCCCTCCACTTCAGGGCTTGCCTTATTTGCTGGTTTCTTTTTTTTCTGGGTATCACTGAGGTTTTTGCCTGCTATAGTTTCCACTCAGCTACTCAAGTCCCTTGCTATTCAGTGGAATTTGTGTCCCTTCCATCCCCTTGACTTGCCCAGATTTTATGATGGGCTGATTGGTTTTAGAGATTGCCCCAAGTTTTGGGGCAATCTCTAATCTCCAAGTTTTCCTCGTCTTTGAGAGAGCCACATGCTGATCCTGACTCCCAGCTACTCGGCATGGATCATATAGGTGTGGCACATTCCTGAGGCATCACAGTACTAGTACTTACACTTAAGCTCTAAATAACTACAGAGGGCCTACCAGAAAAGGGTGGTTCATTACATTCAATGCTTTATTTATTCTGGCCTCTTCTCAAAGAGTTTGGGAACTCTTAACACAATTGTTAGTCAAAATATTAAATATGCTTTTGTACAGTATTTTAATAAATTTATCTGATGGTAGGGTGACAGTGCCTACATCAAAACAGACAATACTGTCTCGGTGAGCACTACTAGATCAGACCTATTAAGCTGATGTAATTATTGTATCTGGACATAGTGCAGAATTGGAAAAGGCTTGATTTGAGAATGTGTTGTTGACTATAGCATTTTTACATGCTCATAAGATGGAGAATTTATTATTTATAATGTATATTCAACTAGATACCTTGCTAAATCTTCTCATACAAATGTTTTTATACAATAATAAACCATACGTATGATATAATAGATGGAAAAATAAGTACAGTACTGTTCATTCTTAAAACTATAGAAACCTCAAATTTCTTTTTTAACTTTTTCCAGCTGATTGGCAACAGAGATGTTCAAGAATATTTTACTGGACAGAAAGCACCTGAATTTAAAATTCTCCTGAAAACCTTAGGACAAAACATCACTGAACCTTCTTTAAATAGAGTTATGGAAACATTTAACAGAGTGAGATCACAAGGAGGACGAACTGAACAGCTTCAGGATTTAAATGCATTAGAAATGAGCCATAATAATATCGCCATTAAAGATGGCTGCAAGTTGAAGAACCACTTTCATCAAGGTGGTGATACACAAAGCAAGTTGGCAGGCACAGAAATTGAATCTACATCCAGCGGTAAAACAATTAATACAAGTGTCGACTTAATTATATTGAATGGAAAAATATGGAATGTAAAGAGAGGAAATGTAACCTCAAAACTTGTGTATAAAATTGGTGATCCAAGAAAAAATCAAGATGTCCCTTCAGTGGACATGAGTTCAGATAATAAACACGTATCTAAACCACTTAATGACATTCATCTCATAATTCATAATTCTAAACGGTATGAATGTGTTTCTAAAATATGTCCTCAAGTTGTGCAGAAACCTAAAAGCTCTGAACATTTAATGGTCTGTCAAACTAAAACTTATTTAATGAGAAATAATTTGAATAACTTTGAACTTAAAAGATTAGAGAAAACCATTAAAACTCTAGAAACTTATCTTACCTTATTAAAGGCAAAGTTTGAGAAAGAGAAAATAAATGCTGGTCTACAAAGTTACAGAGATGATGACAATAGTTCTGGTACTAGAGGTGGAAATCTGCCAAATCACGATCTTCCAAGTACCAGTGCAATTCAAGAGTTAACACATCAGAATGATCATGGAGAGGGCAGTCATCAGATCCAAGGTCAATCTACCGGGGAAGATGCTTTACAGCTTACACAAACACCTCGGACTTCCAGTCCCCAAAATATAGTCTGCTTGAAAACAAATATATCTTATACTCCTAATTATGAAAAACATACAAGTGATGAGAAAGAAAAATGGCAAAGCCACCAAAATAAGTATAATACAAGTCTGTATGCTGACGAGTGCGACGAAAGTACTCCTGCTTTACGTTTGAGCCTTACTTCATCCCCAGAATTAGAAATGATACCTGAATCTCCAGATAATCATGAAATAAATGTCAGTAAAAGATTTAAAAGTGGATCAAGAGAGGTGTGCCAAAGTGAACCACAGTGTATGGAAAGATCCAGAAATAATGAAGAAAATAAACTCTCAGAACTCAATGTACCTTATCAGAACTCTGAGGTTATTGAAAATAGCAACTCTCCTTCAGTACATTCTGCAGATTTGAACTTGGAAGATTTCTTTCAAAGCACGGATAAGGAAGATGGTAATAGTACCATAAAACATATAGCTATTGCTCCATGTGCAAGCACATCAACATCTCCAGTCAGTGTAAACACAGCTTCACGCAAGAGTAGAATGAAGCGGAAAAACACTGAGAGTCGCAGCAATAGTAGTGAAGAGTTTGTTGAGGTGTCTCCAAACAAGAAAAGGACGAGAGGAGATCTGAGAAAGCGGCAAGAAGCAGAAGGTGCTTATGAACCAAGTTTACCAAAAGCTAAACGTTCAAAAACAAAGCATGTCTCCGAGAAAAGAGAATCGGCGAGATTAAAAAGCTTAAAAGAATCTAAGTCGGAAACTATGGTGTCCTCCAATTGTACAGTATTAAGTGTGGATTTATCTAATGGGATGGAGGATAAAATCTTTGTCACACTGTTAAATAGTCAAGAACCAGAGTCAGGAAACTTTGTCACACCGGTAAATAGTCCAGAGATAAAGTCGGGTAACTTTGTCACACCAGTAAATAGTCCAGAGGAAAAGTTAGGGCCTCCATGCTCTATTTCCAATGACAATATAAACTGTTCAGATTCAGAGTCATGGAAATCAGCAAGGAATGATTCTCATTCTTCCCATGAGATGATATAAATATTTGAGATTACATTGATGGAATATACCAATGGGAAGATAAAATGTAACCAATTTATGTTAGCCATCTTATACTAAGCGGTACATGACCATTAGCATGTGTTTTTTACACTTTAAAATCCTCTTTAGCCAACTATTGAAGACTTAAAAAAAACAAAATTTATTGCATGTGCCTCTTTTCTTTTTTCCTTCAATAATTTTATACACATTTTTGTTTATCAGTGCAACTCGGTATCAACTGATATTATGTGATAGTTAAACTATCGAGTAGGATTCTTCGGTGACTATTTCAAAATCTTTCTTCTGTCCGAGAAACAAGCTAAACAGTGGCAGAAAAAAAAAAAGATAGTTAATTATACAGTTTGTATCAATAAGTTAGCTTTCAAAAATATTAAAAAAAAATTTATTAAGTATTTATAAAACTCAAATACGGCAGCAAAATAAAATAAATACCTGTACTGTATAATACTTTAATATCGATTCCAATACAGTACAACCTTTCACATGGAAGAGCATAGCAGTTTTACTATTGTAAAGAAATACAGTATAAACTGACTACATTCTGATATGCAGGTATTTTTCAGAGTTGATTTGATAGATAGTTGATTTGCCCAGTCAGAAAAAGAGCTTTAAAAAATACAACTTGATACATTCAAATTTTTTTTCCCCCCTATGCTCAATTTCTCAATACTGTACCTGCTCGAGGCATCATATATTTCCACCACTTAATTGATCTTTATGCAGAAATGATTGTACAGTATTTATACAGTTTTTCTAGGAATAAAATACATAAAAGCAACATTATCCATTTATGACCATGGTAAACCGTGTAGCAGCTGTACTGGATACTACAGTATTAAACACACAAACTGCTATCGCTTTTCAGAATGTGTTAGAATGTTCCTTTTATACAGTTAATTTATTACAGTATTACATTGTATATATTGTGATATACTGTACTCTTAAATATTTATTTAAATATGATTTGATTAAGAAAACTATGTACAGTACAGTATTCCCAGCCCATACTCTTGAAATGCCAATAAATAAATATTTATACCAACTATATGGTTGAGAGTACCAATATATCCATTACTGATGACCCAAAAACAAAGTCTACATTTTGTATTATTCAACAAGTTCAAATGCCATTCCAGAAAATTAGAAATGTACCTAAAGAACTTAGCCTAATATGTTCAAGCAATTCTAGGTCTAATATATGCAATCTTAGGCGTGATATAGTACATACATGTGCTATTCTAGGCCTAGGAATGCTTAAATTGGGTGTTTAACTATTTTTTCATGACCTACAAATTTAATAGTACAAAACGTGAACTTTCTTTGGGTCTAACGGTACATATTGGTACTCTTGACCAAATACTTGCTATAAGTACATACGGTACTGTCATTTTATGAGGATGGGTAGACATTCCAATACAACAGTTATCACACTATGTGTGATATAACAAACAAAAAAGACTGGGTCTTTCAAATGTTTTTAAAAGCCACACAAGACTCTCCACGAGTTGGAACGTATCAAGAGTACTCTATATCATTAAGATATAGTATTCCCTCAAGATTGTGTATTACAGTATTTGTAAAGAATGTTTTTTTCTAAAAATCTAATTCAGTATTTAATGTTAATACTACAGTATATGTACCCTTTTACAGGTTAATTAGCAAAACTTATTATTTGAATACAATATATCTTTTTCAGTTTTAATTTGAATCAATGTTGAATATTATTTGTTTAAAAAATATAAACTGCTCTATCCTTATGTAATAAAAAAAATTATCACAGAATTGTACAGAAATCTTGTTTAATTATTCTGTTAATTCTAAACTGTATAAATATAAAAATATTGAATGCTTACCATTAGAGGAAGTGTAAATAAGTCAAAATTAAAATGTTCAATTTAAGGAAGTAAGAGATTTAGATTAGTGGTGTGGTTTAGAACGACCCATATCCTTAGGATACAGACACTCCAGTTTCTTACACACCTCTCTTAACCATCCGAAGTTTGTCAGAGCTCCATTACTGTCACGACACAAGACAATGTATTGCCACAGTCTGGGAGAGATCTTTTGCATCACTCGCTGTGCTACAAAACACACGACCAGCAAGACACCCCGACCTTAGCCTCTGATAATTAACTATAAGTGTAGATGAATAAAACTGAACAGCATTACTAGATGACTGATGAAAATAAAAATGGCTTCCTTTAACCACTGCACTGCACAAAGTGCCATTAGAAACTGAGAGTTGTGCTATTTTTTTTAATTAGGCTATATTTTAATGTTTTTTAATGTTCTCATTACTCGTTGTGTTTTGAAATGGAAATAGTTGAGTTTGGAAACATTTTGACATTAACTTAACCTGAATATTTATAAAAATTACAAAAATACATCTTTGACAATTACACTAAGAAGTTTTTGCCAAAATCAGATGTGCAGTGCAGTGGTTAAGCATCCTCAAGTCACCATTATTATTTTATTTACTACATTCATGGGGTGGGGAGGCATTAGCCAAAACAAAAGAAATGGGAAAAGTAAAAGTTAAAATAATCAAAATTAATGAATTGCATTCATCCATTTACTGTATTCTGCACACTACACAGCATCGGGGAAACCACCATGACCATTCACTAGAAAGTCTTCATTCATAACCCTATCGTGCCACTAATGTTATGAAACATGCCTTGCAGGACATAGTGATGTATTATCTTATATTGAGAGAATGAGCAGCTCTCATAAATTCTTTGTAAGTACCTTTTGTCTATGTACTACAGTATACAGTAGTACTGTAATTTTATTAACAAAGAGAAGATCAAATTTAAATACAGTAACTTTTAGTTGTGAGCTCATCCATTTAGATAATTGTTCCTTGTAAAAATAAAATTGCATATGTACTGAGTATTAATTCTAATATTGTGCTATACCTGTACAGTATTTACAAGTACAATATCTTATATATAAATATATAATTCATAAATAATTACAATAATTACTGATTAATTAACCTAAGTAGACAATTATAACTGTATTATGCTGGTAATAAATAAATTCTAGAGTCTGGTTAATCCTGTTTTTCAAGCTTATTATAGTTCAGGGTTGCGAGAAAAAATTAAATGTCCTGCACCAATAATAATCATGGTGACTGGTAAAAATAATTACCTGTGTTGAGCAATATAGTTAATTTAAGCAGTTTGGAAAATCAAATTTTTATAAAAAAAAATTTTAAAGATGATACAGGTCAGCAATTCATAAATTATTTGTCTTCAAATTCATATAGCCAAAACTCGTATGTTTCCAGCATTCAGGACCAGAGATTTCACGATACTGTATAGTGATTTAAACAAGTACCATTTTTATTTTGTACTGTCATACCATAAAGCGATTTCAACTGCAACATAATAATTAACGGTAAAATTAAGTGTTTCTCATGACTGATGCCTGCAGCCGACTCTTGATCTTGTGCAGCGCTAATTTAACTTTATACTGTAAGGACAAAATGAGGGTTACACAATTAGTTCATGACCTAAAGGTCCCTGGATTGATTCCTGGGCAAGACAAAACATTTAGACATGTTTTCTTACACATGATTCCTTTATTCACCTACCTGGTACCTGGGAGATAAGCAACTGTTGTGGGTTGCATCCTGGTGGCCAGTTGTCTCACTAGGGTGACCTCATAAGCTTAACAAGCTTCCTGCTCCTGACAGGTAAAACTACAGTAAATCCAAAATTTATCTCTTACCCCCCCCCCCCCTTAATAAAATGTTTGTCTTGATATTACTTGATTTCTACAAATAATACTAGTGCCATTTTACATCCAGAAATGCAGTACAGTATATAACATAGAATGCCTGGAAGGTATCATGCTATAATTAAGTACAGTATTTATCAATATTAAAGTTAAAAGTCAGTATGACTGCGTAGCATTTTGGTGTATGGCTTAATGAAAAGTAATTAAACACTCAAGATACCTTTACATAAGGAAAAGTGCAAAAGGTAACTCAACACCTGGCAACGCTTCACTTATTGAATTGAAAAGGAAGAAAAATCAACTTTCAATGCTAAAACCCACTTTTGATATAGAAGAACAAGCTCAAATAGTAATAGTGAAGGTATTTAAATACCGTGGCATCAAATCCCCACCAAATCAAATCTCTGAAGACGATGGTATTTTTAACATAAAATATGTTCATGTTTTAAATTTGGATAATTTCGCTAATTAATGCATAGAACATATTTCTAAGTGTAGCATTTTCTGAAAATACCACAAATACAGGGACTGTAATCAAATAAAGGGCCCAAAATGCATCTTGTTTGGAGATGAGAACACTGCAGTGCCTCCACTTTGCCCCAAAAGCAAAGAAATAAAGAAAATGATGAACAAAGCTAAGCAATTTTCTGCAACCAATCAGCTAATTAACATTGCTTCAAACAAAAACCTCTTAAAACAACAGTACTCCATATTTTATCTCGTGTAACCCTGATGCCATAAAAACAATCTAATACAATAGCACTAACCCAGACAGCCACAACTCTGCTCAATGACTCAAATTCTGCCTGCACCTGGCTCTTAAAACTAGGTCAACAATTGAGCTGCTGTTGATGACAAATGTGAAAAATTACATTTGTAGAATCAATAGAAAAGGAACTAAGCGTGGCTGGAAAACAAGACACGACACTGTAAACGTGCAGCGGAGTGCAAAAGTTAGAAAAAGTTAAGAAATAAAACCTCTAACAACTGAATAAAATGTCTCGATTCCCATTGACACTTTACTCGTATAACTTTTCATCTTTATAATTCACTGCCAACAATGTGCTCTGAATTACGATGTATATAACCGAGCAAGTAACTAAGGGACAGCTCTCCATGGTACATCACAATGTGTTATATAACACACGAAGGCATAAAATCATCTGTAATAAGTCGAGTAATATGCACCCCTACTATACCATCAGCCACAGCATGTAAAAACCCAAAGTATCCCAGTGAATCCACATTGAACAAATGCACACAGATCAGGAGGGTCGACTGTAATTATGAAAATATGGCAGGAAGGTCCTCCACTGTCACGGTGGAGGACCTTCCTGCCATATTTGTATAATTACAGTTGACCCACCCCCCTGATCTGTACAGGCTACTGTCCACAGTAGCTCCATACACAGTAACAGTAACAATAACTATCTTTCTTACCTGAATAACCAGATTAAGGTCAATGTTGCCAAATGCTTCCAGTACTCCTAGGAAAGTTAAGAAAGCTAAGATGTAACTGATAAAAGTTCTGAAATGCAGCATTATTCTGCCACATGTAACAATTTGTCTCATAATAACAAACATTAACCATTAATCATTATCATGGTAGTACTAACATAAATTCAATCAAAACAACTGGCATATAAATGAGACTGTTTTCATGGGAAAACTGTTACTTACACAACATCTGTTTTCTTACTAATACTGTAACCAGAAAATGCTGTCCTTTAAATGGCACAGCAAAAATTACTTCCAGTAAGGAAAAATATTATGGTACAGTATCTCACTACAGGTCCTGATACAGTAATACAAATTCATAAACATGGAGAATGAACTCTAAATTGTACTGTATAATCATCTCACTAACTAGTCAGTGTTTTAGGATGACTGGAAGGAGAGTAGCATTAATTTTGTTATTTTTAAGATATTAATAAACAAGCCCTCTCAGTTTCTACTGCAACTATTTTAATATAACCTCTTTAAGACATAAATATCAGCATATTTCTCATTTATAATCATTTTAAGCTTGATAAAAAATGCAAGGAAAACAAATATCTCATTTTTGGTACATTCATTACAACAAAGAATATGAATTACTGGTACTGTATATAAATTAGGTATTTGCTCAGAAAATGAGCCTAGAATACAATATAGTTCATGTTACAAATGAAGCATTCAGCTTGGATGTTGCCGAACACTGCAAGTGTCATAACGTCCATCAAATTACCATGTACTGACACTCGAAATGGAGGTTAGTCCACAAATTTATACAATAAATTTAATGTACAATGAGGAACAATACTTGTATTTGTCGATTATAAATACTGTAGCATTCTATGGAAAATATAATTTATAATATAAAATAAACACTGCATTGTTTTATTTGCCAAAGAGTAATGTACATTCTACCACATTAAAGTTCAGGTCACAGGTAGGGCAGCCACTACAATATCTATGCTTATAAAACAGCTCTTGAACCTTTTGAATAACAGCAGAGCCTGAGGGTCTGGCCACCATGTGATATATATACTGTATAGATTTTATTACTGTACTGTATTAGATTAAGCTCAATAAACCTGAAAGCATATAATACTACCCTGCCAAACTCCTTAGCAAATAAACTCATAGCTTTCAAATTGAACTTATAGCCAAAATAAATTGTATATATTTATACATGTATTTATATATGTATGGATATATGTGTGTGTGTGTGAGATGGGGTAGGAGGCTGGGGGGTCAGGTTGGTCCCTAATAGCTAGTACTGCACTATTTGGCCTAGTATGCAGTGCCTAGTGATATTCATTATTTTCAAATATTTATTTCCAAATTGCTTTCCAATTAATATTATTTATTTAGCCACATCCAACAGCCCGATTGACCAGGCCAGCAACAAGGAGGCCTGGTCGACGACCGGGCCACGGGAACGCTAAGCCCCGAAACCACCTCAAGGTAACCTCAAGGTAAGGTTAATACTAATAAATAAGCTAATTTGGGAAGGTGTGAGGTCTGTGAAGTTAAGGTGCCCAGCAAGTACTGATGCTAGGCAAGTATTGGTGCCTAGCATCAATACTTACATCATGCATAGGAACCAGGAGAAAAACTAGACAAACTTCAAGAATACTAAAATCATCATTATAAAAAAAAAAAAAACTTTAGATGACAGCATATTCTGCAACCACTGAACTCGTACAACACCAAAGGACAGAATTCATGAAAATTCAACATTATCTCCCATCTAATTCTTACTTTATAAATATATATATTGTAATACACAATCTCGTCTTCTTCACCTTCCCCTATGATGCTACTTTATCAGCCCTAGCCCTTTGTGACTTATATTTTACAAAGTTCTTATATGTTAAATTGTCGTCCATTACTTTAAGTTGACTTACCGTGGCATTTCCTTACATTAGACATATTATACACATACATCATACACACACACACCATGAGCATAGCTCTCATCCTGTAACTACACTTAGGTACATAATTAGGTAATTACATACACTGCGCACGCACACCCACAAAATCATAACAGGAATTGACAAAGTTGACAAGGAGGGGTTTTTAAATCCTGCAACACTAGTGCCATTTTACATCCAGAAATCCATTTGGTCACAAATGACCAAAGACTCAATCTTGAAGAAAAATGTTTGTGTTGTGGACAGTATGAAAAATTTAAGTGGTTAATTGTGGATGCCAAAACCATCAGCACTTTGAGTGTCATACAGTATGGCAAAAAAATGGTAAGGAAATGGGACACCAAGAGCATAACTCTTATCCTATAATCTCTCTCTATCTTACTCACTTGTATATTAATTAAAGAATTTGCCTCATACAATAGTATTCAAGTTGTATAAATTTTAATTAGATACCATTAAGCTGATTTAACCTCTTGAAAGCACAACTACAAATTAAATAGCAGTTACACCATACCAACCCATACATCCCAGAGTTTGAGCAATCTTGAAGATGCTACAGCCTCTTTGCACCAGCCAGTCAACTCTTTCACACTTAAGAATGAGCTGCAGGAAGAATTACCATGACTGGCCTTTCACACAGAGAAATTTAAGTAATTTATATCTCCATTTCTTTCACAGTGGTCCATTATGATGAGTGTACATCGAAGCAAAATATACCTCCAACAGGGATAAGACTTAACTTTAATATTTGACTATGGAATTCTAAGATCAGCACATAGCGCAAAAAATAAAGTATTTCTTTTTTAAGCATTAATAATACCTAATCACCAAACAATCATTTCATAGCAGTAAAGAGGAAAGCCATGGCTCCATAGCAGAAGAGATCTACAATAGCATTTGTTGAAAACAACCATGAGAAGGAAAATTAACAACTATAAAAATGTCAACAGACTTTATTTCATTTTATTAAGGTTATTTAATGATTTTTGTATAAATGACCCAAACATAAGGACTCGGTTAATGGACAAATCTATTATATTAGCAAATAAGATAGAATAGGTAAAATAGGCACACAGAGACAAAATGAAACAAGACTTGAAACATAACTCTGTAAAATAAAATTATTCATCACAGCACTCTGGTTTCCATTTACTCTTTCCTCTTTCATGTGCAATATATTTTCATCATCATACTTTATTGGCATATTCTTAAGACATAACAATTGATACTGATCACACCAGTCATCAACCTCCCTCCCTCCCTCTCCACTTCCAAATTAAACTACAATATAAACCAATTTATAAATATATATATTGTATAACTCTCCACTCTATGCATAAGAAAGAAATAAGCTGAAGTTTAGTAATGGTCAAATGAATGCATTATGAATTTAAATGTTACTCAGTAATAGCTTGGCCAGACAACATGTAAGTGCTTATAGTACAGGTTAGTCAAGATCTGAAGAACCACTACTGCACCTTCATGGCTGAAGGCAATCTACATAAGAAACCTGCAATATGCCACTTCCTAATGATGTACAACACTCAAATTGCACACACATCCAAAAGATAAAAATACAAACTGTTCTAGCCGATGCATTACAAAACATAAGCACAAAATAAGTTTATATCATTTGTAAAGAATGGAAAATAAAAGAGCAAGGTTCACCACATAGTCTCAAAGCTTGGAAAAGGGCATGTTGGGCTGATTAATTACTAAATGCTACCTTTACCGATTACAGAATCAAATACTGTACTGTATAGGGAAAAAATCCACTTAAAAACACCATATAGCAAACTATTCAAACACAGCCTATTAACTTCAAACCCACTTGAGGGTTTCATCCTATACCACAATCCAGTGATAAACTTTCAGAAGTAAAGAGGAAACAAAAGTAACAATATTGCCAAGATTAATTCAGAGCAGAAAATAACTGGAGGGGCAGCAACTTATACCGACACAAAGTGGGCCGAGACTCTCGAAACCTTAACCTGCTTGATAAGTGCTTGATGGGGGTTCTGGGAGATCTTCTACTCCCCAAGCCCGGCCCAAGGCCAGGCTTGACTTGCGAGAGCTTGGACCACCAAAAATACAAGACAAACCAATCATAACTGGACCAATGTGAAAGACAAAATTATGCACATGAATATTTAAACATACACACACACACACACACTACATTACATATATACATACATACAGTAATTTACCTTCAGTTAGCGATCTTGTAGCCATCCTATTCCAATTACAGTATTATTCTAGCTGTGGCACGCTGCTACATGACAAAAGGAAGTAGATATAGCGCTTTCTGTCAGCTCTTTAAAGAACCTAATATTAGACTGCAAACAAAAACACTTCTTTGGTAAGGAAATAGAAAATTTATACAAAACACAAGTAATCTAAATTCAAATATAATTACAAAATCCAGAACACATATCACACAGTGCCCATTGGCCTAAACTATATTTATTATATGTATAATTATATGAATTTTTAATTCCAATATATATCTAAAAAGCAAAATAACATAAAAATCAGATTTCTTACATTAGCAAAGACATTCTAGAAATAAATCAATCGGGAAAAATCTTATAATTGGCAAATAATTACTACTCTCAAAGATCTTCCTCGTTATGTCTTCTGTAATTTCTAAGATTACAAGCAGACACACGTTTTTTGAACGCAAAAGACTGTTCACCACTTGCTCTGGTATTTTCAGTTCCATTAATGCTTATGCTCCCCTCAATATCATTTCCAGTTCTATTTTCATCTTCACTTTTCACTGTACTTGAAGGAACAATCAAAATCCCACTCTCTGGAGTGCTTACAGATGGTGTTCCATTAGAAGCTTGGTTTGATCCATTCTGCATAATCTTTTTGTTAGAGGTTGCTGCAGAAGCCAAGTCCAAACTATTTGGAAGATCCAAGCCAGAAACAAGCGACCCGTGATCCGTATCAAATAAGAGAGATCCGTTATCGTCAGTTGAAATACTGCTAATTGGAATTGCATCACTAACTGCACTACTTATGTTTAACTCATTACCAATGTCACTTACACCATTGCTATCACCAAAGCTTTTTTCTGATAAGGTGGTATCATTCAAAATGTCAGGAATACAATTAGATCTATTACTAGTGTCTTCACTATTAAAGTTTCTCCCTGGGTCTTGTGTTATCACATCAATTATGTCTGAATCACTAGAATTAGAATCGACTATTTCTGATATAATGTGTCCATTTTTTGTCTCTTGCGATTCTTCCTCATCGGTATCACTGTTACTCAAATTAGTTCGTTTCCTCTTTGTAGGTAAAACACCATCATCAGTACTGGATTCACTATCAGAAGACCACATCAAACGTTTTCCATTCTCCACTTCACCACTATTTTCTCTAAATGGTTGCTCCACAGTCTGAGCCTCTTCTTCTGTCTCACTACCATTACCATCATCTTGATCATCTGAATCCGGTTCAGAATCTGGTTCAGTATTTTGGACCACCATTATAGTATAAGGAGCCATGTATCTTCTGCGGAATGATGTGCGTCGTCTTACTGACCCTGCATTGTCTTCCATGGCGCTTTGGAGTCCTGGTAGTTCTCCTCGAACTTGACGGTCTTCAGTAGAATTTTGGCCCTCTGGGCGATACAAATACCTGAAAAATACATTGAATAAATTATGCATAGCCTTCTTCATCCTTATTACCTACTTCCCCACTTTTTATGGGATAAGAATGCCCTTAGTCTTTAATGGAAAAAATAGAGAAGTTGGATCTTCAGCAAAATCCCCTCTCATTTTATGGCAATGTATGCAAGGCTGCAACAAAAGTAAAGCTTTGTAACTGCACAACTTATGTTCCTCCCCAAGGCACTCAGGGAGGAATCGAGGCTACTCAGTTCCTTCCCCGAGGCAATGTCCTGCTCTTACTAAGATATGACCAAGCAACACCCAGGCCAGGATGACCTCCACACACTCCAGAGCAATGGGGAATCTTTGCCAAATGCTTATTAAGTTGGAAAAGTTACTTTTCCAACTTACAGTAACATACCGTACTGTAAGCTGGAAAAAGGAAGCGCTGGAAAAAAGGAAGCACTGGAACTCGATCCAAGCCCAGGATGACCCCAAGTAGACTAATTTAAATACACTCAAGAACCAAGATCAAGAAAATGGTAGATGCCGCAGGACTTCCTTATAAGACCAATGAGAAGGTCTGATCCCCCCCTCCTCCCAAAAGACTAAACAGAGGAAATGGAGCAAGGCAATCTTGTAACACTAAAGAGCAAAATATCTCTAAGAACCTTCAGGCAGCCCAGAGAAAAGTCAGAGGACACGTTCAATAAAACACTGACACTGATGTAGCCAATCCTAAAACTCAAAGGGAGTGAAACACACTATACAGTCAGAAAAGCCAAAAAATGAGTCAAAGAAAACTGGAAACCACAAGGTAAACCACAACACTGGACATCCAGAGAGTATAAGAAAGGAAACAGACATCACTCCTTAGAGACTTGGGATCAAGCACCGCAAAAATATATAGCATTCAACCCCACAACCACCTAATAGGCTTAAGGCGTGACTACCTGAATGCACCCGAGGAAACCAATTCAATGGACAACAGGGAAAATGGCAAGATGGCATCCCTAACCATGATCAACCATGGTAGATGGGTCCACTTAGAACAGGCAGAGGAATCCCAATAGATAATGGTAAATACTCAAATTAGTTGATGAAATAAAGCTGTGTGTTCTCAAGAATACAACTACATTCCTTCATTCAGAATTCTATTACACGAGTGTCACCAGGAAAGTGGTAGACCGTAATACTGCATTACTGATTGGCTGCTTGGACAGTTTTGAAGCATTACCCTCATATAAAAGGTTTACAAAGGAAAGTGAGACCTTTAAGAAAATTCTGTTCAGGTCTGGAAGAAGTTCGCAAAGAGGGTCTTGGTCCATTTTTGAGGGGGAAGGCCACCCTCCTGGCAACTCTCATTCTTGGTGTTAGTAGTAAGTAATTTAACTGCATCTTCTGTATCTTTAGTGCCCTTAAGTTTTAAATCATTGAGATGGCCACTTCTAACTTGCATAGAAATCTCACTACTTACTCAAATCATTAGCTGAATATCATTACAGTAATTTATAGCATACCCAATCTCCAGCTTTTCCTAATTTTGACTTTAAATATTATTTTTTGCCATGTATAGAGTTATAGAGCATCCAGGTATAGTACAGCATTAATGACTACAAACCGCCTCCTGCTTGTTGCAAAGGAGCGAAGAAAATGCTGGGCTTTCATTCGATGTCTCCTGAGATGCTTGCGTTTTCTTCTGGCTCGCTTAGCAATCCTAAGTTTAGCTCTCTTTTTGGCAATCAAACGCATAATCCACTCGCTTCCCCCAGAGATCTGAAATTTACAAATAAATCTTAGCTTTATACAATATGTTAATATATGTATTAACAGTATATATACATATATTTTTTATCATATACAGTATATATATACAGATATTTTTTTTCGATCTGGACACCAACTGTTTCATAGTTCATTTTAGTTTATGAATGTCATGAATGATTCCTTTTGTATTACCAAATCAGTTTAAAGATCATAAATTTAGAAGTTTGCAAGTGTAATTCAAGCTCCTCTGACAACTCCCTTTGATGTGGTCCTTTGATGGTGAAAGTTTACTATTCAAACCCCCCCCCCCTTGAGCTCTCTTTATTAGAATTATTTAACCTTAGACAGCAGCTATGGACAAATGGCCATACCTGCCTATGCATAAAAAAAAAAAAATTTCATTACAGAATTATTAATTTGTATGTAGAATATAAGTAAAACATAAAAATATGTGAATATTTATCATTTCATTGTGGGGAGGCGCTCGGCAAGTCTGCATCTGGCACTTGTCAATGCCTGGTGCTTGATTGTACAGATGTCACCAATTTATTCTCCGATGTTTCACCGATTGTTTTATCACTTTTTTTTTCTTTATTTACAACCACAGAGAGCTTTTATATCCATATTTGCATCATACATGTAAAACCCAGACAATAATTTTGTAAATCTTCATATGATGATACAGTAACCACATTACTCTGTAAATCAACAATTGATGATATCCACTGTCTATAGGATTAACAAGTTTTTGCATAATTTATAGGTTGAGAGAGTGCAGTCTTTGTTTAAGAATCAAAATTCAAAATGTATTGGAAAAAGTAAGTAAGTAATTATCAAAAGAAGGCACCAAACCGGGAATGTATTGGAAAAAATGTGATCCTAACAATAAAACCTAATACAGGATACAATAAAGAAGTGGAACACAGTGTTAATAAAAAATTAGAGTTACGAGGTTAAATAAGTAAATCCCATTTCCATTTGCTTGTGACCTACTTCTACTAACTCCACCTTTTTTCTATGTAATTTACATTTAAAATACTGCACACACACTCTGCATCAAATAAATACAGCATATTAATACAGATATGTACAGTAATAAAAAGAGGATAACCATCTGACAAAGGAACAACAGTTGCATTACTGTAAAAGAGAGAATGGTTAAGAATACATTGTGTACAAGCAAAGCAAGCAAAAAAAAAACCATAATAAAAACACACTTTATCTCCCTCGTCATCACCATCATCATCATCATCGTCACTCTTGGGAAGATTATGATGATTTGGTCTTCTCCTCGAGAGCTGATTTGACCTTTGTCTGGCCCCCTGGTGGTGGTCATCAGAACTCTCTTGCCCACGGCCAGCACTTGGTTCTAGAAGATAGATTCACCATAATAGGAAACTTATTATTAATAATCAATCCATTAAGCTACCCATTTTCTACAGCATGATTACAACATAAAATTCTCAGGGGAATGTAGAGGGCAGACCACAGATTATTTAGAACATGTAATTACCTAAGTGTATTTACAGGACGAGAGCTACGTTTGTGGTGTCCCGTTTTCCCAGCACTCTTTGTCACATAATGCTTTGAAAAAAATAACGTGGTACACGAACAAGGGGAAATTTATGAAACTAAAGTACCCTAAGAATAAGCCACAAACACATTAGAAAGTACTTTTCAGTCTGAGTATTGAACTCTGTAGCAATTCCCCAAACTGAAATTAAAATAAAACATCAGGTTTTAAGTGTCTGGATATGCACACAGTACTGTATGGTATATTGCACAATATATTTTACGACCTCAGAATAAATAACCGAGAACAATGTATATTTAAAACTTAAACTGCAATTTTTTATATAGTTAAACAACCCAGGTTTAAGTAACAAATTACCATACACTTATTACCATCGTCTGAATCATTATCATCAGATTGTGATGTAACAACAGAGAGAGACGACTGAGTTGTTGTAGTTTCGGTGTCGTCATCATCTTGTCCCGAGAGTTGTGGATCGTTATCGAGATCATCAGAAAGGTCAGTGTTCGATGTCCAACCTTCCACCTCTCTCTGCACCAAGGAATCAAAGAAGGCCATCATGCGGGGGTCCTCATCTGTGCTTCCATGGCTATAGTCATGATTCACATCCTGCAGAACAAACAATATTTTGATCACAAACACACGTACAGTGTACATAGATTACAACACAGATTAGCAATATACAATACTGTACTGCCAACCTAAAGTATAACAACACTAAACACAACAGTTATTTGCACTCTCATCCTCATTGGCATTAACCATGTAAACTCATCCACACTAACACCTACTGTACTTTGCACTCCACACCCATCCACCTTATACATTTATCACTACATAGCATCAACCTTGCACATTCATTCACACTATCTGTGGTGAAATTAGTGTTGAACCCTATCTGCCCTATTTAAGGTTGGAGGAAATCTAGAGAAAATGTAGAGAACCTTACTGCTCAAATCCTCTTCAATTATTAGGCTTGCTTAAAATTTCTTAAATTGTATTCCCTGAAATACAAGTGGTACATCATAATCTTCATCTGGAAAAATACATTAGAAAATTGGTTCCAAATCTGCAAAATATTATAAAAACTCAAATTTAAACACAATATTAGTGAAGCTTTTAATTATCCAATAGAGAATATAATACTTTACTGAATTTAAAAATATTTATTTCTCAAAAACTGCTTCTTATATTTGATGATCACTATCAGCGGTGTATTGTACATATTCCATGCATGAACCATATTTTTTTCCTATTTAACGTTGATATATAGTATTTACCACATCTTGACCTAATTTATACGTAAAATGCAGCATCATATTCCATGCCAAATACTTTATCAATATATCACCTTGTGACTTCTACATTCATTCTTAGTATATTTAATATGAACGTCTACTCATAACTCATTTCCCTCTTCCATTCTTTGGTATATATATAAATTCCTCAAATGAGAATTAGGAATTGCAGCTTCACTTTTTATGACCAATATTTCATTCAAAGATGCTTTTTTCTTTCACACCTTAAATAAATTTGTTCATTCTAATTATCTCTTGTATTCACCTACACTCACCCAATCCAATCACTAGTTTATTCAGAGCATTTCAATATTAAAATGCAAAATCATATTAATCTACACTCCACACAGATTATCTGTGATTCGTGATCTCTATCAATAGTTATTTGCCATTAAGCTAAAATCCTAAACCAAATTTCACAATTCATATCATTCCATTCACCATTACCAACAACTCATTACAACTTTTTTCAAACTACTTTTTCATAACTCATCAGTTACTCATTATCTTCATTCCTTTCATTTATAGTCTATTTACACCATCCTATTTTTGTTATACCTTTGATTCTTCAACTACATTCTTAATTTAGTCTATTTCTTCAGACTATGTCATTATTACCAGCCATATTCTTCCAGGACAGTATTGCTATTAGAAGTCACTATAACAAGTTTATGTGGCTATCTTTGTCCCTAGACATATTACTAGGTTCAAAATCAAGGTAGGTACATAAGCATTTATGTAGCTACCCTAGACTATAGACTGCATGAAGGGGAATACAGTGTGTCAAGAGCTAGGTACGTAATGCTAAAATTTCCCGTCACACAGGATGGTTAGTCATATAGGGCCATGTGATAAGTAGTCTGAATAAGGTACAGTACCTCATTCCTTCTTGTGTTCTTTATTATATCACTATAATGCATCCAAAGTTTGCCAAGGCAGACTACTCATCACATGGCCCTGTATAATGGGGAGTTATAACGTAACAGAGCTCGTTCTCGACACACTTTGTACTCCCCTTCATGTAGTCTAGAGCAGCTGCATAAATGCACATGTGTCTAAATGTGTTAATAAAAAATAAATAAACATAAAAAGGCTGCTGCTACAAATACATGGTACAAACAAATGTAAAAGTCCCATTTCTATCCTCAATATGGCCAAGACATACCCCCACTACCTGGCCACTCTCCATAACAAGTCCAATGTACTCCTCATGTGTGTAGACTCTTCTAGTCATAAAACTTCCAGAATTGCTTGTTTTTAAGCTGCCATTAGATCCAGGCAAGGATAATCCACTCCACAGCTGTTGAAAGAAAAGGATCATATGCTTAACAAATTTAAAAGCAGTTTTAAAGCATTGTAAACCTGTCTTCCTGCATTCCTTGTGCCCAATTTACTCCTCGGTTATTAAATGTTTTAAATCATTTCTCTCTGATGTTGGCTACTACTTATAAAACTCTCATTGAGGGTATTAAATGCAAGTTTGTTTACTTATTCCTTTTTCTTACCAGTGCCTCATTAAACACGTACTGCACTTTACATGGTGTTAAGTGTTTTACTGTAGTTGCATAACAAAAACTAAAACATACCTTAATGATTTTTTCTACTCCAGAGGATGCAATAATGAAGTTTTGTGGGTTGAACCGAACTTGATTTACAATTGAACGATGTCCTTTTAAAACCATGTGAGCCTCGGATACAAAATGTTCTGTTGAATAAAATATATAATTAGTATTAAAAAGTATGAATGGACTGTCAGATTTCTTTAATTCAAAATAATGCTTTGTGAAATGGTGTTAAGATCCTGACTGGTTAGTGTACTGGGGACGTAACTGTACCCAACTTGGACTGCAGTATGCAATTCAACAATCGGCAGAATAACAATATACAGTACTGTAACAGAGCAAAATATACAGAAGGGAATGCAGAATAGAACTAGTGAGAAGAGGTGCCATAGGCACAATTAGAAAGCACTGTCTAAACATCAGAGGTCCATAGCTGTTCTATACTCTCCCAACAAGCATTAGAAATCCTGTACTGCCAAAACAAAGGTAAATTTAAAAAAACAAAAATTAAGATAGGTTCCTGCAAGAAATGCCGGACCAACCAGGAAGTAGTGGATACGTGGGCCTGCAGTCAGTCCAGGCAACAGCCTGTTGGACCATAGTTATCACAAATCAAGCCTGACCCAATCAGGGAGTAGAACAATTCCTGGAACCCTCTCCAGGTATGCTTCAGGCAATAAATAATCATGAGAATTTTATATTTTTCAAATGGTTAATATGAAAAGGACTACTTATTACAAGAAATATTTGTCTTTTTGATTACAGATTTATTATAAGTAATGTTACAGCATAAACTTTACCGATGATCTAGAAACAATAAGGCAGAGGACGAGTAATTCTTCTGAATGACTGAAGAATGATTAAATCAATTAATATGATGGTATCAAAGAGATGATCAAATGTTCAACACACTTGAAACTTTGTTAGAAATTACACTTTCAAGACAAGACAATGGTAGATATTAAGGCATCTCAAGAATAGCTACTGCATGATCCATATAAAAATGAATATTAGATATAACTGCATGAAATAACATATTATGAAGTAATGGAAAAACATTGAGCTTTTTGAACATTTAAGAGGATTAAGTATCCCACTTTCAACGGGAAGGCAGAATAAATATATTTACAATAAAACAATCTAAAATGTGCTTCTAGGAATAATAATACCACAGACAATTGCCACAAAATTCCTTACTGTACTAACACCAAGAGAAAAATAATAATACCAGATATGAAGACCTAATAAATAAAGACAATATTTAACACTCGCCTGTGCTGTTGCTTTCTGGGATTTTCCACATGTATAGATTGAAGTCATCTGACCCTGAGAGAACAAACTGGTCGTTGTCACCAGCAAAGCAGCAGCTCTTCATTGTGCAAGAGTTGTAGTAATGCTCAGCATCAAACTGCCAAAGTGGAACACACAGTTAAATATGCCCATTAGGCAAGAGTACCTGGTACACACATCTGCTGTAGCAATGACACCTTCTGGATATCAGCAAGAAGATAAAGTATATACAGTACTTAAGTTGACTTTTAATATTTGTAATTGGATACGCTAAACAAAAATTACGAAGAATGAGTTAGATATTCAATTTTTTTTTTTTTAATTGGGTTATTTATGTACATGCTCTGTATATAAACATGTACATACATGTTTACATAAATGAATATGCAAATCAAGGTCATCTTCGACTCCAAAGGACGAACATTATACATGTTTTTTCACCAAATGCATCAAATATGGTTGAAAAATGTAGTCCTTGGGGGGTAGGAGACAACCAGGTTTCAGAAGGTAAACCTTACTGGCACCACAAAAACTTCCTCACCCCTCAAAGGTCATGCAAACATTCCTCAAAGACAGATCCTTCCAAACTGATCTCTATCACTTGTATGACACACGGACTCCAAATCCATAAATACTATACGATCTTTCTTCTACAAATGTTCTACAAAATTTAAGTATGGGCTCAGCACAGGTACTGAATACACTTGTCCACTCTCCATTCCATACACTACTCGTTTATCATTAAAAAAAAATATTCAGAAACCAATTTAAAGAACAATTAAAAGATGTTCTTGAGACTTTTTGTTCCATTCTATTATCTTATTAGAAATATTTATCTTGTTTCCCATTTGTAATACCCTTCCTGTACGAAATTAACTACAGCACTGTACTGTGAAAATACAGTATACCAGTACTGTACTGTATTATTAATTAAAATTACAAAAAATTTAAGACCCCCCTTCACGAACATTACCCATAATATGGAATTATTCACATAAATCTTATTATTTTCCAATAAAAACAAAAACCATGCTTTAAATTCATTAAAATATTTTAAGGATAAATCTGATAAACTATCATGAAATACATATTTTGCTTGATGTAAAAATTGTAGTTTTGTTCATCACTTAAGACTAAGCACTGTACTGACTAAAATAAAGTAGAATGTAGTATGCATGTTAAAAAATATATAGGAACAAACTTTAATCCATAATACCTGACAGACTGGTTTTGAGTTATGAGTATCATAAAGAACAGGAGGGAGCCTTCTCCGCAGTGCAATAATCTGGCTACCTGTTCTATTAAATCTTGCACACATTGAAGACTGCGCACATCGCTTTTCCCCATATCTCAACACGGGTCTGTCAATATAAAACCCCGTCACTTATAAGCAATATGATACATCAACATGTGGTGGTATAGTGCCCATAATGAAAGGCAAAGTTTCTTTGAACTTTATGATATGGGCAAAAACTATAGTTTAGAAAATGTATTAGAATGGTATGCAGTATAGCTCTAGCCAATGTCTAAAAATGGCTCTGCGTGGTTTCAGTCGCCCAACCTTGTTTATGGCCACTCTTGAAGGCAATATACAACAAAACTCGAGCATGAATAATCAATATACATACAATAATTAAGAAACAAACCAAGACAGTATGAAAATTTAAAATTCTTTATGTCAACATATTTTGAAACAAAAGTATTTTAAATACAGCTTTATTATCTGATACACAAGACTGATTATTGATAATCAAGTTGAAATATCAAAAAGCCCTCAATTCAAAGTACTACTATATTTATAGTATTTAATTACATATATTTATGGCAAATTATATTATTAAAATATTTTAATTTTAAAAGTACAACTGCAAATAAGTGCAGAAAATCTTTAATATATATAATTTACAAATCCTCAACTTACATTCTGGGCTTACGTACATCCCATAAAGAGACTCCTTCCCGAGAATTTGCAGTAACTACAAACATCGATTCTATTGGATGGAACTGCACAGCATGGAAGGCGTCATGGTAACGAGCCAAACACACAGGATCTGAGAAAGTAAGCACATATATTCGGATTTACTATTTTGATAGACATCAAAGACGATAGTAAAAGGAGGGATGTAACTACATGCCCAAGACCCATCACTGAAGTAGCCAATCTTTTGGAGTGAGCCTTCCAGACTAGTCAGAAGAGACGGCACTGCCTCCTACAGGGCCGACATTCGACCCACAATAGTCCAGGTGGTTGGGTACCTTTCCTTATGTCCATCCTCATATTCCAGCTCTGTGTCTTTATATCCTTTACATATTATATACAAGTACAATGGCTTAGCCCTTTAACCTGATAATTACTTTACCTTGGTAGGAGCCAAACCTTCAGCAAGAAATAAACCTGTACAGTATTTTGAGTATTAGCTCATCAAGTACTGTATCAGCAAGCTAGATTGTATTTTTATAGATGCCACTCTCCCTTTTTAACTGACACCACAAATCTTTCCAATAGTATTTTGTACTCTACTTAGACCAAGAAAACCAAGTGAATGAGAATCGGTGACTTTACCTATATGTTATAAGCTTTTAAATTGTACATAATAAACATCATTAAATTGGATGTTGTATTTTGTTAGTAAAACTTGTAATACCTGTATATGTACTGAACAGTAAAATTATAATTCATTTTTTTATTAACTAATACAGTATTCTTCGCTCTTTGAACGTATCTACTTTTCTCCATAAGATTCTTCAAATATTTTGAGGTTCAGTTAAACATTTCATCTCCAGGAATACATCACCACATGATGCCAGGAAACTGTTATACCACATTTATAATGGGATCTCAACATATACATCTAACATTCATGGTAAATTGCACCTACACTGTAGATTATATTTAGGGATCCTAAAACTATATCTGCTCTTCTAATTGCCCTTTGCAACATAAAGGGAAGAAAATCTATTCATTATATTTCAATCCTGTAAGTTTAAATTTTCCTTCTTTCCTTAAATATATGTAGAAAAGGACTTGGCCAATTTACTTATTTAGATACCAAATTTCCTTTACACTGAAATCACACACTGTAATGAAATATTACCTGAAGCAGCAGACTCCCTCATGTCATAGAGAAGAACCTGTCCATCCTCGCCAGCACTAGCAAACACAGAGTCGTGAGTTGGGCTCACAGATACACCATACACAGCCTCCCGGTGCAAGAACACATCCACAGTTTCACCCCTGAAAATATCACAATTTTAAGCATAAAATGAATAAAGGAGATAAAATATTTAATAATCTTTCTGTACTTCTTTTCTTACTACACTGTAAAACCAACCAGTTGACTATAGGCATCCATGTAAACATTGCAGGCCAAAAAATATCAAATTGTTTAGTCTTTGATGCCACTTTACTTCTAAAAATGGCCCAATCTTGACAGATTATCCAAAGGAATCCAGAGAACACCTTCAGCGATCCATGGCCCTCTCCCAGCGATCTGTGACAGTCACCCAGGGAATGGCACACAGGAACCATATCCACAAAACAGAACTTATAGCAGTTAATCAGCAGAGAATTAAAAATGTAATAATGTACAGTATTTTTAAATACCATTATGCCGAGTCTTTGATCTACTCAGGTTCGGAGAAGTTTCACTCAAAAATTTTTTAAAAATATAGAGCACCTCTTATTCTTCCAAACACCTAGCCTTAACAACAAATTACCTGTTGAGAAAATCATAATGCTGTTAGAAATACTCAATCCCTACTATGAAAGAAAGCATGGAATATTTCTTACGTTTTTAAATCATGTACAATGACTTGTTCATCGTTGCCAGCCGAGAAAATCTTTGTATTACTGGAGTCAAAACTAAGGCAGAAAATGTTGCTGTTGTGTTCCCCCTTCATTGTGGAAGGTCGATGATTACCTGACAGGGCACCATCAACGTTCCATAGAAGAACACGCCGATCATCGCCACCTGATACAAAAATACAATGGAATGCAAAAAATTATCAATGAAAAGTGCTAAGCCAGTATGCTATATAGTACATGGAAAGGATATAAGAACAGGAGAATTTGGGTTAATGAGGACAAAGACAAAGGGATGGAGCACAACCCCTTAGACTCTATCAAAAGCTGAATTACATGAAGCGACACTGTTCTGACCATTCCTTCCCTCTGTACTCGTATCCCAGTTGTGTACAAAAGCACTTAACTCATATTCTAAACTGATCATGAAATTCATTTTACATGGGTAATAATAAAAAAATAAATGTTACTATATAGTTTTACTTATCAAAATTGTAAAACATTTAAAATACTGTATTACTCAACACTGTAGTAATATAAACATTACATAAAACCACTGAGAAAATACTGTGGCAATGTGTGTGATTGAACTTGCATCTGTGAACTCCTGAAATTGGAGTTCATTGCACACAAGAACATTCATACACACCTATGTGAGTCCAGTCTTGGAGCATGCTGCCCCAGTGTGGAGCTCCCATCTTAAAACACAAAAGGAAGCTCAAAAAGGTGCAGAAGTTTGCAACGAGATTTGTCCCAGAACTACAAGGATGAGGTACGAAGAGACTGAAGGAACTAAACCTGATGACATTAGAAAGGAGAAGAGAGAGAGGGAACATGATACATACATATAAAATACTTACAGAGATTGACAGGGTGGAAACCAGAGGAAATGTTTATAATGAATACCAACAGAACAAGGGGACACAGATGGAAGCATGAGCCTGATGTGTTATAGATGTTAGAAAGTTTTCCTTTAGCGAAAGGGTAGTGAGTAAACTGAATGACCTAAAGAAGCAGGTTGTAGAGGCAAACTTAATTCATAACTTTAAAAGCAGGTATGATAGGGAGATAGGTCAGGAGTCATTGCATCAGACAACCAATGGCTAGAAAACACCCCAACCATTTATCCTGGATGGTAGAGTGGCCCTGGCTTCATACAGGTCAACATTCAAATCCCCCGACCGTCCAAATGGTTGAGCACTATTCCTTCCTCCTGACCCAGCCCTTATCCTGATTCCTTCCAAGTGCTATACAGTACTGTATAGTCGTAATGGTTTGCCTCTCTTCCGAGGGGTTCCCTTTCCCTTCACACTCTCTCTCATTCTTACACTCACATTTACTCGTACATCCTCAAACACACACATTCACTGCTTGCACTGAGCAAGCAGAGATCGGGGGGTCTAGCTTCCACCAAGCAAGCAGAGAAAGAGGGACCCTGGCTTGCACCGAGCAGGCAAAGACGGGGGGAGGGGGGGGGGGAGCCCTGGCTTGCACCAAGCAGAGAAAGGGGGAAGCCCTGGCTTGCAACGAGCAGGCAGAGAAAGGGCGAGAAGGCCCCTGGCTTGCATCAAGCAGGCAGAGAGAAGGGGACCCCAGGCATGCACCAAGTAAGCAGTGAGAAGGGGAAGCCCCTTGGCATGCACCAAGTAGGCAGAGAGAGATGGGGGGAGCCTGGCTTGCACTGAGCAGAGAGGGGGGGGAGCCTGGCTTCCACCAAGCAAGCAGAAAGAGGGGGGCCCCTGGGTTGCACCGAGCGAGCAGAAAGAGGGGGCCCCTGGGTTGCACCGAGCGAGCAGAAAGAGGGGGCCCCTGGGTTGCACCAAGCGAGCAGAGGGGTGGCCCTGGCTTGCACCAAACAAGCAGAGAGGGGGCGGCCCTGGGTTGCACCGAGCAAGCAGAAAGAGGGGGGGGGGAGGCCTGCCTTGCACCGAGCAAGCAGAGGGAGGGCCCCCCCCCTGGCTTGCCCCAAGCAAGCAGAGGGAGGTGCCCCCCCTGGCTTGCCCCAAGCAAGCAGAGGGAGGCTCTCCCCTGGCTTGCCCCAAGCAAGCAGAGGGAGGGCCCCCCCTGGCTTACCCCAAGCAAGCAGAGGGAGGGCCCCCCTGGCCTACCCCAAGCAAGCAGAGTGGGGAATCCCTGGCTTACCCCAAACAAGCAGAGGGGGGGGATCCCTGGCTTGCCCCAAGCAAGCAGAGGGGGGATCCCTGGCTTGCCCCAAGCAAGCAGAGGGGGGATCCCTGGCTTGCCCCAAGCAAGCAGAGGGGGGATCCCTGGCTTGCCCCAAGCAAGCAGAGGGGGGATCCCTGGCTTGCCCCAAGCAAGCAGAGAGGGGGGATCCCTGGCTTGCCCCAAGCAAGCAGAGAGGGGGGATCCCTGGCTTGCCCCAAGCAAGCAGAGGGGGGGATCCCTGGCTTGCCCCAAGCAAGCAGAGGGGGGATCCCTGGCTTGCCCCAAGCAAGCAGAGGGGGGGATCCCTGGCTTGCCCCAAGCAAGCAGAGGGGGGGGGGATCCCTGGCTTGCCCCAAGCAAGCAGAGGGGGGGGGGGATCCCTGGCTTGCCCCAAGCAAGCAGAGGGGGGGATCCCTGGCTTGCCCCAAGCAAGCAGAGGGGGGGATCCCTGGCTTGCCCCAAGCAAGCAGAGGGGGGGATCCCTGGCTTGCCCCAAGCAAGCAGAGGGGGGGGATCCCTGGCTTGCCCCAAGCAAGCAGAGGGGGGGATCCCTGGCTTGCCCCAAGCAAGCAGAGGGGGGGATCCCTGGCTTGCCCCAAGCAAGCAGAGGGGGGGGATCCCTGGCTTGCCCCAAGCAAGCAGAGGGGAGATCCCTGGCTTGCCCCAAGCAAGCAGAGGGGGGGATCCCTGGCTTGCCCCAAGCAAGCAGAGGGGGGGATCCCTGGCTTGCCTCAAGCAAGCAGAGGGGGGGGATCCCTGGCTTGCCTCAAGCAAGCAGAGGGGGGTTCCCTGACTTGCCCCAAGCAAGCAGAGGGGGGGAACCCTGACTTGCCCAAAGCAAGCAGAGGGGGGAGCCCTGGCATGCCCCAAGCAAGCAGAGAGGGGGGGAGCCCTGGCTTGCCCCAAGCAAGCAGAGGGGGAGGAGCCCTGGCTTTCCCCAAGCAAGCAAAGAGGGGGAGGAGCCCTGGCTTTCCCCAAGAAAGCAGAGAGGGGGGAGCCCTGACTTGCCTCAAGCAATCAGAGAGAGCCCTGGCTTGCCCCAAGCAATCAGAGAGAGAGCCCTGGCTTGCCCCAAGCAATCAGAGAGAGAGCCCTGGCTTGCCCCAAGCAATCAGAGAGAGAGCCCTGGCTTGCCCCAAGCAATCAGAAAGAGAGCCCTGGCTTGCCCCAAGCAATCAGAAAGAGAGCCCTGGCTTGCCCCAAGCAATCAGAGAGAGAGCCCTGGCTTGCCCCAAGCAATCAGAGAGAGAGCCCTGGCTTGCCCCAAGCAATCAGAGAGAGAGCCCTGGCTTGCCCCAAGCAATCAGAGAGAGAGCCCTGGCTTGCCCCAAGCAATCAGAGAGAGAGCCCTGGCTTGCCCCAAGCAAGCAAGAGAGGGGAGCCCTGGCTTCCCCTAAGCAAGCAAGAGAGGGGAGCCCTGGCTTCCCCCAAGCAAGCAGATGGGAGTCTGGCTTGCACTGATAATCCTGAGTAATGTACACTTAACAGATTATGTTAGTTATGCAGGAGAGGTTTGGAGTTAATATCAATTAAGTCATGCTTTACCTACTGAATATTTACACTTAGAACATTTAAACAGTAATAGTAACATTATTGCACATTATATAATTCAACAAAATGCTAGGATATATAATCTACCTAGCCAACAGATTACAACAGCCATCATGTCACATTTGACTCATTGTATAAAATTAACCTTATCTAATAATTACACAAAAATTAAATACTTTAAATATATCATGCTTACCCGATACAAGCAAATCTCCTTCTCTGGAAAACTCAATGGCATTGACACAGCCGTAGTGAGCATAGAGGTCCTTACGGTAGAGATTCTTTGAGGTATCTAGTCTCCGTGACAGAAATGACGACGAAGCGACAGCAGGTCCCCAATCAGGTCGGGCAGAATGGAACGATCGCCACTCCAAATAGTGAAGGGAGCAACCCGACAGTTCATTTATTTTTCCCGATGTCCTCATTTTAACCGATGCGGTCTAAAATCATACGTACAAATTTATAAAACCATTCCTTTCGTGACAGTTCGCTGCGGTTGCTTGCCTCTAGAGGCTAACCCGTGCTAGAAGTTATAACCTACTCTCATTTTGTCTGAAAGGGGCATTGGTAAGACCCCCAACAGGAAAACTTTTAACCCCACTTGTTGAAGCACCTATATATTTACAATCTCGAGGAGCCCAGAGTCTTAACGTGTGAGGCAGCGAGTGTGTCGAGAAAGTAGGAGTAGGAGCCCCGCCAGGAGGCGAAACATGGGAGGTAGAAACGTCAAGTGTAGTAGTGTCTCAGCTGTGGCCTCCCCCCACCTGATCTTTGTTTATGTTCCGTGCCAGCCTCGTCCTCCACACCCACGGCCACCCCAAGGCCACCAGCTTCACACCACCTCTACCCTCACAGCCCTCACCAACACCAACCAGTCTCTTGCCGCGGGGCTGCCGTCTTCGACTCCTGCTGGAGGCATGGTCAAATGTTTGGACGAGGAAACCGTGCGGTAGTTGGAGGCGAAAACGTGCGTGGTTGTTGAGTCAGCTGACGGGCTGGGCCTCCTCCATTCCGCTCCACGCCTCCTGCCCGCCCTTCCACACACCAAATACACACAATACCTAACCTCTATTTTGCTCTTCTCTTTAATTGTATCATGATAAATCTCACCTAAACCTGTGTTATTTCATAAACTGTTGGTAGATGCCTCGTTGACAAATGCGAGAATGGATGTATAAATACTATGGAACGAAATTGATTGTTGTTATTCCGTGTGCATCCCTGCCGGAAGGGCGAGATTAGGTCGTCTCGCGCTGTCGCTAATGGGTCCTCTGTGGGCCTCTACCGGGCTAGTGGCATCATGCATCATATAGGCGGATAACACCCATTAATACCCAAGTTTATTGTTGCTACTACACGGAGACTATCAGGCTCGCGTACTATGGCCTTTATTGGAAACTAAACTGTGTTGTCACATACACGATAATTAATATACGCATATTCCTTTAATATCATCAGTTCAAAGCCACCAGAATTGTGGTCTACAATACGTCCAGTTAAAGATCGACCGAGCAATATCGACTGGAAAGTTGGAAGTAAGAATATATATATGTAAATAGTTGCAATATATGATAGAATAAATAAGTGTTAAGTAATAATTATGGTGGAAATAATCGAGGCTGCATCATTCCCGTTGCATAACAAGCAGGAGGCAATTATATATGTGTAGAACGCTCCAGTTAGTTCCATTAAATTACACTGACTCAAAATCATGTTTTAGCAAAAATCCGTTAACAAGACGTGTCTCTCCCAAGTTGACATGTTGTCCTGTGTAAGCTATGCACCCATGCAGTCGGTGTAGCTTTCTTCATTTAAATATCTTTTTAAGTATCTAAATTGCGCTGAACATTCGTGGTTAGGTTGTACGAACACATTTGTAATGTGCCCTGTAGATAGTATACAGTGATAGGAATTAGGATTTCACTGCAGACATACTTAATTATGCAGGTATTGGTTCACTTAATAAGGCAGATTCACTGCAGGTATAATTAATTTATTAAACGCATAGCTTATGCAGTAACTAAAGGCTATTACATATTATACTATAGAATTAAATTAGCTATAGGTATGTCTGCAATGAATAAATATATATATAGTATAGTTACAGCTGGGTATCCAGCACAAAGGGAACCTCAGTTGTGCAGATCTAACAACAGTCACAAACGCCCAGATGGAGTCACTCTGCAGTCATGCAAGGAAGGTAAACAGGTCGTGTGGGACTACACGTATGCATCTACATTGGCTGATACCTATTTACCTCACAGTACAGCCGAGGGAGGTGGGGCGGCCACCTTCAGGGAGACCTAGAAAACTAATAAGTACAGGGACCTAGAACGTTGTTACAGGTTCGTGGCCTCCCGGTTGAGAGGAGGCCCCTGTGCGCCTGGGGTAAATGTGCACTTAAGTTCCTATATGAGATGGGTGAGGAACTCATTAGGCAAACTAGAGACTCAAGAGCGGCAAGTTTCCTGTTTCAGCGCCTCAGTGTTGCGGTCCAGAGAGGAAATGCTTGCTGTACCTTTTGGGCACACACACACACCCCACCTCCGAAGAGCTGCATGAGGTCTTTGAACAATGATTATTACATGTGTGTGTGTGTTTTCTGTAAACTGTAATACAATGTATTAAAATTAATATATATATATGTATATACTCTGCCAGAAGACTGGCAAGACTTTGCATTTTTTTCGATATTAAAAAGCCATATATTGCACCCTCGTCACAACTACCAAATTAATAACATTACATATACACAAGTGTGGGATTTTATCCTATGTTATTATGTCTGTGAGAAGACATTTCCATCACTAATAATAATATTTACAAGAAAGTTCAATGTGTATGTGAGATTACATAAGATTGGTGTGTTTACATTCTTACAAAGCCACTAACACGCATATGTCAGGTAAGATGAAAAGGTACAGTGTAGCAAAATTTATATCAACATATAGCTACAATATAAGAGATTACACTGGTGAAGATATATGTCTTACGTACTAATATTGTACAAACTCACGTTGTACATGATTCAACGTGAGTTTGAAGCACAAGGTAGGAAACTATGAGGATGAAATTAGGTGCTTTTTGGTTTTACTTTTGAATAAGGCATATGTTGGACAATTTTTTAATTCATTATGGAGTGAATTCCATAGACTGGGTCCTTTTATTTGCATGGAGTGTTTGCACAGATTTAGTCCCCCAAGGTACTAAATATCGAGGTCTCCCTCCCCCCATAGTCGAACTAGAAACCCCACAACAAGCTGATTAACTCCCGGCCACCTACTTACTGCTAGGTAAACAATACCAGCAGGGGCGATAGGAAACATGTCTAATCATTTCAGTCTCGAACCTGGAAATCTCGATTGTGAATCGATAACGAACCCGGCTGTACTACCTATACATACAGTATAGACATCCATCAGTATCAGGAGACTATGGAGTTACACTCTGGTTGTCGGAGTGGCGTCTCCAAGGCGCAAAGCCAGGGTAGGTTGATATAGAGAAGCTATTACCCATGTAGCAGGTCCCCTCTCTTCACGGCGCCATAAGTCTCCAATGGAAAGGCAAACGCCAGTACGATTGATTCCAGCGCCATCGCAGGAACTGTGAGTTCCGGAGTTATTAATTATACAAATACGCGATTATACAATTTATACTATAATCGCTTATTTGTATTAATAAATCTATTGTTGGGGTTAATTTATTTGAAATTTCCCGGTCGGATTCTCTCCGGATTCAAGAGGGTTCCCGAGCGAGGTGGATGAGTGTGAATCCAGTATCCGGACAGGGTTGCCATATTGGGCTACAAGTAGCGAATTGGGCTACTTTTGAGAGCCCGGCGCTCCCAAATTTTGGTATACCCTCTGGTAAATTCAGGTAAATCTTAGCTAATTAAATAATCCTGAAAAGTTTGCTTATTGAAGGCAGGGCTGTATTAGCAGCATTATACTCTCTGAGCAAAGCAATTCACTGTTGCCCCCCAACCCAGATGATGGGCACTGGGGGCCCATACCTGTGGACCCTCCCTACTTTGGTATGGCTGGGTTGAGCTAGGTTAGTCAGGCTTCAAAATTCAAAATTTCACTACTCCACAGAGCAGTCTCTATATATATATATATATATATATATATATATATATATATATATATATATATATATATATATATATATATATATATATATATGTATATATATTATTGTTCAATATTAAAACCACAATATAATGCTATTAACAAATTAAAATCTTCTACTTAACAGGCATATAGTTATTAAATGAAGTTGAGTGATGTGATGGACATATTCCGGGCTTCATAAGAACGACGCCTGCCAGTGTTAACACCTTACATCTGAAGGCCCACAAACATGGTCGAACGCACAAAACACTTGACTCTATTTACGGGCTATTCATGCCCGTGTCACCTTTTAGGTGGCTTAATCTTTAGCAATCAATTAATCACTTGACTGTAGCCAGTTTTGAGTAGACTCCTATTACATTTACTGTGTTGCGAGTTACATGAAAGTAACTAAGCTATAAATAATTGTAATTAATAATAATTGTAAATATCAATTAATAATAATTGTAAATATTAATTAATACTAAATAATATTATTTAATAAATTAGTCCCAATTCAATGCAGAGTTTTCTTCCAACCACAGAAACTTGTAAATATAAATACAAGATAATAGATAGATCGATAAATAAATAGACAACTTTCAAATATTGCACAAAGTAATGGCGAGAGGAAAAAAACTAGACAATATACATTACATTTGAAATTAATAATGGATGAATGGTAATAAATTGGCGTATGTTTGTATGTATACCACATAAAGTCCATTTAATGACAGAATTTAGCCATTTTGTGTAAAAACTTTTATATCTCATATTATTAATTAAAACAGTAATCGAAAAAAGCCATAGTTTGTATATGCAAGAGAGCCATGAGCTAGAGCGATGTGCTGGGTCCATAAGGAGGCCGAGCTTCCGGAAATACCTTCCTGTGATTGGCTGTTGCGGGGAATACCAACACTCTTTTATTAATAAAATTTAAACTAAGAAATAAGTCCTTGTGCACAACAAAAAGGTTGCTGTGAAACAGAACAACAATTTCTGTTTTGCACCTGACAGAAATCTCCATCTAACTGAATAATTTACTCCAATAAGAAGGCAGAGCAGCGTATCATTATTTGCGTCAAGGCAACCCCCAATAATAACGCCACAAGTCAAGTAGCCAGCCCATGTTTCTGTAACACCCGTTACATCCTGCAATATTTAATTATCACTATATTAATATTTTTAAATACTTAAGATTTCACTTTTTAGGTAGATTCAAGTTGAAGCAGAATGTCATAAGCAAGGATGGTGTGCTTAATAAAGATGATTTATTAAGTGGATGGAGCCTTTAGCTGATCCCTTCCTGTGATTGGCTGTTGAGTGAATGTCAACAAAGAACATCTTCCAATGATATGCCATTTATTATGCACCCCATACCACTTGTGGGCGGAGCTTGGAACCTCCTACCCGAGCACAACAACCCACCTTATGGGTTGCTGTTTGGCTATTTATAGTGCGTTGGAAAAAAACAGAGATGGCGTTAGTTGTATTTTGTAGGGTAATGTGTTATAAGTGTAATTTGATGTCAACAGATGGCGTAAGCTGTATCTTATGGCCACTGTTGACCAGCCAGTTGATAGTGTTCTCTTCTGCCGACAGATGGCATCAGCTGTGTTATTATTACTTCGGAATTCCCTTTTAAACACTGATCTACAAATCCCTTGGCTTATGATAAGGTTTTATACCATTTATGATAAGTATTAGATAACTGGAGTTCCGCAATTACTTTTATTTATCAACTGTTCAGGATATCATCATATAATGTCTGGTTAGGACGTACTGCTCTCGATCGATGAAGATTAAGCCACTCAAGAGGTGGCACGGGCATGAATAGCCCGTAAATACTGCTCTCGTAATATTATTCAGGGGGGTGGGGGAACTATCAAGTTAAAGCGCCAAGCCATTACGACTATATGGCACTCGGAAAGGATCAGGATACGGATTTGGGATGGAACGGGGGAA